AAACCTCTTTTCGACATCAAATCTCTACCGTCACTGTCCTAAACTCTATCTGATATCTATATTTACAACTTAACTCTTCCTGTCTTCGACTAACTCTACATAACTACTCTACCAGATTCCATAACTCTAAGAAAGTTTCCTCCAAAATCTACCACCATTACAGTTACTCTATGGACCAACTCTAAGTTTCATCTTACTCTGTTGCTTAACTATAACTCTCCCACCATGTATGCTAATTGTACCGACTAAGTCTATCTATCTACTTACTCTCCCACCACTATATATGACTCTACGAAACAACTATACCAAATGTGTTTCACTCTTCCCCACAAGTCTAAGAAATAACTTCAACTCTACCATAACTACCTCGTAGACTTATCACTTGGCGGGAGTTTTTCCCCCCTAAACTGTGCAGATAAACGCCTTCTCTCTCCAACGTGGCATTTCTTTTTAATGGCATGTTTGGTAATTATGTTTTTCCTGTAACTCTAACCAAAGGACAAACTTGCCTTTTTTCGTTTTGAAACTACCCCCTCCATTTCAGTACTTAACCAGTATTCACGTGCTAATCTCGCACTTTACCCTGGTTTATTTCATCTTTCTAAGAAAACATAAAGTGTCGGTCGAGAGAGAGATTTTATGATGGGCTGATTGTTGAATAACTCAATATGAGTGTGCTAATAGAGAAGCAATACAACAAGAACAAAGTCAAGTTCAAGTCAGATGAAATGCTGCACTGGGAGGGTTAAAACTGCAACGAAACAAAAATCCCTCCTTATTGCACCGTACGTGTAGCAATACATGATTTGGAGGTAACAATCCAACAACATATTCAAGCAACAAGAAGTGAGGAGGTGATGCTTCACTGACTACCTGAGAACATTCGTAAGAAGAATCTACAACATTAAGCCTCACATGCAATCCAACAACATAATGTATCACCCAAACGAAATCAATTGAAGACTACATTATCAAATGTCTACAGAACCATTAAAACCAGGCACAACTCAGGAAGAAAGAAACATTAATTAGAAGTCAGAAGTAAAGACCATTTAAGTCATCAAAACCAAGATGCTCTTCGCCTTCGATGAGCCTGCCCAAATAAGGTCACACTACCAGCATAAATCACTTCTATAATCAAATAAACGATGACATCAAAATAGCAAACTGAAGAGAATATGAGCAACAAAACTCCCCAATAGAACATGTATGGTAAGCACATCTTCAGAGAAGTCAACCTACAGAGCTTAAACCATCCTGGCCAACTAATCCCCAGAGAGTCAGAGACCATGAAATAGAATGGTCACCAAAACAAAAAGATTTTATACAAAACCTCATATAACACTAAAGGCACAAGCAGATAAGGGGAGGTAAGCTGATCACATCTCCATCAAATATAATGGTTACCAAAACAGAATAAGGAAGAAAAAGAAAACACCACATGTAAACAGATACTGCAAAACAAATTCAACCATCGATGCCAAAATATCAAAATGGGACTCTGTCTGCTTTGCATCCTCAACATACCAAAAAAATCAAAATCCCAGAAGTATGAATTAAAAGATTGTAGACGAACGAAACCTGAATAACAACATGTCTAGCTTTCTACAGATGGAAAGTTCAAGTTGTTCCCTATTGAGGCAAACTGTACACTTAATTAGCAAAACTCCCAATACACAGATACAGGTCGAGTCAAAACTTCTAAGACAGTATATGAAAAACAATCCTTCGTGGAAAATTAATTAAAACAGAACTTGTCGTCTTTGCATCGTGCGTCAATATATAAAGAAGGGGAGCATTTCACATTAAAAAAAAGAAGAAAAAAAATAAATAAAAAATAAGCCATCGTCATGAGGCCATGAGCATATGAGTAAAGATCAAATACTAGGAATGGATGTAGCATGAGAGATAAAGCTTTTGGTAAGATATAAAAGTTTACGCAGTTTAATTAGGTCTAACTTCAGTAAACTAAACAAAAACAATTGATGATTTCTTTAATTTAAAGAGAATACTCAATAAAAAAAATAAGAAAGTGAGAATTATATATTTATATTAAACTAGCATAAGCAAAACAACTGGTTCCAATGGGATGAAATACAAAGGCTACACAAAACTGCAACAAAACAAAATTGCCTATCAAGTTTCTTTGTTTTATTGACTTTGGATTATGTAATTATTTAATTTATTTTCTTTTCGTCTGGTTTTGTTTCTACCGCTAACTTATTGCACTCTGCAACATTAATATCTATACATGAAAAATGAGGCAGCTGATATAAGGTTGGTCAACAGTCCTTCATACTTCATATGAATTGGTAATTTGGTAGTATATATCTCATATTCATATGTGGAACAAGAATAGCTTCGTTAGGTAACTATACGTTATGTCGTTACCGTCAAAGAATTGTGACCGAAAAAGGAATTTGATTAATCCATTAGTCAAAAGTACATTTTCCAGCAATGTATCATAATGTTTTGCCGAGGAATTAGAACATGGTTTAAGATTTAAAAGGTATTTTTTCTAAGACATAACCTCGAGTTTTTTATCCTAGATTTAGTTTTCTTGTCTAAAAAAAAAGTATCGGTTGACTTTCAAAATTCAATGCATCATGTGATAATAGGCTCTCAACTCAACACAAACCACTCAATCGTTATGAGTGGATCAAAATGGTAATAAGCATTAAGATTTAAGAAACAAGGGTTTTTTGTTTTGTTTTGTTTTGTTGGTCTTGATGAGATATTCTTTAGTTGTTCAACATTTAAGGTGGGAGAGGTTGAGGCCATCACATCTCCCACTAAGCAATGTCCTTCGTAGGAAAAGCACTTTGGCATAACTTTTATTTTTGTTTTGGTGTTGTTATGAAAAATAGAAAGAAAATAGAGGATAATGGAATTAACAACGAACACAAAATGTGGGATACATTATTATTAAGCCTTTTGTATATCTCCATTCATCACATCAAATTTATAAAGCAAACTCTTTTTAAGAAATCTCTAGGCTTCTATCGTCATCACTTTCGATAAATCTTTATGAGACAATTCAAATATAAAGGTATCTAAAGAAAGCATTATGGAGTTCTATATCTCAGCCACCCAAATAGAGGAGAAGCGAAATTTCACATCTCGATCTAGTCAAAAATTCAGCATTTATCTATAAGTGTGACGACAATAAGACTATATAGGTTTGCACCGGAGAATCTTAATTATAAAAACATTTACTATAACTATTATAACAAAATATTTAGAAAGATATCGAACCTGTAGCTAGGTATCTTAAAAGATTAACTACATCTAGTTCTTGATGCTTTCAAACCCATAACAAGAAAGCCTTGGACTTGATAGACTTATAATTAAAAAAAAAAGTATATCATTCCAAGATCCAGTTCTTTATAACTTTTCCATTGGAATCTTTTGTAAGGGTAGTGTATTATTGAAAATTTGGCTGGTTATACGTGAGTACTGTTTGTGGTTGACAACAAGATATGTGAACTGTTTGTGATGTATACATGTTTGTATAAGACAAAATGATGGGTGTAGTTTAGCAAAATAAAGAAATTAATGGACCATTGGCTGGGGATTATTTTTGAGAAATGAAAATAAAGAGAGTGACGTCGTTAAGAGTGTGGGGGGGGAAGGATCAGGAACAACTGAACAAGAGATTTAGGAGAAAAGATACCGAATCATCTTCTCTTGTGTTTTCCTACTTCTCTTGTGCTTTCCTACTTGGCTGGTTCCAAAATATTTTTCACACCCACTAAAAAAATTTCATGATTTTTTAGGAAACGTATTACCTTGAATTTCCCCAACTTAATTGAATTTTTTTTGGTATCAAACAATTGAATTTCTTTTAATGGTTTTTACAAAATTCATTTTTCTCGTGTTCAAGCACTACTAAATCTCCAACTTTATACATAAATCACACCATTCGTAAGGTTAGAATATTTAGTTAGTTACTCTAAAACGTACGTTATCAAAAATAAATATACGTGTATGATAAGTCAGATTAACTAATACACGAGGAACATGCATATGTTACAATATATTTTTAGTATTACTTTTAGGATCGATCATGATCATGATGATCATGATCATATCTATAAAACACTGGATGATATCGACCATGAAATCGAAATGTCAGTCTTTAGAAAGTTTTATGTGGGATTTACATCGAGCTATATCTGATTATAGCTTGAATGATTGAATCAATGATATATAATGGAAGAAACTTGCTAACATTTAATTTATATACAGTATGTCATTTAGTATAACTTTTGAGATGAAAAAATGATACACTATATATTACATTAGCTTGTGGGAATTATGTTAAGTTGTCATGTTCTAAGGGCATGTCCAATGCAGGTCTCATAACTAGTATCTTAGAAATAAAAAGGAAAAAACTAAATCATTAGTCAATAATAAACTAAGAGATATCTCTTATAGAAGAAGTTTTTAGACAATTTGTTAAGTACATGTGTCACTACAAGAGAAGTCAGTTCTATTAATTTACCAAATGAAGTTTTTAAATATTTTTTTTATTATGTTTTAATATCATGTGTTTGTAATAATTTTCATGTTTTATAAAATTTAAGTTTTCAAATTGTTTTTTAAGAACTTCTATTAAGAGTTTTACCATTGGAGATGAATAATTTTAATTATTTTTAAAAACTTTTTATTTTTAAAAAGTACATAATTTATAACTAAAAAATTACTAAAAAACTTTATTAACATACACCCATTGGAGGTGGTCTAAGAATGCTAATATATTCTGATAACGAGACTTGCTATTTTGACCGTTACTTTGTCAAACTGTTTTAACCCCAATGTAGAAACTTTTGACGACAACCAATCTCGCATTTAGAAACCAGAAGAATTTTTTTTATTAAATGAAACTTATACGTGTTTCGAACTTAAATGAAGAAATAGCCTCGTGGCTTATATTGCAAATTATTGATGACTTCAGTGTCCTCTCGATCAAGCAACTAGGCGACAAAAAGGACCGCCCGTACTAACCTGTGAGATCGAAACGCTTCTTCTCTCACGCGCCATTTTCTACATTATTATTCACTTAACATTTTAATTGTTCAGATTAGTGATTTAAAATACATTCACTACACAAAAACCATCACTAATTAATCAACCAAATCGGTCTGGTTCGCTCGGTGAAGATACCTGTAAAGTGTAAACCAACCCACAATGAGTAGTAGAGGACACGCGCTAAAGCGAGCGTGTGTGGGGGAGTTGAGAATACAGTAGTTCGTATTTTAACACCACCACCACTAATTTATAATGTTCGCTTCGTCATATCTGACTAATACTCATTTAATTAATACATTATTTTATTCATCATTTCAGTTAAATTAAAAAGAACAAAAAAACAAAAGGGGTTTGTCGTACTATTCCCATCTCTCCCCACTAGATTCCTATTAAAACCTCTGACACAGAAAGAGGGGTTTCAATCTCTCATTAAAGAGAAAGAGAAAGAGAGAGAGAAGACAGACATCATCTTTCTCTTGTTTCTGTGGATACTCTCTGTCTTTTGTCTCTCTGTAAATCTCTGTTTTTCGAAGATGTAAATGATTTTTTAATCTCTTTCAATTTGTAATCGTCTCTTTGTGTCTCTCCCCCCCCCCTCTCTCTCTCTCGCCGACTCCACAAAATTTGAGCTTTTGTAAAAGTTCTTGAGGTATAAACTATTCTCATAGTTTCACTTTGTTTTGATTCTGGTTTTGTTTTCAATTTTCCTTCTTTCGAGTTGGGTTCTATACTTTGTGTGGAGAAAACCCAGAAAGTTCTAAGATTTTAGCTGAATTGGGCCACTTCTATTACAATTGGCACATGTACTCCACCAGAGTTTGAGAACGATGTATCGTTCAATTTGATGTCGACGCACTTATTTATTATATAAATTGAAAATTTTGAAAGCTACAGATTTTGTGTGTGTGTGAATCGACTAACAAAGTTTTGTCTCATCTTCTTCAAGTTGTTGTTGTTGTTGTTGATGCGGCTGCTGCTGCTGCTTTAGAGTAGTGTAGTTTTGTTGCAAGTTGTCTATTGTCTGATGACTCTGATCCGTTCAAAAAATTATTATTATTTTGTATATAAATATTGTATTGTATACAGTAGTGTTTCGATTTGTAACATTTTAGATTCCGTCTTTGACCAATAAGAAGATCTTTTCCTCCATTAACGTTTTAGTTTATTACAACTTACTACTATTATTTTATATCTTTTTCTTTTGACAGCTACTTTTATGTTCGTTTTTAAGCATCAGTTCGTTTATGCAAATAGAGAGAGTCTCTTGTCATGTGTCTTTGAAACGATCTTTTTTGTTTTGATTTACATAGTCGGAGATCTTTTTGGAATCTATTCCTCTGTTTTTTTTCTTTGGTTGAGAAGGACCAGAGATAAGTTTTTTTTTTTGTTTCCCAGAGAATCTCTGTTTGTGGTCTCTCTTTATGAAATCTTTATCTCTATCTTCTTTAGATTCTGCTTCTTCTGTCGAGTTACTTAGTGGCCAAGATTCACTTATTTGACTCGACAGCCAAAATCTACGAATATCTTATCTTCTTGCAACTTGTTCTTGACACACTTAAAGCTCTCTGCTTTGAGTTTGTTTGCTGCTTCTCTTCCTATCCCTTTTCCTGTTTTCTGTGTCTCTGTGATATATAAATCAGTTCATTTGTTTTGTTAACCACAGAACGTGTGAAGAGCTAAGTATCAAGAAGATCTTTCCTTTATCAAATGGCTAAAGTTTATTGGCCGTATTTTGATCCTGAATATGAGAACTTGAGCACCAGAATAAATCCTCCAAGGTAACAATTATTACGTTTCACACTGAATAAGAGCCATTGATGCTGTTTCCCAAGAAGCTCATACTACTTTTTCTATGTTGTTGCAGTGTTTCTATTGATAACACTAGCTGCAAAGAATGCACTCTTGTCAAGGTAAACATTTTCTTTCTCGGGTTTTAGTCGATTTGATGATTTTAACTGAGATTTTGATGCATGTGAGACTATTATTTGATAGGTTGACAGTATGAACAAACCTGGAATATTACTTGAAGTTGTGCAAGTCCTAACCGATCTCGATCTTACTATCACTAAAGCTTATATCTCTTCTGATGGTGGATGGTTCATGGACGGTAAAGTGTTGCACATTTCTACATTCACAACATTCTTGATCATTTCCAATCAAACTTCTAAATTGATTCCATTTTCACATCTTACAGTATTCCATGTCACTAATCAGCAAGGAAACAAGGTGACTGATAGCAAAACCATCGATTACATCGAGAAGGTAATATACATAAAAGCAGTAAATGTATGTCTTAGTTTGTATAATGTATGCAAATGGTTTGGTATATTACCTTATATCTAATTCTTGTTTTTTCTTTTTCTTTAAAAAGGTGTTAGGACCAAAGGGTCATGCCTCGGCTTCACAAAACACTTGGCCAGGTAAAAGAGTCGGTGTCCATTCATTAGGCGACCACACATCGATCGAGATTATTGCTCGTGATCGTCCTGGTCTCTTGTCTGAGGTCTCAGCCGTACTAGCAGACCTAAACTTCAATGTGGTGGCTGCTGAAGCATGGACTCACAACCGTAGGATCGCGTGTGTCCTCTATGTGAATGACAATGCAACTTCTACAGCGGTTGATGATCCAGAAAGATTGTCTACCATGGAAGAACAGCTCAACAATGTGCTGCGTGGGTGTGAACAAGAAGATGAGAAATTTGCTCGGACGAGTCTCTCCATTGGCTCGACTCACGTTGACCGTAGGCTTCATCAGATGCTTTTCGCTGATAAAGACTACGAAGCATTGACCAAGCTTGACGATTCCGTTTCTCCTAGACTCGAGGCCAAAATCACAGTTGAACATTGTGAAGAGAAAGGTTACTCCGTGATAAACGTGAGCTGCGAGGATCGACCAAAGCTCATGTTCGACATTGTATGCACGCTTACGGATATGCAATACATTGTGTTTCACGCCACGATTTCATCGAGCGGCTCTCATGCTTCTCAGGAGTATTTCATCAGACACAAAGACGGTTGCACTCTCGACACAGAAGGAGAGAAAGAGAGAGTTGTCAAATGTCTAGAAGCCGCAATCCATAGACGAGTCAGCGAGGTAAGTAACCGCATTTTGCTTGGTGCATGTTTCTTGCATTAGAAGAAACAATAGCCTAAGTTATCGTTTGATATTCGATCCTAGGGCTGGAGTTTGGAGCTCTGTGCGAAAGACAGAGTTGGATTACTGTCGGAAGTGACAAGGATCCTGAGAGAGCACGGGCTATCAGTGTCGAGAGCTGGTGTGACAACAGTGGGAGAACAAGCCGTCAACGTTTTCTATGTGAGAGATGCGTCAGGGAATCCAGTGGACGTGAAGACGATCGAGGCGTTACGCGGAGAGATAGGACATAGTATGATGATTGACGTCAAGAATAAAGTTCCGAGCAGAAAATGGAAAGAAGAAGGTCAAGTTGGAACAGGAGGAGGATGGGCCAAAACAAGTTTCTTCTTTGGGAATTTGCTGGAGAAGTTACTGCCTTGAGAAGAAAGGTAACTGACAAAATCAAATTACAGTACATTGTGTGGATAAGTGTACTGTAAAATGTGTATTATGTATGATCATCTAGCGGGACTTAGTGTGGTGTTTTACTTGGTCAGGGATTTTGGTGGTTTACCCCTAATCAAACCGAACCAGAACCGGTTTTTGGTTACGTAGGCATTAGTGTGATCGGGGAAATGAACATTGTCTATAAAAAAGAATAATATGCAACTTTTCCTATTGGCAGGGTTGCTTTTGTGTATGTGTAATATCAAATCCTAGCCTTCTTGTTATCTTTGGCCAAATGTAAACTATCCTTCTTGTTAAGAATTTTGATTGCCGTATTTGATTGTTGTGAATACGTAACACTTATGTTGTAATTTACTAATCTTTTATCAATTTGGCTTAGTTCGAATCCAAAATGAAACTTACAAATTGAAATAAAGTTGAATTTGGCCAAAAATACTAATAGGTCCATGAATTAGGGAGGGCTAATGCAAAGTAGATGTGAGACCGTTCAAAAGCAATAAAAGCAAACGGCATGGAGTGCGGCCTCGGGTAAGGCTAACAGCTAGCTCTCTACATATGCACGATAGGACACACTGAGAAAAAGTGAACGGCTTGATGTTTCCATGTCATATTCGAATAGTATTATTTCATGTGTTGCGTAATCTTACAAAAAGAAATATAAACTCACGCAGAAACAATCAAACATTACAATTTATGTTTAAAAGATACAGTTTGCGTATTTTGTTTAGATTAAATCAAATTGTGTATAAAATATATATATTTATTTATATAGTAAATTAATAACGTTAGGGGCTTAGTGCTTTCTAATCTTTGAAAATTTTTACATGTTACGTGAATACAAACAAAAAGAAAACATCCATTTATAAAATAAGTTTACTATCTTGTAATTTTGTTACATGTTTGTTCACCATATGTTAATCATAACAAATTATTTTTTTTAAAATCCTTGTTGTTCCTTTTAAAGCTTTTTACCCTTTAGTTTTTACATGTGAGATGTCTAACATTCCTAACGAACTAGATTGTCATGATTTTGGCTAAAAACTTGGTAAAGAACATAACTTGTCACTAACTAAGCATAGAACTAATCAAATCATAGTGAATCCATAGGTTATACGAGGTGGAGGAAAGAAGATTTGGTGGGAAGCTTGCTCCCCATTTAGAGAAAAAAAAACGTGCCCACCAACCCAAAGGCCTCATTAGCTCCAAGATATATTGTTCTAATTGTTTTTTTACAAGTCGAGTTTTTGCTTCTTGTTTGGTTTATGCCAATGTTCTTGAAATAAAATGTACACTCCGACAAAAAATCCACAAAGTCGTACAATTATATGTGTCCATCAAAACAACAATTAGAGTCGGAACAATTATATGACAATACAATAGTTTATAATATATGGACTATGGTTTGTCATCTATTCCTAATATTATATCTAATATCAAACGAGCAACGTATGATATGAGAAAAGGTTTAATTTATCTATCAACTTCCTACTTTTTCCCATAAATTTTAAAGTAAAGAGTGATATATCTTTGGACGTTATCATCCCTTGACCTCGACTTCGGCTTTTACATTATGCGACTTTGGCTTCAAACGTTTTTAATCAAATACTTTAAAAGTTCTCGATCTTTTCGAAAATCAGTTACGTACATGATTAGATTAAACCATTTCCAATTAGCTAGATTACTTATATTTTCAGATATTAACAACTACGAGTCTACGATTATGAAAACAAAAATATATAAAACATAGAAGAGTCGAACTTGGAAAATCGTATTAGAGGATCCATTTTAAGTATCTGTCCTGTCAATTGAGGACACGTGGCAAAGCACGTGTCATATGGTCGTTACCCGTACGTTTACTCTTTGCCTCTTTCTCTTTTATATACAAAACTCTTTATTTATGTTATTGTGTTTCTTTATCTCTCTTCTTCTGATTACTTAAAGAGAGCTTTTTAAAAAGATAACGGATTAGTGATAATAATTCGACGGAGGAGAAGAAACCCAGAAAGAGGCAAAGAAGAGCACTTCACTTAATTTTCAGAGGTATGATCCAAAATAGTGTAAATTAAAGTTTCTGTCTTTTCTTATATTGAAGGTCCTACGCTATTCAATGCAAAATTCTCCTTAGTTTTTTTTTGTTTTTAAATGATTGTAATTATAAAGAAATTTGTCCAACTCTCTGGAAAAATCCAGCCAGCAAAAGAAAATAATTTAATATTTATCCAAATTAAGCTCTAAATATGGGGTTTTGTTTATTATAATAAGGTCAAAAACAAAAAGAGTTACACATAAGAAGAAATTAATGTTTGCTGCGTTTTAATTTAGTTTAGAGTCAAAAGACCATTTAAGACCATTTCCTAACTTTTTTGTAAATTCAATCCTTCTTTTTATTACATTTGTCGTCTTTGGATGTCATAATTCTTTTGAGTTATTTTATTTATCCTTGTTCTTAATTCTCTTTGATCCTCCTTGTGGTGAAATAATTAGAATCAAAGAAACCGCTTAAAGATGGTGAGTGAAGGAGAAACAAGACAAGAACTTAACAGATGCTTCGAGAAGATGAAGATGGAAGGCTTTGTCATCTCTGAGTGGAAAGATATCCCCGTTGAGCTTCTTATGAGGATCCTTAGCCTTGTTGATGATCGGACTGTGGTCATTGCTTCTGGTATTTGTAGTGGCTGGAGAGATGCTGTTTCCCTTGGCCTCACTCGTCTCTCCCTCTCTTGGTATATTTCTCTAGCTTCTTCTCTTCTTTTGTCTTTGTTTCGTTGCTTGTGTGATTGTGTCTCTATCTGTAATTTGATTATGTTTGAATTAGAAGATATAGTACTATATGTTGGAAAAGTGTTTTGGAGTTTGAATAAAGGTTGATCCTTTTTGGCTATCTTCGTGAATTGAGGACGAATATTCATATTGATGGATGGGATATAGATAAGATCATGGCGCGTGGTGATTGAAAGAGTCAAACTTTTTTTTTTATTTGATCAGGTTTTGTTACGAGGACAGTTTCTGGATGATGGTTTCAGTTTTGATGATTGGTTCCAATTTGTATCATATATGTAACCCATATACTAGGAGGAGGATTTTGATTTATGTGTCTACTTGTTGTTATTCAGGTGCAAGAAGAATTTGAACAGTTTGGTTCTTTCTCTTGCTCCCAAATTCGTCAAGCTTCAGACTTTAGTACTGAGACAGGACAAACCGCAGCTTGAGGACAACGCAGTGGAAGCCATAGCAAATCACTGTCACGAGCTACAAGATTTGGACTTAAGCAAAAGCTTGAAACTAACTGACCATTCCCTCTATTCGCTGGCTCGTGGTTGCACTAGCCTCACTAAACTTAACCTTAGCGGATGCACTTCGTTCAGCGACACTGCTCTCGCGCATTTGACAAGATTTTGTCTGAAGCTTAAAATTCTGAATCTCTGTGGTTGTGTGGAAGCTGTATCTGACAGTGCATTGCAGGTGCCTTTTTAACATTCATTTCTCTAATGTCATCACCCTTCTATTTTCTTTTGTATCGATAAGTCGAACAATTCTTCAACCGTTGTGCAGGCTATTGGAGCAAACTGCAATCAGTTGCAGTCACTAAACTTGGGATGGTGTGAGAATATAAGTGATGATGGAGTTATGAGTTTAGCTTATGGCTGTCCTGATCTCAGAACGCTTGATCTTTGTGGCTGTGTATCAATTACAGGTAAACCTCAGCTTTACGAGACCCGAATCTAAGTTTTTCTTTTTTTCTGCTCTTAAACATTTGTTGTTGCTGCAGATGAGAGTGTTGTGGCTTTGGCAAATCAGTGTGTACACTTGAGGTCACTGGGGTTATACTATTGCAGGAACATTACAGACAGAGCCATGTACTCGCTGGCTCAAAGCGGAGTGAAGAATAAGCATGAGATGTGGCGAGCAGTGAAGAAAGGAAAATTCGATGAAGAAGGACTAAGAAGCCTTAACATTAGCCAATGCACTTACCTCACACCTTCAGCGGTTCAAGCTGTCTGCGATACATTCCCTTCCCTCCACACTTGTTCAGGCAGGCATTCACTTGTCATGAGCGGTTGTCTGAATTTACAATCAGTTCATTGTGCCTGCATCCACCAGGCTCACCGCACCCACACCGCTTTCCCTCACCCGGCTCATTGAACCGGTGTGTGAACTAGAGGGTCATCTCTCTGGTATGTGTGTTTAATAAAAGCTTCTTTTAGTTTTCTTCTCGTCTCTGATGCAATCTCAAGATTTTAACATTTATACATTATAGCAATCTTGTAATGATTGCAAAATACTTATATCTAACAATTTGTTAAGTTTGATCCAACAATCATCATCTATCACTAATGAATAACTCAAATTATAAGACGAGGTTGCATCACATCCAGATGTGTGACACCATCACTTGTAAATTGTAATGGTATACAATTTTATATAATCGTCTACATCAAATGCCCTTGTAAAATGTTTAATCAAGAATCTAAACCTCAGTTTAACTATCGCACTAGTATATGCTCCTTCCGAGTCCTTCGTTAATGTGGGTAGTTAAACTCAACCATAGTTTTTTTAACAATATTTATTTTAGTGTTTTCGTTAAAAAAGGTCAAAAACCATACAAACATTTGATTCAAAATATTTATTTTAGTGTTTTCGTGCGCAAAACATTTGATTAAATGTTTTGGTAAGTTAAAATTCAATAATTTAATCGTTTTTTATGAATCAAGCCTTATTATTTACGGACCACGTTTGTAGATTGAACTTTTGGTACTTACGGACCATGGAAGTAGATTGTCGGCGTTATTACGTCCGTCTTTTTAAATCATGTAGCAACAGAACTCGCGAAACTTTATGGAGGCAAACACACGGATTGTTCTTCAAGAAGGGTTTTATTGGCTCAATTGTTATTGTTGCTAACCATCTCCTTCAAATTTACTCGCGGTGTGGCAATATGGGCACTGCGCGGGACTTGTTCGACGAAATGCCTGAGAGGAACTATTTCTCCTGGAACACTATGATTGAAGGGTACATGAATTCTGGGGAGAAGGGCACGGCTTTGAGGTTTTTTGATATGATGCCAGAAAGGGATGGGTACTCTTGGAACTTGGTTGTTTCCGGGTTTGCAAAGGCTGGGGAGCTAGGTGTTGCTAGGAGGTTATTCAATGCCATGCCGGAGAAAGATGCTGTGACGGTGAACTCTCTGCTTCATGGATATATTCTAGACGGTTATGCAGAGGAAGCTCTGAGGCTGTTTAAAGAACTGAAATTTAGCGCTGATGCGATCATAATGACTACAGTTCTCAAGGCATGTGCAATGTTGGAAGCTTTGAAATGTGGGAAGCAGATACATGCTCGGATTATGATCAGCGGTGTTGAATTTGATTCGAAAATGAATAGTTCGTTAGTTAATTTGTATGCAAAATGTGGTGAGTGGAGAATGGCAAGTATTATGCTGGATCAGATCGGGGAACCGGATGACCATTCTCTATCAGCCTTAATTTCAGGTTATGCAAATTGTGGGAGAGTGGATGAGTCTAGAGGAATTTTCGATAGGAAAAGTAATAGATGTGTAATTCTATGGAACTCTATGATTTCGGGTTATGTTGCCAATGATATGAAATTTGAGGCATTAGTTCTTTTCAATGAGATGAGGAATGAAACCCAGGAAGATTCTCGTACGCTGGCAGCTGTTATAAACGCTTGCATCGGTTTGGGCTTCCTAGAGACTGGTAAACAAATGCATTGTCATGCTTGTAAATTTGGGTTAATTGAGGACATTGTTGTAGCTAGCACTTTGCTTGACATGTACTCCAAGTGTGGAAACCCAATGGAAGCTTGCAAACTTTTCAGTGAGGTCGAGACCTATGACACAATCTTACTGAATAATATGATCAAGGTATATTTCAGCTGTGGAAGATTTGATGATGCAAAACGGGTATTTGAGCGAATTGAAAATAAGAGCTTGATTTCTTGGAACTCAATGATTAACGGATTCAGTCAAAATGGTTGTTCTGTTGAAACTTTGGAGTATTTCCGCCGAATGCACAAATTGGATTTGCCCACAGATGAGGTTAGCCTCTCCAGTGTCATCAGTGCTTGTGCAACCATTTCTTCTCTCGAACTCGGTGAGCAGGTTTTTGCCAGGGCGACCATTGTTGGTCTGGACTCTGATCAAGTAGTATCATCCTCTCTCATTGATCTGTACTGCAAGTGTGGATTCGTTGAACATGGCAGGAGAGTGTTTGACACAATGGTAAAATCAGATGAAGTACCATGGAACTCAATGATCTCAGGTTATGCTACAAATGGACGTGGATTTGAAGCGATTGATTTGTTCAAGAAAATGAATGTTGCTGGTATAAAACCCACTCGGATCACCTTTATGGTTGTTCTAACAGCCTGCAATTACTGTGGTTTAGTGGAAGAGGGAAGAAATTTTTTCGAGGCAATGAAGTTGGATAATGGTTTTGTTCCAGATAAAGAGCACTTTTCATGTATGGTTGACCTTTTGGCTCGTGCTGGTTATGTGGAAGAAGCCATAGATCTTGTAGAAGAGATGCCTTTTGATGCAGATGCAAGCATGTGGTCATCTGTTCTTAGAGGATGTATTGCAAATGGACATAAAGCCATGGGAAAGAAAGTTGCTGAAAAGATTATAAAGCTTGAACCTGAGAACTCAGTTGCTTATGTGCAGTTGTCCACCATATTCGCAACCTCTGGAGATTGGGAAAGCTCGGCGCTTGTAAGAAAACTGATGAGAGAGAAGAATGTGACAAAGAATCCAGGTTCTAGTTGGGCTGATTGTTGAATACTAGCTTAAGTGTTAATACCACCAATATAAGCAAAACGACAAGTCAAGTTTGAGTATGAAGAAATGGACAAGGAGTGGGGAGTTTGAAACGAAATAAAAAAGAAACTTTTCTTGAAGTTAAACGAACGTAGGTTAGTCATATAGTCATATTTTTATCGATCCTGGAAAATTTAATCGTTATCTGCTTTGCTATGTGAATTGATAGTTATGCTTTGCTTCTGATCCTTTGTTTTGCAGCTGACTGATGGCACGTTGCAGTACATGATCTATACATTGAGAAATGAGACAGAGCAACTGTGCTACTTGAGCTAGAGAACATTTCTGTGACTTTTTACAGGTTGATAGAGAAATCGAAGATCTACAACTGGATGTTTCCAATATCAAACTATATAGCATCGATCATTGATTATTTTGCTGAGCTAGAGACAGATAGTTTCACGTTACACCGCCTCATTCATGGATCATGGTTGAGTTGCAGGCCAGATTTCCGAGCTACAGGGTCAAGAAAACGACTACAAAAAAAGAAGAAGGCGCGTGTCTCACTCAAGTTATTGACAAAGAGATTGAAGATGTGCAGCTTGAGTTTATGATTGTTAGTAAGTCAATTTGAGTGTGAATATCACCGATAGAAGGAAAATTACAACAAAACAGTGTATAGTAATCTTGTAATGATTACAAACCAGTTGAGTTTTTCTTCTTTTTAAGAAAAACTTATTTTAACAATTTGTTAAGTTTGATCCATCGGTTATCATCATTACAAATATTTATAAAGAATTAATAACTTAAAGAGGATGTATCACATTCACATGTGAGACCCATCAATTGCAATGTGAGTGTGGTATTGATCATTTGCTTTTGTAGACAATTTCATCATCGTCTACATCGAATGCTGGATTGCAGAGACATCTGAAGAGTCTACCAATCCCCTGTCCAATCAAGAATCAAAATCTCAGTTTATCTTATTGCATTATCATTGAATCATAGAAATGACTTTAAAAATGAGAATCATATTTGACCTGAGTGAGCAGAGGAGTTCTATATGAAAGTGGTTGTGAAGAATCGTCATCACTGCTACTGTCATCATCGTCGTCGCTGTCTTCATCTTCTCTTGTTGATTTCGAGCCGTTCCTTGATTGCTTTTCTTGCTACATAAGCCATAACAATCTTGAATCAGCATAAGAAACCAAAAAAAAAAAAACAGATCAGATAATGTGATATGTTAGTATTTTATTAAAAACCTGGAAAATCTTCCCAAGAATCTTGAGAGCCATTGCTCTAGATTTGACCTCCTCCTTTCTTAAGTTGTTATCGCGCAAAACCTAAATAAATTTGTATTTCAAGAATCATATCTTATGTCTGATATCCAAATATAAGCAATAGGAAATCCAAAGAACTCACCATCTGGCACACATGTAACAGAGTCACTTCAATGTCGACCACATTTAGTTTCCACAAAGATCCGATCAACGTTTCTTTGTTGGTCTGAATATGGGACTCCAAATCATTCGTTGCACTAGTCCCATCTTTCTTGAGTCTCCGGTTACTCTCTTCTTGCAGCTGAAGTAACTGAAAAGCTCCTTTGGCTGCACTGATCTGTGATTTCCACGAATGACCTTTGTTCCTAACCCATTCAGCTACAAATGGAACTCCTAAGTAAAGAGCTCTTTTCCCAAGTTCTTGAGCTGCTTGTCTTGTGTATACATATCCAATTGTATGCAACATATCCGCTCCAAAAGCTTCATTCATATAAACTCAGTTCAGAATGCAAATATTGTAAAAGTGAAAGAAAGAGAAGGAAGGAGACAAGACAATGCCTGCATCTGATAGTCTTTTGGCTTCAGATTCTGCGCGGTGTATGAACCCTTCTTTGTCTCCATGGACGTATTGACTCAATAAATCTTTGAGAAACTTTGCGAGGTTTTCTTCTCTTTCTTTCTGAACAGCCTACAAAACCAAAGAGAAGAATCTTTCTTTATGTAAGATGATCAGATCAAGAAGACGGATATATTAGTTATATAACATATGGTTTTAGATTTGCCTTCAATTTGTCATGAAACTGATCAGGGGTTTCAGTTTCAGAAGCCATTTGTGTAGAAGCCATTGATGCAACAGCTAAGTGACCGATATAATCCTCAAATAGTTCACTTCCGAAGAGAAGAGCGAAAACAGCCGTTGGATCAACCATCGTTTCTCTGATTGATCAAAAACACAATTGAACAATGTCAGAAAAAGAAGGAACACATATAATGTTATTTTTACTCAAACAAGAGATAAAAGAAAACATTACTTGGGAGCTGAGAACTTTCCAGTTTGATCATACGCTTCACGATGAACAGGATCACTTAGAACCTGGTAAGCTTCACCAAGAACCTGTCCCCAAGAAGAAGAAAAAAAAAGAAAACTCTTGATTTGATCAAAATCATTATAAAAAAAACAAGAAAAGAAAAATGACATTAAAAGAACTTTAACTTGCCTGAAACTTTTCAGCAGCCAGAGGATCACCTTGATTCTTATCAGGATGAACTTGCCTTGCCTAAAAGATTCAAGAATCAGTCATCCAACACAGAGAAAACTCACAGATCTGTGAAAACATTATAAGAAGAAAAAGCAAAACCTTGATGTAATAAGCCTTGCGAATCTCTTCCTCAGAAGCAGAGGGAGTGACACCAAGAACATCATAGTACACTGTTTCCTTCACCATGATCAGATCAAAGATGTCAAAAGAGTTTGAGAAAGAAAGAAAAAAGATGTGATAAATTGGGTAGATAAGAAAAGAAAAGGTTTTGGTTTGGTGAGTGTGAAGAAGCTTTTAGGAGATGTGGGGAAGAAGAAGTTCACAAAAGGGGTCTTGATCTGGTTAAAGAAGCAGCTAGCAAAGAAAGAAAAAAAAAGAGGTTGGCTTTACAGTTATGATGAACTTTTCCAAATATACTACTAATTGCGCCGCTTTTGAGCGGGACTACAAAACATCACTCTCTCTCTTTTTTAACTGTCTACTTAGTGCTTTCTATCATTCATTTTCATGTCTCTTTTCCTAACTCCTTTTTTGCTTATTCCCCATTTCAAGATACTACTACTTGTTAGACAATATAAAATTAGATCCAGTTCGTCAGGTTCGGACTAGACACTATTTTTGTGAACTCTTCTTGTTCCCAAACAAAGGAAATACATGCATACATTCAAATATAATTACAAGAGACTGACGCAAGCAAGTTAATGTACCTAATGAATTACATATTTACATTGCTATTATTAATTAATACGGTCAGGTATTTTTACCAAACCCGTTTTATGGGATATTAACTTCTATCTACTTGCAGATACAACTTTGAATACCCACTTTAAAGTTTTGAGGCCGGATTTAAGGTGAGTGACGGATCAAATCAAATCATCATTTAGCAAAAAGGTAAATAAAAGAAAGGTCCTACCGGGAGTCGAACCCAGGTCGCTGGATTCAAAGTCCAGAGTGCTAACCACTACACCATAGAACCTCGTTGTACAACACCTGATGAAATCGTTATTTAGATTTACCTAAGCATCGAATCGTATTTGTTTAATTACAAGTGTCCTTAAATAAATGGGTTTCATTTTGTCGTCAACTGTCATTTTCTCACGTTTCAACAACTTAATGGGCGAAAGCAATTGGAGAAAATAACACAAACAAGATTAAAGAAGTTTTGCACAAAATTTGAGTAGAGAAAGCTCAGTGAGTCGTATAACATTTTGATAAGTAATAGTTGTCTAAGCTCAAAAGTTTTGACGAGTCTTATCGCGTCTATAGAGTGCTCATGACTATCTTCCTCTCCCACGTTTACCCCCACCCCCTCTTCCTCCTCCTCTCTTGCCACCTCTACTACTAGTACTACTACCACCACGACGACCGCCAAAATCTCTCCCGCTTCCTCTCCCACCCGATTCCCTGCTGCTACCACCGCCAAAATCTCTATCGCCTCTACCACCTCTACCGCCCCTACCCCCACCACCACGGCCTCCTCTGGCCCCACCTCTTCCACCCCTCTTGCTCTGCAGATAAGACACCTTGTTCGCCTTTTGCTGTCTCTCTTTACGCACCTGCTCCAGGTCTTTAATCTCTGAACGCACATGCGCGTTAGGCACTGATCCTTGCCGTCTCTTACCGTCTCGGCCACCTCTACCTGCCAAGTTTTTCTCTTTAAACCTGTTGACGACTCAAACAAGGCAAAATTGTGTGGAAAAATGTTGTACAATATTATTTACCTGACATGCTTGTGGTTTCGCCTGCATCTCCGCCGTCTCTGCCGAATACTGACTTGTGAGACCTCTCTTTCCATCTCTTGTATATCCCTGTCTTGTTTGCTTTCACCTTAGCTCCACTCTCTGTCTTTATCTATTTAGTTTCAAGAACCTTAGTTAGCTTAAAGCCTCCCAGAGGATCGTCGAACGTTCTGAAAGGAAAGGACAATTTTACTACCTTTCCACTGGCTGTTACTCGATCTCCATTGTTCAACTTGATGTACTTCTTACTTTTCTGTTACCAATGAAAATCCAATTTTTTTCAATAAGATTAAGATTACAGTTGGGGCAATTGTTAAGACATAACCTCAACACTACCTTGTCCCAGTGATAATTTGATTTTTGCTGCTTCATCCCTTGCCCATCATCTGCAACTAGATCCAGCACAGCAGCGTCCAACCTAGAATCCGATATCAGGACACAAGGCGCGTCAAAATCTGACAGAAAACTCTTTAATTTTGAAAGATTTAAAATGAAACCCTTGGATCCTTCTATGGAATGCCACTAAAGGCCCCATCAAAAATCGTTTACCTATTAGATCCAAACCCTTCGTTACCCCTCACAGATAGCCCTGCCTCTGAATGCTGTGTGCATAAGAATAATAAAGAGTCAAACTTTGCATCTTCTCAACATCATCATAAGCATTGTAGCTTTGACAGCGAAAATGCGAACTGACACAGAAAGAGGCTTTTATTTAAAGAAAATTACATACATGATTTACTGGTATGGAGCTGATAAAGAATTCATCATCCTTGAAGCTTTCTTGTCCCTTTCTTTTCTTACCGCTTACTGAAATCAATGGAAAGTTAAAGGTAGGTAACCAGAGAAGTGGAAAAACCACGCACCACAAACTATTCAAAAGATCTACGATGACAGACAAATACAGATTAAAGCAACAAGAGCGCAAGCAACACACATACATTTGCTTCCTTTTATTGAGTCCTCACCAAAAGAAGTTGTAGGTTCAGCTTCCTAGATATCAAAACATTTATGTAAGTGAAACTAATGGCAAAGAAACAAGCACGTGTCACAATTTAATATTAGAAACTGCAAACAAAAATACCATTTCTAAATGATTATTGGAACTCTTCTGATTCTGCTGATGTCTAGTATTTATGATCTCCTCATGAATGGCTCTTTTCTTCTTCATCACATCAACCCATTGGCCAGGAGGACCCTGCACAAGAACCAAAACGTTTTGGCTTAGGCTACTTATAAACAAATTCCAGAAATACATAAGTTAACTGCCAGCCAAGTAGAGAATTTTGAAAGAGATCAAATGATTATATAATTAGTGTAATAGTCAAACAAACCAAAGGAAAGAAAATATGGCAGGAAAGCGAGGAACCTTTATATTTTTGGATTTGGCAGCGTCACCTTCTGCCTCAAGTATGGTCTGCTTGGGTCTATCACAGATCAGCCATCAATAATTAATAATGTTTGTGTTATATTACATATGGACATACCATCTTCAAGTCTGGACGTATCAAAGAAAATATACAAGTTAAAAAGGATGACTATTAATACTACTCACCTGAAATTTTTAATTTTCTGGAAAAACGCCATTGCCTCTAATTCCCCACTTTCAATTATGCTTCTGAAGATGGGATGCAAGCCTTCTCGGGGTAAAGCCTTGGCTCTCCTAATGGACTCTTTTGACGGTGAGGGTTTTGTTTTTGAATACAAGCGAAAAGCTTTTGTGGATGTTCTTTCAAGGGAATCCAATTCTGCGGATGAATCAATCATTTCTCGGATTCTGTTAAAGATAAGATCAATGGTTTTCTGAGGAAAACGACCGTATACTGTTACTCCACTATCAATTGCTTGACTAGTTTTGCTCATTACTTCTTCCATGTTCTTCAAGACCTCATCCTCAGTAGGTGCAGGCCTGATTGGTTTCGAGAGGAATAGATGAAGATCTAAAAGATATGGCATATCCTCGGGTGTAACAAAGGAATATGCAGAACCTGTACGACCAGCCCTGGCAGCTCTTCCCACACGATGAACAAAAATCTTTGGTCTAGGAGGGAAATCCCAGTTTATAACATTATCAAGCAATGGTATGTCAATACCCCTAGCAGCAATATCTGTGACAATCAACAACATAGTCTTCCTCGCCCTGAACCTTGATACATGAATCTTACGAGCGTCTTGATCCATATCTCCGTAACATACAGATGGTTCAATATTTTCCAACTTAAACAAAGAGTTGACAAATTCCACATGATGCTTTGTGGAAACGAATATCAAGGTCTGTTGATCTGAACTTATATGCTCCCTTACCAAGTACAGCAAAGCAGCATACTTCTCTTCCGGCCGTAAGGTCAAAAACGAAAGTTTCAAATCCGGGCTAATCTTGTTCTCAACATCTAAACGAACCAGCTGAGGGTCTCGCAGACCAGCCTTTGCAAATTCCGCAAGGGCACTTGGTAAAGTGGCACTAAAAAGCAAAGTCTGTCTGTTCTCACTTAACTGAGCTAGAATCTGATGCAGCTGTTCAGCAAAACCCATACCAAACAGACTATCAGCCTCATCGAAAACCACATATTCAACCGTCCTAAGTGTCATGTCATCAACCTCAGACAAAAGATGCATAAGTCTCCCAGGAGTTGCAATAATAACATCAGGGCCTTTTGTCAACTCTTCAAACTGGTCTTCCATGCTATCTCCACCAACTAGTAAGGACACACGAAGATCTGAAAAAAAAAAAAAAAACACAATCACAGCTTTTAAAAGCCAATCTTTGCAGAATTGAAAAGAGAGAGTTTTTAGATAGAATTTGAATTCTTTAGACCAACCTGTAAATTTGCCGAGCTCCTTGGTGAACTTGAGAGTCTGCTCAGCTAAATCACGAGTAGGGGACAATATGAGTGCTCTAACACCACCCTGAGGCACGTGTTGTTTGAGCTTCTCAAGCATAGGGATGAGAAAAGCAGCGGTTTTACCGGAACCGGTTCGAGCCATGGCAACAACATCGACGCCAGAGAGAATGAGCGGCATCGTCTTCCTCTGGATTGGTGTAGGAACTTTGTAACCCTTTTTCTTGATTGCATTGAAGACATTAGGACCGAGATTTAGTGACTCGAATCCTCCAGATTTGCCTTTCTTCTTCTGTTTCTCTTTCCGGTGAAGCTCAGTAACCGAACTCACCAAGAAACCATTCCCTTCAACCATGATGGTATGCAGGCTTTGAGACTAGGGTTTAGAAGCGAAGAAGATGACTTCGCCGTGATGATGATGATTCAGAGTTTTGTTAGCTTTGGGTTTTAGGGTTTAACGAAATAGGAGACAATTACAAGAAAACCTTTTTCGGGCTTGTTCTTCTTTTGGGCCTTTAATTTAACGATATAAAGGCCCAACATTCTATAATCGTTACTCAAATCTTGTTTTATTTTTCTAGGTGAGCTTTAGCTGTAAAGAAATAATAATTAGTTAAGTTTCCAGAAATCCTAGCAATTAATCAAAACCAAAAACTTAAAAGAACTGCTAGGACAATGTTGGATCGAGAGTATTGTTGGCCCAAATAAGTCTCCAAATTTTAAGGGAGTATTGGATCGCTTGGTTATAATAGTTTTAACGTTTGGGCCGAAACGAGATTGCGAAGAATAAAAATGCGGGTTTAATCCGGTTCAGATCGTGGGCAGATCCTGGTTCAGCTGATCACGTAAACGAATAAAAGCATTGAGAAAATGCGGACGCCAAATTAGTGAATGTTTTTTTTATCCTTACCTGAGTTTTGCGGCAGAGTGTGAACCTACGATTCAACTCGGTAAATGTTTTTACCTTCAGAAAATAAATAAATAAGGGACACACTTACAAAAAATATTGTGATTTCTTTCTCTTTTTTGGGTGTATCAACAATGGACTATCTTAGACATACATGTAATGGTAAAGTTATCTATATATTTTGGGTCTTTCGCATGAACTACGTGTATGTATGTTAGGCTGTTAGCTACAATATTAATTTGTTCTTGCATGCCATCAAAACTCACATGTCCCGTTTGGTAGACTTAACGATGGTTTCTTTTGTTTGTTCCGTACCGAATCGATCCAAGGAGTCGTTTGATATATTGAAAATTGGACCCAAACATGATCTATAATTGTTATCATGTTATATGACGGACACACTTTTATATATATAGTTAACTCAAATCTAATCCTTGTCCATTTTAGTGAAGGTTTGAATATTAAGTATAATCATCCTATTCATTAATTAACCATGCCCAATTCATAAATTAAAAACTACCGAAGAAACCAAGAAAAAAAAAAAGAGTTAAAACCAATTTATGATCGGTGGGGATGATGATCGGACTCGGACCGGTCTAACCGACCGCAAGGAATAATTTCTACAAGCAGAAAACAAAAGTCCGTCTCTTCGGTCGCTTCAAAACGCAGCCGTTTCCACTCGTTACTATTATTTTCTCTCTCTCGTTTAACAACACAAAACAAAACAAAAAACAATCTGACTTGGATTTTTGTCATTAGTAGTCCCATAGGCAAGAAAAAAGAAAAAAAAAAGTGAGAAAACGAAGAAAAAGAAAGGAATAAAAAGAAGGAAAAAAAGATAGAGCGTCTCCGGACATTAGGATCAAATTAGGGCATAACACTAACCGGAGACAGAGAGAAGCTATGGGAAGAAGAAAAATCGAGATAAAGCGAATCGAGAACAAAAGCAGTCGACAAGTCACTTTCTCCAAACGACGCAATGGTCTCATCGACAAAGCTCGACAGCTTTCAATTCTCTGTGATTCCTCCGTCGCCGTTGTTGTTGTCTCTGCCTCCGGAAAACTCTACAACTCTTGCTCCGGTGACGAGTAAGTTACTTTCCTCTTCTGGATCTTCTCTCACTCCACTCTTGTGCTCATTCTCTTTCTTTTCTTATTTTCCCTATATAGAAAACTTCAATTCTAGGGCTTTTTGTTTCCTTCAATTCACCTTTGATTTTCTCTATGAAGATACCAGATGCGTGAGCTTTAACCTAATTGTAGATTAATCATTTTGATGGCCAAGTTCTTAGTCTTTTTTTTTTTTTTTTTTAATAGGGATTTTTAATTTTTTATTTCACCATTCACCTTTTTTTAGAAATTTAATATTGCATGAGATTCAAGAAACTTTCCTACACATGGTGATTCGTTCTCAATGTTGTTTTAAGTAGTCTTTGTATTGATAGTTCATCCGTTTTTTCACTTTCAAGATTCGTTTTCTTTTTATAATAATGATATGTACATTGTTAAATTTTGAGATTTGGTTTATATCCAATATTGCAATGCACTTCCGATACATTTGTTGATAGATTGATTGGGTTTAATGGTAACATCAATCGAGTGTCTTTTGTTTCAATTGGATGCCACATTGTGCAATATATTGATCCCAACTTTAAGTTTGCAATTTCCCTGTGATGGATTTTTTTGATTAAAGTACCAAATCCAAGTGTTAATATAGTTGGTTTTGATGGTTAACTGCTGTGCTTGGATACTTCTTACATTGACACTTCCCACACATGATGCGTTACTTATCTATTTGGATACTGAATTTCACCCTTTTAAATCGTAATCGTTGCCTACCTATGACACCATACAAGATATATATGTTTAGTGAGCGAGGCTTTGTTGCTATCTTCAAGATGTTGCAATGAATTTAGTTAGGGTCTCTCTCTCTTGCCTAAAGAAACTCAAACTATATAACTTAGTCCACTATATATGTGAGTGACCTAGTGGAGTCATTAAGTAGAAATCGCTCGCCAGTTTTACCGATTGTTCAATGAATTTAATACTGTCTTCTGTTATTTTGTTGTGGATATCTGTAACCCCATGAACTTTTGACATATATCTATCTAGAAGAACTCTCATCCACTTCTCTTTTAGAATATTTTGAAACCGATTACATTGACATTACTATTGAAAGTGTATTTTTATATAGTGCTTGTAGGAAATAGAAATGGAAACCTTATCACTATGTGTAAAATATAACTCCTTCTCATTTCCTTGATATTTAATCCGTAAATGCTTGATCATGAAAATAAATATGTTGACTATGTAACTAACAATGCACAGTCTATATTTAAAAGTATTAGGGACCTTCTCTACTTGCCTTCATTTTACAATAGTCAAGCTCTAGGCCGTGTAGCTAGTTTCTTTGGTAGTTCCTTTTTTATCTTGACAAAGTGGCACTATACAAAGTGTGTTGAGTTGAGATTAGTAGTCTTATGCGTCGTATGTGATTACTGTGAAGTTACTAATTCACAACTTAAGATGTTACTAAGTCGTAAGAACGTGTAATAACTGAAGTCTATTTTGAGCCAGCCTATATTCATATTATTGCATTAATAGATCATGGACAACACGAATTAGGATTAAAGTCGTGACCTTTCTCAAATATCTTTCTTGGAGTATCCTAACATCATTTAGCCTGAGCTTTTGGTTTTAATTTTCTGATTCGTTGGACTTTATGTGTGAAAGCTTCAGTACTAGGTTGTACTTGGATTGAATAGGCAAATTATAAATTGGTTTCTCATTAACTTCTAAAAAAATTCCCGTAAAAATGAATATGAATTTCCATTGTGATTTTGTTGTTTCAAAGTAAGTGTTTTATAATCTATCTACTTATAATTTTCCGCCTGCTACATGTTGTTGAAAGAACAAAAAATAGATCTTATTATAAAAGTGATTTGCCTTTGATGAGAAAAAGAAGGTAATTAATTTAAGTCATATAAAGGAGTTAAAATACATGCATTTAGTTATTATTTTGAAGTTGAAACAATATTGACTTCCATTGGTTGCCAAGTTGATCATACATTACAATTGTAAAGTTCAAATTTGTATCCTGAGTATGAAAATTATAGAGAGTATGTAATGGATAAAATTGAGGAAGTTATTGCATAAATAGAGTAAAACATACAAAAACTAGTAGTAACAAGTGTTTTATTTTACGCTATCTACACTAACATTTGTATATAGATATACTGCTGGTTAGTAACACAGATTGTTGCAATATGTAAAATTTGTATATAAGCATTCTTTCACTCTGGTTCATTCTCTTTTGATGCTCTATATCATCCAAATTTTGCATAAACTATTGCTCTAACTTCTAATGCATTTTTTTTTGTTTTGTTCTTGATATCTCTAGCATGTCCAAGATCATCGAGCGTTATGAAATACAACATGCTGATGAACTTAAAGCCTTAGTAAGTTAGCTAAAAACGCATTCAAATATTCTTCTGGATGAGTTTTCTGATGTTATGAAGGGATATAAGCTCTGATCCACTGGAACATTATTACTCTAGAGTCATAGTTATCGCGCTGTTGAAAGATACATGAGCGTCACAATCTTTCCAACCTTTCCCATCCTTTCCTCCATGTGCAGGATCTTGCGGAAAAAACTCGGAATTATCTTCCACACAAGGAGTTACTAGAAATAGTCCAAAGGTTAGCACTACCACGTCTTTTGCCTCCCTCCTTTTCTGATAAAAATTACTTCTTCTTTTTTTCTCTTTGTCCACTTATGAATACAGCAACCTTGAAGAAACAAATATCAATAACCTAAGTGTAGATTTTCTAATTTCTCTGGAGGAACAGCTCGAGAATGCTCTGTCCGTAAGTAGAGCTAGGAAGGTATATATATATTTGCTACTAAGTGACTGAACCAATTATTCCAAAATTTTGATCGTTAGTTTTTCAAACAGTCTTCATAATCATCAATGTCTTGTTGTAGACAGAACTGATGATGGAAAGTCTGAAGTCCCTTCAAGGAGAGGTTAGTGCTTTGGTTTTTATTTGCTAAACAAGGCAATAATTGTAGGCTATGCTGATCTTGAATCCTATTGAGTATAGCCCGAACTCTGCAGATCACTAAACCTTGTTTAGATCCATATGTATCGTTTGGTCTTGTCTTAGCTCCTGATTTATTCTTGGCTTCATTTAGAAATAGCAGTTTTACACTCTATATCAGATTCGACCCTTCCCACATGAACCACCGAAATTGGATGAGAAGGAAACTGAGAACTTGTTTGGAACTAATGACCTTATGATCTTCTCTAAACAGGAGAATTTGCTGAGAGAAGAGAACCAGGTTCTGGCTAGCCAGGTAACTAAGACCAGAATCTCTTATGCTTCTACATGCTAATTGATAACTTTATACACCACCACTATTGAGAGATACACATACACCACTTATATAAAAACATATCAACGTATATATGTATATTCTATAATATATGTTAATGTGATATAAAAAAGGGCTTCTTTAAATCAGAATAGCTGTAGAAATAGAAATGTAAGTTACACATTTGTCGAACATTCTAAAAATAATTTACAAAAGAAGATAAAACATTCTCTGAAAATCTAGATTTCTTGTTGTTAAACTTTAGGAGCTGTCGAAGAATACTTGTAAAATTTTTGTTATGCCCTAGAGTAAAATATTAATATCTTTGTAATGTTAAAGTATAAGCTATAGAAATGTAAGAAAGTTGCTTACAGATGGGGAAGAAGAATACGTTTCTGGCAACAGAGGATGAGAGAGGAATATCACCGGAAAATAGCTCCGGCAACCAAATACCGGAGACTCTACCGCTGCTCAAGTGACCACCAATCCACCATCGTCAACGGCATAGTGTGCACCTCAAATTCAAGCCTGATTCAGATTAAAAAGAAGAAAAACAAATAATTTGTAAATTATTAAAAGCTGCATAATCACAAACCTATCTTCCTCTAATGTGGAAATTATGGCTAAAAAAAAAACAGAAAGCTCTTTCTCAATGAACAAGAATTGTGCAACTAAGATAAACTTATCGATCTTTGCTGTACCTTTGGAGACAAAGATCAGAGTTCTCATGATTTGTGTCTGAAAGTACGGATTGGATTTTTAAAGTTCGGCTTTCTTCGGCATGACGAGCCCTAGAGTGCTTCTTAATTCTTTTTTGTGTTCCTTTATGTAACTGTTAGTTGTTTAATTCTTTGTCTTAATGAATTTACGTGGCAAAGTTATCTACTCGAAAAATATCTTCTAATTTGATTCAAGAACATATCAGATATTTTTGTCCTTTTTCCAAGTTTAGCAATTCTGCTTTTGAGAAACTCCAAAATAGTTGTATACTACTATTAGACTACTATATCAGATATTTTTCACCTTTTCCAAGTTTTTTTTAGATTAATTATGTTAATAGGAAATCAAATAAAGCCAGCTGGAGATGAAACCGGTAAGAGAATCCGGTTTGGTATGGTTCGCTTTAACTTATGAATCCGGTCTAAATCGAGAAGACCGTATTCGAAGCTTGGTGCACTGCTCGTGTTTTGGTTTACTGTAATAATATTACAGGATTCTCAACTTTTTTACAAATACGTACATTTATGTACCGCGCTCTTTGTGTTTCTTAGTCTTTGGAAAACTCTTGTGTAACTGTTGAATTCCACTAATTAATGCCTCTAAACAACACGGAACGAAGTAGCTATCCTCTTCAGGTCCTTGTAGTATCTCTTCCATTGAAGCCCTGTAGCATCAAACATAACCATTCAAATTATGTGTAAAAATAACCAAAAAAAATGTTCACTGTGTCATAGAAGCTTGGACTAGAAGAGAGATTTTACCGTTTCCGGTGACACTGAACAAGTAAAGGCGGTTTCCGGCAGCTGTTGCAGTGATCAGTACATGAGGCGGCTCTAGCTCAAATTGGTAATAGAGTCTACCTTGGTGTTCTGCAACATTGGAACTTAACACTTTCCCTTCTACGTTTTCTCCAATAACTTCTGGTCCAAACGCGTTAATCACCTTGGCTGGTGGTCCAATATTTTCAATCTTAACATCGTCCCCGAGGTCTGTCAAACAAAATTTATGAAAGCACAACACACAAAATCAATCAATACAAATTAGACAAGGTGGCATTGCCTATATAACTCAAAAGACTAAACTTGATGAATCTTCTTAAATGGCAGAGACAACTTACTATCTGCAAATCTTAGAACAGGAGCTACGATAACAGACACGCGGCCTTCTTTAGGACTAGCAAATCTCAAGTCAATCTCGGTACCACCAAGATCAGCAATCGATACAGGTACCTAAATTGATATAACAGAGGGAACAATCTCAAAATATGACTTCAAACATTGGAACTAACCCATAAGCAATAGACAAAGGGACCAAACCTCATTCCAATCTTGAGGAACCGAAAAGGAGTAAGGGATAATAGGACTCCAACCAACACCATGTCCTCCTGACTTCTCGTCTGGTCTACGGTATGTTCTCCAACCTGTCTGAGCATTACAACTACATTACACCAACAAATCTTCAACTACTAGTGTAGAGTCATACAACTCCAAGAATCACTGTCCAAAGTCTATACATTTATTTTTAATATGATCCAATGGTGACATCCTCAAGAAGAAGAGAATCATAGAGCAGGAAAAGAACTTATAATCTAAAAGGACAGACAGAAGTAGAAGAAGAGAGAACAGAGTGAAACAAACCTTCATCATCAGGTTCGGACAAACCAGGAACTCTCCCGGCAAGAAGGCCCTGTTTCACGACAGCCAACCCTTCCCCTGGAAACGCTAAAGCCGTCGACGAGACTAGCGAGAATCCAGACGCCATAACCGATCTTCTACTCAAAGCCACAGCGCACCTCTCGTCTCTCTGAGTCCCACCACCACCATCGACTCTGTGGTGAGCGGAGATTTTCTTGTGGTAGTGGTGACTGGTACTGGAAAAATTGACGCAGCAGTACCGGAGCAGAGCTGTTTCCATCTTTTTTCCGGCGAATTCGAGAATTGTTGATCAACTGATTTGTGGCTGATGATACGCATGCCTCTCACTTCTTTTGTCATTGATGATGATGATACCAAATTGTTTTCTAGCCTCACACGTGTCAATGTGAAATCACACGTACTAGGATCGAATACAGATTCTGGTGGTACGGTGCGGTTATGTGCACTTTGACTTTACTGTGAGTGCGCTTTGACTTCCTTTGTGGGCTTTTACGTTATGGTCTTTACTTGTTGGGCTGCTCTACTCATCTTTTTCCATTTGTATTACTTGTGGGTTTTTAATTCTAGAGTGGGCCTATGTAAAAACATTTGTACTAGGGTTTCTAATTTTTGTATTATGAATTTATCATTTATGATACATTAAGTGACTATATTATTATTGAATATTTATTATTAATTAAATTACCATAGTTCAATCATAGTTTACAATTTAAATATTTTTATTAGATGTAAAATAACTTTAAATATATCTTTTAATAATTCAAGTTTGTTAATTTTATTCCAACATACACGGATTATATACTTGATAAGTATAATAGTACTTGAGGTCTTTGAAACTAGTTTGTAGCATTGCATAAACGTCTAATCTCTCCTTCACCACCGATTTTCACACCAATAGCACCCATCTTTACCATGGCTTTAGCGAAATCCGCAGCAAAATTAGCTTCTGAACTTTGATTTGTTTCTAGGTACGAATCTATGATTGTCTTCATGTTATTGTCTTGGTACAAGACAGAGTCCGACAAAATGACACCTCTACCATTTTTGATGTTCCGCAAGATTTGGTCATCAAACACAAACTGACTATCCCAATCCAAGGGAATCCTGACATTAACATCGCCGCCTTGGGGACATTTTGATCTCAAGATTTGAAAGAATTCTGGATTTATCGTAGGATCTTGCGCATCTAGACGTGCTATGACAAAGAAGCATGCTGTTGTACCGATAGTATGTGCACCTTAAACAAAAAGTAAGATTCGAGTAAGCAAGGAAGTGTTTATTTTATCGAGTTGTCAATGCATGAGATTATGATATATATATACCAGCACTAAGAAGTACAAGATCTTGATCTGAAAGCCCTTTTTCTCTAAATTTTGATTTCAAGGAGCTTATGGAATCTTGAACATCTGGCAAGTTCGTAACATGACCAACATTTGCAACCCGACCGTCTCTCCGACCGGTTGGAACCTCATAAAACGGTCCTTTTGCCTAATAAGTTAATATTATTTAATATCAAAGCATCTTTTATATCCCAATATAATATGAATATAGCACGAATATAACGTAACAAATATTTATGGTGTATTCAATTTTTCTATGAAGAAGTATTAAAGTGTTACCTCAACAATAGCGTCTCTAGCAGCAAGAGCAACGATGTCAGCGCAAGACACAACGCCCGGGCAGAGACGTTCAAGCTCTGATTTAGCTTCGTCTATAACATCGAAACCAGCCACACCCGCGTTACCTGCAGCAAACCTTTCGTCATCGCTCCCATCATGCTTGATCAGTATTGACCCATCACAACCCTACAACATATAACCAAACCAGTTAATATATATATGTCATGACTAGTATGAAAAATTGTATAAAAACTGATTAATAATTAACAAGTTTTTTTTGTTTTTTGCAATGGACCTCAACGAAGCAATCGTGGAACTGGAGACGGAGTAAGACAGCAGCCTTTCCGGGGTCGTTTGTCACCGCCTGTTGAACAACTTCACGGACGACTGATTCGGCTGATGGACATGTTTCTGAGTAGAATCCAAACTGAAGTTGTGCCTCCGAATAACCTAACTGATCATGGAAATATAACAAAACTATAGATAATGCAACACTAGTTATCATTTTCGGACCAAACAAACGAATCGATTTATCTTCTTGTAGTCTACGACACATTTTTGATGATGGTTTAAGATAACTTAGCTTGCAATTTTTTTATATTTGCTCCATCTGTATTTATATGCACAGAGGAGATTCTGCGTATAGCCCCTTTACATATTGTTTTGACCTTATGTCATTTATTGCATATAGCTGTTACCGCGTAAATTCTTCACAAAGGTGACAATCCCTTTTATAAAATTTTGTAAAAAGAATTCTTGTAATCATAAAAAAACAAAAATGTATAAACTAATAAATTATTCAATAGTCCATTGGACATATGTTTTTAATAAATTGTAAGCATTTTACAAAAAAAAAAAAACAAAAAAAAAATAAATTATTCAATATATAAAATGGAAAACAAATACTAAACTGAGGGCATCATTATTGGTGGGATATTAGAGGCTAAGATCCCCCGGTTTTTACAAAGAAAATCTTATATAAGATCTTTCCTTTGCAAAGATCCCATTGATAATTTTGGTCTGAGTTCTTGTTCGACAAGAAGCCATAACAAATAATAATAAATGAATATATTTTACTTTATAACTCCTTTGGGAACTGGGTCTCCTTTTTCGTTTAATCAAAACACGTTAAGCTAATTAATCAAAATTTAGAGATAAAAAAAAGGCAGCATAATACAGGGCCTCGTCAAAAGGTTAACGTGGAGAATATATATATAGTAACGTGGCTAGTATCAAAGTTAAGAACAGCTGCATGTGGCAACAAATAAAAGAGATATATATTGGAATCCATTCGTAACGTCTTTTGTTTTCTCTGCAAAATGTCAAACTGAGTATCAGAGAAACTCAACCAAATGACAGCAAATGGCAACAAATTTGAGGAGATACCGTACGTTCGATGAATGTGGAAGTATCTCTATGAGTCGGAAGGTTTCAGCTAAACAAACAAAAGGTTAGCTGATTGATGAAGATATCTTCAAGAGTGCAAGCTTAGCTAGCTCTTTATCACGTGAAAGACCACGTGTAAATAGGTTTGTATCGTATGATCTTTCTTGATCAAGTTCCTTAAAAATGTCGACTTTGAATTGATTGCATCGCCCTTTCAGTTTTTTTTTTATATATATCGCGCAAGTGTCTCACGTCTTTAAACTGGTGGAGAATTTGGACAAATACATTTTTTTCGATTTCTAATAATAATTACTCACCTTTGATATTTCTCTGGACTTGGCTGATCATTTTTTCAGTTAGCATTGAAATTGTCAAATTGGTTAGATTTTGGAACAAAATATTTGTAATAAACACACTTGTAAGAAAAAATGTTTTGAAAATTTGGGCTTAAGACTAAACTTGAGTGTTGGAACTGGATTTAGAATAACACTCCGTTTGTGTATATATAGATTAACAAATTAAATTACACATAAGTTAAGCCGTTTAATTTAATAATTAATCATCGCCGTACGTATATATATATATTGTACTACTTAGCTCAAGTCAGTCAAGTGGATCAAGAAATCACTATGAGCTTTAGTCTAGAGATTCTTTTACAAATCGCATTGCAACAACAAAAGACCTGGTAAGTGATAATCTATGATCTATCATATACATATGTGTAATACATTGACAAGACGAAATAATGTAACCATGTTTGTAATCAACGAAAAATACAGAAGGGCGTTGAAGGGTAAAATGAAGCAATTTAGACAAAAATAAGAAATGAACAAAATGATGAATTGATGGCACGCGAAGAGAAGAGAGTTTAGAAAGATGCAAAACTTATGTTATGTCACTTTCCTTTGATATTCACACTACTCCAAAGTCCAAACCTCCCCCTCTCTCCAATGACTAGACCGGACACATCTTAGTTCTTGCCCCCTTTCCTCAGACCATTTTCTCACTCACTTTTCCATTTTTTTCCCTTTTTATATGTTAATATATACTCCATATTTTAGTTTTTATAAAATTATGTAGAGCGTGAACAAATTACAGAGTGTAGAATTTTGAAATGAAACCATCATTTTTCGCACTTGAATTTGATTTGATTTTCTAACCTACCCATAATCCCACTTCTATTCATGTGTTCCTCTTTACTCGATCCCATGCGCTTCCTCTTAGTCTTCTTTCTCATCATCATATATACCTTTCTTTTTTTACTATCTTTTTCGTTCCTCAGGTTTTTTTTGGTTCTTTTTCTTCTCTATTATTAAATATGATTTTATACATTATTTATGAAGACCTCGTTAATGTTTTATTCGACTGTGTATGTTCTCATACGTATATACATGTGTGTGTCTTTTTTACTTTGGTAGTAACGTCAAGAAAGAGACGAGGTGATAAATAATATTACAATTTAGAATGATAAAGACAACTTCACTCGAGAGTCGAGAAACAAACTTGCTTATTCAGATTTCTTTTCCTTTCTTGTCAGATTTTTATGTGTGTACTTATATATGCAGACAATATATGTTACAAGAGGCTTTAGTGTCATTACTCATTGGGAAAAATAATCATAACTATACCTTATTTTATATAATATCCTACAGGACTATTATCTTCACGTTTTGGTTAGACATAGTAGTATTAGTCAATATTTATCTTAGGTTAGATTATATAGGACGGAATCAATAATCCCAAACTTTTCTCGTAGCCTTCGGTTGACAAAACAGTTTATTTATTTTATAAGAAAAAGCTGGTTACGTATGACTTAGTTCTTGCAATTGCCAAAAGGTTAAAGGCTAAAGGCTTTTTAAGCTTGAAAGCAAAAGGCTATATACACTGTATGTCTCCACCCATTGCGCTAATAATAATATGATTGATCTTAGATTCTACGAGGATCTCCTTTGCTTTCATTATGTATATCTATATGTGAATAAAATTAAAGACATGGTAATCATTGCCTCTCTATATGGACCATTTTATCTTATACTCTCAATTAGACATATGTTAGTGTTAGTACAACAAGTTCATAAACTTTCCCTATATATATGGTTAATTAAAAGTTCCAATTACTAACAGTTTGATTTTGTTTCTTAAGCTATCTTCTTCTTGTTTTCAAAAAAAAGAAAGAAAAAGATATCTTCTTCTTCTTCTGTTCCTTTTTATTGTTCTTGAGCATAGCGAGATATAATAGTAGGAAGATATACATCAAACAAGCTGTATGAGATTATTCTATTTATTTTAAAAAAAAAAAAAACTAGCCGACAGAAACAAGAAGTTTAATCGCAAGCAAGAGAAGAAAACAAAAGAGTTAGGGAAATAATTTGGGTGAAAGCTTATTTCGACAAAGCACCAAGTGTGAGAGTTTTGGATAGGTAAATGTTATTTCTTAGCTAATTATATTGTCAGAGTTTGCTGCAAAATAATTTTAAATTGGGTGAAACTGAACAGAAAGTGAAAAATTATTGTAAAAGTAGAGATATACACTGGCAAAAAGTTAAGAAGAAAAACTGTAAAACTATGCACTCCCCACCAATCATCGGTTCTATTTCCTTTTTTTTTTTTTTTAAGTTATAGCGACGAAAAATATGCTATTAGGCATGGTTTTGTAGTGAATTACGAAGATTGTAAGGATTTGGTAAGGCAAGTTATATTACATTTGGTATGACTCCTTAAGTACTTAACCGTATATAAGTAAGAGAAAGAAAACAAAAGAGTTCGGTAGACAATAAGGGTGAAATGCTCACTTAGGCAAAACATTAGATTTTTGGGTAAACAAAGTGGAAATATTATTGTTTCTTGGCTTCCCAATTTTTTCTATTTATCATAGACATTATGAAAAATATATATGCGTGTGTTTAAAAATGAAATGGAAAAACAATATTACTTAATATTTTGTGGAAAATATTAGTAATAAATTTTCACAGCAGAAATTTCGATGGTTGACTATATACATATTGCTATTAACCAATGTAAAGTTTTGGTTATCTTTATTTTATTTTTCCTTGTGATAGGTTCGGAGATGAAGTATGTTCATCTTTAATCATGCTACATTCCAAAAAAGAAGTACGCTGCTATCTTTCAACGGCATGTGAAGAAAAGCTACCCAACTTGTAAACTTCTGCATCTCCCAACTTAATTACGTGCACATGACATACTTGTTAGAACATATGAATATTAGATGTTATTTAAATTGTTTTTCGTTGTTGTTTACGTAATAGTTAAATACTAACAAAAAGCAATGTATAATGAAAATTAGCAAATTTCTTATATGAAGTCAGCAAATACTCTTTTCCCGGTTTGGATTACCAATTTTTTCATTAATTTTTAATTGTGAAGTACTTGACAAAGAAGGTAACAAATCAACTAATTAATTATAGAGGTTAGATTAATGATGAAGAATTGAAAATACAGAAAAAGAAAGTACTGCTTCATAGATATAGATTTGATACTATATATGTTTTAAGACTTTAATTAATGGAAACTTAAATTTTCCTCCACTAGACATCAAAATGACTTTATAACCCACAAAATCACCAATGTCTGTCTGGCTATATGATAGATAATTCACTAGTCCCTCCCCAATGCAAATATCGAAGTAACTAAGGGGTAATGTCGTCAACAAGTCCCTATATAACCCAACATACACAATTGGCACATAACTTAACCTACACATCTTAATTAACCAAGAAGAGGAGAAAAGGCAAAGCAAATATGATAACGGGGAACGAGTTCTACAAGGTGATGTGTGCCATGACACCGCTCTACTTCGCCATGTTCGTGGCATATGGATCGGTGAAGTGGTGGAAGATCTTCACGGCGACGCAATGTTCCGGAATCAACCGTTTTGTCTCGGTTTTCGCCGTACCGATCCTCTCTTTCCACTTCATCTCACAAAACAACCCTTACAAAATGGACACCATGTTCATCCTCGCTGACACTTTGTCCAAAATCTTCGTCTTCGTTTTGCTCTCTCTATGGGCCTTTTTCTTCAAATCCGGTGGTCTCGATTGGCTCATCACCCTCTTCTCAATAGCTACTCTCCCTAACACTCTCGTCATGGGCATCCCTTTGCTTCAAGCCATGTACGGAGATTACACTCAAAACCTCATGGTCCAGCTCGTTGTTCTTCAATGCATCATTTGGTACGTTTTCAAATTTCTATATTTCCACTATTGTATATTCATCTATATTTTTGATTAATTAGTAACCCGCATTATGGTAGAATTATTTTGTGATTGTCACATTAACTTAATTACTACACATTCTGTAACCAAAATCAAATGAGTAACTCTACGATATTTCTATCAAATCAAACATATTTTTTTTTATCAATCCGAGCTTATAGAATAACTTTTATTTGTTTGAATAGTTAATTTATTTAACTATAACCATTAACCTATGATACCATGAACGTATATAGGTATACTCTATTACTCTTCCTCTTCGAACTCCGAGCGGCGAGGTTGCTCATCCGAGCCGAGTTTCCGGGTCAAGCAGCCGGGTCAATCGCCAAGATCCAAGTCGACGATGACGTCATCTCCCTAGACGGCATGGACCCGCTCCGTACAGAAACAGAAACCGATGTCAACGGTCGGATCAGACTCAGGATCCGACGGTCCGTATCATCCGTACCGGATTCTGTTATGTCCTCGTCCTTATGCTTAACCCCTAGAGCCTCTAATCTTTCTAACGCCGAGATTTTCTCCGTCAACACTCCTAACAACCGTTTCTTTAACGGCGGAGGAGGAAGCGGCACGCTTCAGTTTTATAACGGTAGTAACGAGATCATGTTTTGTAACGGAGACTTAGGTGGGTTCGGGTTTACTCGACCCGGATACGGTGCAAGTCCTAGGAGGCTCTCTGGCTACGCTTCCTCCGATGCTTACTCGTTGCAGCCAACGCCACGTGCCTCCAACTTTAACGAGCTCGACCTTAACGGGAACAGTACGCCGGTTTGGATGAAATCTCCTGTCGCCGGGAGGATATACCGGCAATCTTCGCCGAAGATGATCTGGGAGTCTGGTCAGAGACACGTAGCTAAAGATCATATCAATGGTACGTTCGTTTTCTTTAGAAAGATGTGTCGTTTTCGTTTTTTCGTAAGCACTGACACGACGCCGCTTGGTCTTTATCGGTTCTTCCAAATATTTTGATGAATAGAAAAACATTGAGAGACTACATAAAATGTAGCTTTTTCAGATATATAAACTTTATTTTCTCTCTTTTATTTTTCCAAATCCCTAGGAAATAATAATTAGAAATGCAGGCAAAAAAAAAAAAGACTTATTAGAAATTTTCAGCCTAATTTCACATTAAATATTGATATTATATTTTTTTTTGTGTGAATACTTTTTGAATTTTGTTAAGTTTGTCATTTTTATTTTAGTGTGTTTGATGAGCTTAAGATTCGAATAGAACAACATGATGAAGCATGTAAACAAAGAGGACCCATCATACCACCCCAACCTTACTATAATGAATAAAATCACCAAAATGGTCAACATGATGTTGACTTTTTGTTTCCCATGATTTTTCTTTATTTTGTCTCTCAATGCTATCATTTTCTCCAAGCACGTGTGTAATCATCAGCGAAACCGACGCATGGTTTTATAATTTCATTACTAAATTCAACAACCATCATTAACAAGACGACTTAGTATAATTTAATTAGTTGCTTTGGAGAAATATATATTCAGATTTGTCCTAATCTAGTAGTGTCTATATTTGCTGACGTGTATACATTATAACTATGAATCCAGTGCCAGAGAAGGAGATCAGTTTCAGAGACGCACTCAAGGCTGCACCACAGATTACGGCAGCCGGCGGTGGTGGTGCTTCCATGGAGGAAGGCGCCGCTGGGAAAGATACAACTCCGATGGCTGTTATTGGCAAGCAAGAGATGCCAAGTGCCGCTGTGATGGTGCGACTCATATTAACAGTCGTGGGACGCAAGCTTTCACGAAACCCTAACACCTATTCCAGCCTCTTAGGACTTATCTGGTCACTTATTTCCTTCAAGTGAGTTAACAATTACTTTACTTTTATGTATACTTTATCTAAAATCATTTATTTGATTGTTTACAATAAACTTTTATCGTATGTTATTGTTTTATAAATAATGAGCAGATGGAATATAGCGATGCCAAATATAGTGGCATTCTCAATAAAGATCATTTCAGATGCAGGTCTTGGGATGGCTATGTTTAGTTTAGGTATGACCATGCCCTAACGAATCATTTAAAAACATAGAGGATAAATAAAATCATTTTGTTTTTAAGTATACAAAGTATTCATTAAGTTTGAAAATTACAGGTCTGTTCATGGCGCTGCAGCCAAAGATGATCCCTTGTGGGACGAAGAAAGCGACAATAGGGATGTTGATAAGGTTCATCTCAGGGCCTCTTTTCATGGCTGCTGCTTCTCTTCTTGTCGGATTGAGAGGTTCTAGGTTACACGCTGCCATCGTACAGGTAAAGTATTGGTTACACAGCCAAATATGTAGGTTTTATCTTTATAGAGTGAACCAGCTTTAGAGAAGGGTATAGCTTCCAATATTATGTATAGATACTTTAATTCTTTTTCTTTCCGCCCCTGCCAATATCTAGTTTTAAAAAAAAAATCTGATACAAAAGTATCTAGATATTTTTTATGATCCAGAAATATATGTCATATTTTAGGATTATCTCTAAAATTTGGACCATGAGCATGTGTCGTTGTTATAAGAAGTTGTAAATTGTAAAGTAATATATATACATAAATTGATGAGGCGAATCTGTTTTCTTTGTTTTTGTAGGCAGCTCTACCGCAAGGAATAGTACCGTTTGTATTTGCGAGGGAGTATGGTTTACATCCAGACTTACTCAGTACATTGTGAGTTTTCTTTGTTTTTTGTTTTTTTTTGGGTGGGTTCTTCAGTTGTACAATAAAGGTTTGAATGTTTTACATAGTGGGGATTTGATTTATGTGGATTTTCTGTGTTATTGGTGACTTTTTTGTCAGGGTTATCTTTGGTATGATAGTATCTTTACCAGTAACAATTCTCTACTACGTGCTCTTGGGACTATGATTTATTCACACAACACAATGACCCCGAAGATATGATCCATGAATAAAAAACGAGGAGCGGGAATAGCTAGAGAGCGAGAGACTCGATCATGAGCTCTTAAGAATTGTTATTTTTGATCAAGGGCTTGTGAGAAGTTAAGATTAATTAGCGTTTTAAATTATTGAATCGCATTACTCGTAAATGGTTAGGAGAATATTTTAAATTATGTACGTGATAATTGATATTCAACATTGATCACATGGAGGGAGGGTACTACGTAGCGATGTAGCAGAGGCTTAGGTTTAGGAATCTAATCGTGAATATTATTTCCACGTTGGATTCCTTCGAGCTGAATGATTTTAAATTATGATGTATAGTGAACGCATATGATCCATATAGTAATTATCATGGTAATTAAATTCTTGTCAGGGAGATTTCACTATCAAACCAATTTTTTGCATTACGAACTAATTAATCATACACATATAAGTAAAAAATAAGTGGGACAATATGACGACACGTATTTGAATCTCAACTACACCTACTATTGAAATTCGACCTTTACCTATTACACCGTATAATTGTATCGTAAAGACTTGAGAGTGACGGGCAAGAATATATAGTTAAAGAGCCAATGATCTGTCATATACATACATGTAAGTATTGATAAATAAAATTCCCAACTTGATGGTCAAGAATAGTATTAAAAGAGTCAATTATGGTGAATTAATGAAACCGCCCGAAACAAAAATATTCGATGGGTGCCGCCGATTACTGCTTTTAGCGGAACACCTCGGCGTGAGCATCAAGCCTAAACAATCATTATTAATCTTAATTGCTAAATTAAGAATTGTTAAAAATTAATTGCTAAATTAAGAAAGCCACGTGGATGAATACTGTTAGTGCCAAGTGGGAGAGCATTCGAGCGAACAAAGCAAAACCAAAGACGCCCCTAGTTTCTTACAGATGTCGACTACTAAAAGTCTAAAACTAATTAATATCCCAGTGGCGTTTCTGTAAATACGTGCTTCTTCTCCTTTACCAGCTTTATATATAAATCTCTTCTCTGTTTCTCTCTTCTTACATCACAAATCACACTAAACTAATAGACAAAGAAAAAAAAAAAGATACAAGTTCTCTACTGTTGTTGATAATGTCTACCACTGGACAGATCATTCGATGCAAAGGTTTTTTATTTTATATTCCGTCTTTCTTCCAAAACATTATTGATCCATCGGTTGTTTAATCATACATACCTGCTATGAATCCACAATTTTTTTCTTTCTAATGTTGAAATTATAAAAGCGTTGTCGGTTTTGGTGGTGAATGCAGCTGCTGTGTCGTGGGAAGCCGGAAAGCCACTGGTGATGGAGGAAGTGGAGGTTGCTCCACCGCAGAAACACGAAGTTCGTATCAAGATTCTCTTCACTTCTCTCTGTCACACCGACGTTTACTTCTGGGAAGCTAAGGTGACTTCACTGATTTACTCTCAACACTCATAATCAAGTTCTCATTTTTTTTTTTCATCAGAACTTTTCACCAAAAAAAAAACCAACCTTTTTTTAATTCCGCAGGGGCAAACACCGTTGTTTCCTCGTATCTTCGGACATGAAGCTGGAGGGTAAAACCCGATCGAATCTTTTTCCTTCATTTTGGTGTTTTGTTTAGTACTTAGAATTTTTTGAAATTTTTTGGTTGTGTAGGATTGTTGAGAGTGTTGGAGAAGGAGTGACTGATCTTCAACCAGGAGATCATGTTTTACCCATCTTCACCGGAGAGTGTGGGGATTGTCCTCACTGTCACTCCGAGGAATCCAACATGTGTGATCTTCTCAGGATCAACACCGAGCGTGGAGGGATGATTCACGACGGTGAATCTAGATTCTCCATTAATGGCAAACCCATTCATCATTTCCTTGGGACTTCCACGTTTAGTGAGTACACTGTGGTTCACTCTGGCCAGGTCGCTAAGATCAACCCGGATGCTCCTCTTGACAAAGTCTGTATTGTCAGTTGTGGTTTATCCACTGGGTTAGGAGCTACTTTGAATGTGGCTAAACCCAAGAAAGGTCAAAGTGTTGCCATTTTTGGACTAGGTGCTGTTGGTTTAGCCGCTGCAGAAGGTGCTAGGATTGCTGGCGCTTCTAGGATCATTGGTGTTGATCTCAACCCCAGTAGATTCGATCAAGGTAGATAAAAGATAAAAAATAGTCTTGAACTATATTGTTCTTGATTCTCCAGTCTCGCTTACATTGATCTTGATATGTTGTTGGCAGCTAAGAAATTTGGTGTGACCGAGTTTGTGAACCCAAAAGACCATGACAAACCAGTCCAACAGGTGATCGCTGAAATGACCAATGGTGGGGTGGACCGGAGTGTGGAGTGTACCGGAAGCGTCCAGGCCATGATCCAAGCATTTGAATGTGTTCATGATGTAAGCTTCCCTTCACATTGTTTCTGAACAAACCAATCATATCTTATATTGTGCATATATGAACATATACTTATGATGTTGTTTCAGGGTTGGGGTGTTGCGGTGCTGGTCGGTGTGCCAAGCAAAGACGATGCATTCAAGTCTCATCCGATGAATTTCTTGAATGAGAGAACCCTTAAGGGTACTTTCTTTGGAAACTACAAACCCAAAACTGACATTCCCGGGGTTGTCGAAAAATACATGAACAAGGTAATGATAATCTTTGATCTTCTGATGCCGACTTTGAATATTATCAATGTTCTGATGATATTTTATAAAATAGGAGCTGGAGCTTGAGAAATTCATCACTCACACAGTGCCATTCTCAGAGATCAATAAGGCCTTTGATTACATGTTGAAGGGAGAGAGTATCCGTTGCATCATCACCATGGGTGCTTGAAGCCATTCTCTTGCCAATTCCGGTGTCTACTTGTGTTTTAGTTGCCTTTATGCACTTACAGCAATAAAAGAAACACATCTCCTAGTACTTTTGGTTTTCTACTCTGTCTCAAGTTAGTCAATGTCGTGTCTCTAATCTATTACGTATCGTTGTAATAGAGTTCCTATAGAGATTTTAATATATATAAAAAACTAAAGGAGATTTCCTTTTTTACTGTGTTGTCAACATTCAGAATGCAAACGAACTAACCGTAGTGACTCGAAAGCAGTTTCAAGTCGCCATTCTCTTTGCTTCTTGTTCAAAGGTCTGCCTTTGCCTGCCTTTTCACGGTTTACTCGAATGTCTGCTATTCCCCAAACACAGCTTTTGTTTTCAACATCAAAAGAAACCAGCTTGAAAATACCATCACCTTCAGTCTCAGTGTCCTCCTTAGTGTACCTCACATACATCGGCCTATCCTTATACCGATCAAGATCCTGCGGGAGTCGTACCACCCTTTCGACACCAGGAGATGAAACCTGCGCAAAAGGTTCAAACTTTATTGAGTCAACATGAGATAGATTGATCTGAAAGGAAATCAAATGGTAACTAATTAAGTAACCTCTAGAGAGATATTGTCCGGTATAGACTTGGCGAGTTCAGCTTCAGCTAATTTTGCTCTGTAGATTGTTGAATATGCTTCAATGTCTTCCATTGTTGGGGAACCGCTTTTGTTAGTGAGCCGCTCGATTCGCACTTGTATGGTTGAATTTGGCAAAGTCTTGAACGCATAAATGCCTAAATCACCATCAAAAGACTCGCACACTTTCTCAGCTAATGTTAATGCTTCTTTATCCCATAATGTTCCAGCAAGTTTAATGCCTCCCCCGCCACCTCCATCTCCAGCCTACAATAGATTAATCCATAGATGAGAGATGCATAGAGGATTTATCTTTTCCTAATCTCTCAAATTCAGGAGTAAGTAACTTACATAGAGTTCTTCCTCCTCACTCTCATCGAATTCAAAGTCATCATCGTCTTCGTCGAATTCTCCATCCATTAGCAACTCTGTAGAACCAAGAGCATTACAGAATTTAGAGGATTATATATAACTGAAATCGGACTCATGCTACAGAGAATCATGAGATTACATTCAAACCATCCAAAGAAAGGGAACCAAAACGCACCGTCTTGTATCTCTTCGGGAAGAAGTAGCTCCTCTCCTTCTTCCTCATCTTCTTCTTCAAAGAGCAATTCTTCGACTTTGTTCGGTTCAGGTTCAACGACACTCGTTTTCTTCTTACTCTTCTTCGCCTGAATCTCGAAGGAAAAGTTTGGAGTCCGACGAAACGGAGCCGCCGGATATCCAATACGAAAATCCGTCGTCAAACGGAAACCATTGACGGCGGAAAGATTGCCTATGCAGAAAGCAGGCAAAACAGAAATTCTGGGACAATACTGATTCGGTCGGAAACAACAAATCATATCCATCTTCTCCGGCAAGTGAAAAAGAGGAGACTGTTTTCTGGAATCGTGTTCGTTCGTGAGGCCATTTTTTGCGGCTAAAAACTTTGGTTCTCGTTACGAATCGATTTTATCGGTTTGGTTAATCAGTTACGGTTCAACAGATCCGGTTCTCTAGAACAATTAATGTTGGTTTACTTTTACGTCCAACGGCTGGTGACCTGGTCAATTGGCTTGGCAGGCAACAAAAAGCACTCTTTTCTTTAAAATCTGAATGCGAAGCTAACTCTTCCTGTAAATTCTTCATTTCTCTTTCATTCCTTTATCCCTCATGATAATACATTGTTTCAGGGATCCATTGATATACAGGTTTCAAGCTGATTAAAAAAAATGAAAAAAAAAAAACTATAACCAACTCACATTTTGTACCAAACCAGAGCCACGAAAGCCAAGAGAATTCACAGGGAAGACAGAGCAGTTTTATGCGTCGGTGGTGTAACGGTGGTGGCGGAAGAATTATCGGTAAAGTTCGTCTCACCCCAATGCCAAAGCATACTCTCCCAAAAACAGAAATCTTCGTAACAAGTCTTAAGTCTCTCATCTTTTATTTTTATCTTCCAGTGTCCATCTTTGTAATTCCCTTTCTCTGCTTGTCTGCGATCCCACTCAAGTTGTGCCTTTTGTTTCGATCTCAATAGACAGAACTTGTGCAAATTCTCAGGCATTGCGTCATGCACTCTCCACCAGGTTTTATGTGCTTCGTCACTTGCGAATTCCTGAAAAATATCCACATTCCAGTTGCAATCATAGTCTCTGAAGCATAACCACGGTTTGTTATAACCTAGGTAATGAAGAACATAGAGGATGGGAGGATCAGCTCCAAACAGACTCGTCTTCATTTTCTTAATCTCAGGTTCGTCTCCTTCCCAGAAATGCTTCAAGAAATTCATGTGTTTAGGAATCCGGTGCCACCATGTGAATATCTCATTCAGGTAACCTTGGTCTCCTCCGTTGTAAGACACAACTTCATTGATGTTATCCATTAGTAACTGGAATGTCGAATTGGATGGCTCAACCACCATTAGACCGGAGTTGAAGAGCGTAGCATTGTTTCCAGTTGCTGATATCTCAGGGAACTCGAAGAGGAAATCAATGTTTCTCAGGATAAGCATGTCTGCATCGATGAAGATGATCTTGCTGTACTCTGTCAACTGCCAAAGACGGAACTTGCTGTAGTTCCACTCGTTATATGCATTTGGTATAGCATTTGGGTTCCTGATTCTTTGAAACATGTGAATCTTCCATCCAGCAGCTTGCAAGCCACTTTTATGGTATTCACTTATCGAATCATCGACAAGTATGACCAGATCGCGAGTAGAGCCTGACATTCTAATGCTCTGCGCAGCTGCAATGGCCCCACAAACATAAAATTGAGCAGAGTGTAAGATAGTCGCATAAGCTTCTCTCTTTTCACTTGCGGAGTAGAAATGATCTGCAATTAAAATCATCATAATCATTTTGTGAGGGGAGATGCTAAACTAGCTGAGACAGAAAACGAAGAAACTTACTACAGACCTTTAGCTTGAAGAGGAACAGAAAGTTCACAGGAACCAACAGGAAGCTGTAACTTTTGTCTTAACTGGTGAAGGTTAGGCTTATACAGCCATAAGTTTCTTTGACGGGCAACAAGTTCTTGACCAGTAAAAAGATTCGGGATTGGAAAGCAATCAGATACCAAAATGACATGAACATCATGAAGCCCTTTAGAAGAAGCCGCTACTCGAGCTGCTGAAAGTTGTAAGTGCAATCGAGCCACATCTCTTGACCATTTTCCTGATTTGTCACATGGAAGCTTGGCAATAACAAGATCGATCCGAGGCTTGCCAGGAACTTGAATCAAAGGAAGAGAAGGACAAGTAGGGACTTCGAATTCTTCTACTTCGTCAATCCATTCAGGGTATAGAGATTCCCATGTTATGTTCTTTGCAGCATAGTCTAGATGCAAAGCTACATGATCACAGTCAGATTTGATTACTTCCTTGAATCGATCAATCTCGATATTGTTAAGATTTATAAGCCCAATTCCTTGATACTCGCTTCTACCAAATAAGTACTTGTCAACAAGATTTGCCATATGGTTCCAGTTGATCTCGGCTGTAGCTAGATAGCGAGGATCAGTAGTAACACCAAAACTTGTTGGATTCTCGGCAATTTGTAGCGGTGGATAACGAAAACGGTAGATCGTGAACAGAGCTCCAAGCATTATACAAATCAACACAAGTTTCAGAGTAGAGAACTTGACACCCTTTTCAATTCTGTGGAATCTCCTCCTACTAGTCTTCTCACTACACAAGACATGAAAAAAAAAAAACAGAAACGAAGAAGTGATTATATATAATGTCAATCCAACAGATAAACAAACAAAGATCGCTTGCGAAACACATTCCAGAATCAAAATCAAGATCGAAGATCTGATTTCAGAAAAGTCAACCATGTGTGTGAAGCTACTAAGTTAAGTAACTAATGGAGAAGCTACTAAGTGTTCATCAAACTCGGGAAGCTAATGAAGAAGAAGAAGAAGACGAAGATGAAGACTAACGTGGAGAAGGAGAGTCGATGTCTTGACTCCATGGGACTTGAGGAAGGTATCATTGTCTCCGTAAGATCGGGGTCGGTTTCGAGAGTTTCATAATCGCCTGATTAAGCAGAGAAGAGACGACATTTTAGGGATTTCGAAATATTAGATTTTGGACGAAGGCCTCGAGACAAAACGGTACGTATTAACAAAATATGTGACTGAACCGTGGGTTTTGCGAAACAACCTCTTAACCTTTTAGGTATTCTTATTTTAAACCCTGATCTAATTTTCTACGAATATTTACCCCTTACCGTTTCTAAACGTGATCAATCGAAACACTGTCGTTGCGGTAAAACTAAACGCCGTTGCGCTTATTGTTAACGCTAACCGCCGTTTGTCGTCATCTACAAAGATTGGGTTTAAATTAATCAATCAAAAGTAAGTTAGTGTCGATAAAAAGGAAATACCAAATAGAATAGGATTTGTTTTGCAAAATTTCCTTTTTTCGTTTGAGTCTCTCGGGGACTTCTTGAATAAGGAAGATCTGAAATACTGAACGAATTCGCCAAGCCTTCGTTGTCAGCAGTAATCGAAGGGATCAGTCGCCGTAGATCTGAAAATTAAACAAGCTAATCGTTGCGTAATTTTGAGGTGGAGCGATGGTGCTGGTTACGTCTGTGCGTGATTACATCAACCGGATGCTTCAGGACATCTCCGGCATGAAGGTTCTCATACTCGACTCGGAAACGGTATAATCCGATCTCTTCTTCTTCGATTACTAGTCTTTTCTGATTTGTATATCTGGAATCGTGATTCATAGTTACAAAAATTAGGCACGCCGTCGTCATTATATGTTTTTTTTTTTTTTTTTTTTTTGTTGAATTGCAGGTTAGCAATGTAAGCATTGTGTATTCACAGTCAGAGCTGCTTCAGAAAGAAGTTTTTCTCGTGGAGATGATTGATTCGATCTCTGTGTCAAAAGAATCGATGTCGCACCTGAAAGCTGTTTATTTCATCCGTCCGACTTCAGAGAATATTCAGAAACTTCGATACCAGCTTGCCCATCCTAGATTTGGAGAATACCATTTATGTATGATTTTTTCATCTTTCTGTTATTTCGAGTTTATTGACAATGGTATATATTTTGAATTTTTTTTTGTAATGTATCTTTCAGTTTTCTCCAATCTGTTAAAGGATACTCAGATTCATATTTTGGCTGATTCGGATGAGCAAGAGGTTGTACAGCAGGTTCAGGTGATTTTTAGAATTCCCTCCTCTATGATGTTTTTATGAAGTTACTTAGTTGTTGATAAAACGGCCTAATTTTTGGAGCTTATTACTTCCCTATCTGTCTCAAGTTTTCTGATTCAAACCTACATTGCTTGGAACACTCACTTGGTCGTTGCTTGTTTAACATTATCTTTTTTTTGGGTTGTATGTTTGCAGGAGTATTATGCAGACTTTGTTGCTGGTGATCCATATCATTTCACATTGAATATGGCATCAAACCACCTATATATGATCCCAGCGGTTGTTGATCCCTCTGGCTTGCAACGCTTTTCCGATCGTGTTGTTGATGGAATTGCGGCAGTGTTTTTGGCGCTGAAACGTAGACCTGTCATCAGATATCAGAGGACCTCTGATACTGCGAAAAGGATCGCACAGGAAACAGCTGTAAGTGAAGTTTTTGGAAAGTTATTTCTTCCCGCTATGTTTTGCATGCATGTGATGGAACTTATTTTTCAGCTTGCTTAGCTATAAACAGTCTGAAAATTTTCTGTGTTAACATTTGAAAGACACTTTTATGTTTCAGAAATTGATGTACCAGCATGAAAGCGCTCTTTTTGACTTTAGACGGACTGAAAGCTCCCCACTGCTGCTTGTAATTGACAGAAGAGATGACCCAGTTACCCCATTGCTGAATCAGTGGACATACCAGGTTAACTTGACTAAATAAAATTATTTTGTTACTCTATGGTATAAGATGTGCCTCCAGGTGTGTTGCTTTTCGGTAAGAATAAGACTTGCTCTGTTGCTCATCAAAGAGATTTTCTATAGGCAATGGTGCACGAACTCATAGGACTTCAAGATAATAAAGTGGACTTGAAAGCCATTGGAAGTCTTCCAAAAGATCAGCAAGTGGTTAGTTTTCTCCAATGCCATGTTTTATTAGTTGGGAACCTTTATCTAATACATCTCTTTTCCTGGCAGGAGGTGGTTTTATCATCAGAACAAGATGCATTTTTCAAATCTAACATGTATGAAAATTTTGGGGATATTGGAATGAACATAAAGCGAATGGTAGATGACTTTCAGCAGGTGGCAAAGAGTAACCAAAATATCCAGACAGTAGGTATAAATATGGCTAGTCTAAACTATGTTCTGCAAATACGTTTATAAATAATGTTTCAGGTGCTAGTGACAGTTATAATCTGTAAATCTGTTGCTTTTACAGAGGACATGGCCAGATTTGTTGACAACTACCCTGAGTACAAAAAGATGCAAGGCAACGTCTCAAAGCATGTAACTCTGGTTACTGAAATGAGCAAACTAGTTGAAGCAAGGAAACTGATGATGGTTTCACAAACAGAGCAGGATTTGGCTTGCAATGGTGGCCAAGGAGCTGCATATGAGGTAGGGAATATCTGGAGGAATATTTACTTTTTCCATTTACTCGCTGTCCCATGCGAAAATCTTGTTTTTATCTATAATAACTATACAAAGAAGTGCTGTATTAGCAGCAGCATGCATAAGGTCTGACTAAATAATTCCCGGCCCATACAAAGAATCTGAGATGCAGAATCTTGACAGTGAAAGATCATCATAACTAGTTATGCAAAGTTGTGCTGACTCTGTTGTAATGCACGAAGATCTGACTCTCTTATCATTGCTTTATTTGCAGGCAGTTACAAACCTCTTAAATAATGAAAGTGTGTCTGACATCGACCGACTACGTTTGGTAATGCTATATGCTTTGCGCTATGAGAAAGAAAATCCCGTTCAGTTGATGCAACTGTTCAATAAATTGGCTTCACGGTCTCCTAAGTACAAACCAGGGGTATCATCTGTTTCCTTTTAGTTTTGCATTTCGTTCTTGTAGCTTTGAATATATTCTTCCGCATCTCCTTTAGGGTGAATCATGATTTGTAATTCTGCTACTAGTATATTCTGAATAACTTGATAAAAGTAGTACCCTCTAATCCTAACTTAACTTACTGGATGCTACACAACTGCAGCTAGTCCAATTTCTCTTGAAACAAGCCGGTGTGGAGAAGCGTACTGGTGATCTATTTGGAAACAGAGATCTTTTGAATATAGCGCGCAACATGGCTCGTGGACTTAAGGTCTGTATCTGAGATTATACCTCTCCAGGAACAATCTATCTCTCTGTATATATATGTCATGTTGCTGAATTCTTGAAAAATACAGGGGGTTGAGAATGTCTACACTCAACATCAGCCTCTTCTGTTTCAAACTATGGAGAGCATAACCAGAGGGAGATTACGAGATGTGGACTACCCATTTGTTGGAGATCATTTTCAACAGGGACGGTATGTGCCACTAGTTTTCTCAAATTCTACAAAGTTAAAATTGCTCTCTTTTGGCAGTTACTGGATTTCTGCTATGCGTAAATTTTCTCATTAACTAATCAATTTTTGCATAATTACTGGTTATAAAGGCCACAAGAGGTGGTTATTTTCATGGTTGGTGGGACAACATACGAGGAATCCCGCTCTGTTGCTCTACAAAATGCCACAAACTCCGGGATTCGGTTTATTCTCGGCGGTAGCGCAGTACTTAATTCCAAGAGGTATGCTCAAGTAATTACACTTAATGGTAATGCCGAGGTTAAGACAGGTTCACCTGAATGCAGATGAGTCTTGATCGGGTTGGGTTCCTAGTCAGAAACAGCACAGATCAATTAATCATTAGTAGGAATCAACATCGGTTAGGTAAACTAGAGAACAAAGAAACCAAAACTGGTGTTGAATGAATAATTAGTAGGAATGCCAACTAGGTTTCATAAAACTGTTGTATAGCATAAAGAGTGAATGGTAGCTGAAGAGTGTTTTTGGTTATCAGATTTCTCAAGGACTTGGAAGAAGCACAAAGGATATCAAGATCAGGTAGCCATATGGTGTGAAGATGTTAAAGAGGTTTGTGTAAATTAGGTCGAGCGTATGATAAGAAGAGCATAGAAGAAAGAACCAAAGAAGATTTAATCATCATTTATTGGGAGAGAGACAATGAAAGAAGAAGATTTTGTGGTCAGGTTCGTCGAATCTTTCGTATACATATACATGAATGACTACCCCCGTCAGAGATCTCGAGTTTTTTTTTGGGGGGGTTTGTGTGTATTCATCGTGGTACAGTTTAATTGGACCGTTCTTTCGTACACAATTATGGCTAATCATGCAATGTAACTTGAGCAAATTTTACTCCTCTATTAAAGATTGCACAAAATTGATTTAAAACCTTTTTTTTTTTTACAAAATGACATAGGGATATTTCAAAATATCACTTTAAGGGGAAAAAAATCTACAAATGTCAAAATAATTTAATATTTTCGGAAGGAAGTAAAATTTGGAATAATAAATGAAGAAAAGAAGTGACTGACGTCAATCAAAGAAAGGCCGATTAGGGAAAGGGAATAAGAAAAGAGAAAACGTAAGAAAAGAGCTATTTGAGTAATTATCTTATGTAGCTCGGCTGCTGCTGCTGGCGTTGGATTTCTAAACTGTCAAAAATAAGTACTGTAGAAGTAGTGATGTGAGTTGAGTCAGAAGAAGCTGACACATCTCTCTCTCTCTCTCTGCCACTTCTCTGGAAGCATTCGTACTTGTTGTCCTTTCACAATATTACACACCTTCCCCAATTTCCCCCTTTAAGTCCTCTATATTTGCAAATACATACCCCTAAATTTCCTTAAACTTTTTATCCTTGCAACCAAATTTTCATATTGTTACCAAAACGATGATTTCACATTTAGATCCCAATTTGGGACCAAGTTGGATTTCCTTGACTAATTAAACTCTTTTTTTTTTTTATAAAGCCAACTTAACACGGTTCCCCTTTTCAAGTAATTTTTTGTTTATATATTTTTTTTTCAAATGTCAAATCAGTAGAGTAATAAAAGAATATGAGTTATAATAAAGGATATGAGGAGCTCGAGACGATTTCTTCATAATACTTATCTTTCTTTCTGCTTAGCTCCTAAGCAGTCTCTGACTGTCCACTTCATATCAAATTTTTTTTTTTTTTTAATCATGGGTCCTAGACAGATCCTTCTTTGTCTCTTCTTTCCCCTTCATCTAAATTGTCTCCTCTTCTCTTATAATTATTATTTATTCGATTTATTAACGTACTTAATTTTTAGTCTTTTTTTTTTTTGGTTTAGTAAACTAGATAATGCATATCTTATTAGTTATCTGACTTTTTTGAATTTGATTACTGTGTGCTTAGCCAGCCGTAGTTTCTACCAAAACTCCCTCACAGATGAACTCCAAAAAATAAAGCGTGACGAAATAGATAAGACAAAAAAATAGTAAAAAAATAAAAATGAGAGATTACTTTTCAAAGTGTGGTCGAAAGTGACGGAGTTTGGTTATTATTGTTAATTTAGTTTACAGTTTCGATTTTAGATAATTTTTACTTGAGATCTTGTACAATACACCTCACCGTTTTTATCATTCGATTATGATTAATATCTAATGGATAATCATGGTGATACTTATACTCCATTTTCTTTCTTTCCAAACCATTCCGTGATTTTTGAAATTAATTTCAGTTGATATACTATTCTGGATGATATTAAAATTAATTTCATTGATATATTATTCTAGGTGATATTAAAATTAATGACATTGTTATATTATTCTAGATGATATTAAAATCAGTTTTCAACAATTATTAAAGACTCAGTTCACCTTAAATGATTTCGATTGAATGTTTTTCTATCGTATCTGAATTATTCGACTAATTCGTCCATTTCGAACAGAAGATAGTCCACTTATCAAGAATTTATCCAACATTAATGCAAATATAATCTTAAACCAGACAAACTTTAGATATTAACATTGACATTTTCTTAACTATTACATTTATTCATTTTTCCTTCCCAATCGGATCAAAGTGAAAGCACATAGAGATCATCTTGATAATAAATTTGAAATATTGACGAAGCCTCCGTAAATTCGAAACTTTTTTCAAACTTGTTTTATAGAGATTCTATAAAATGAAGATTCCCATCACGACAAAAGCATATATATATCATATATAAATATATATCCCATCAGAGCTATCGATACAGGTAGAAGATGCAAATATATATTGCATCATAAAAAACCTGACACAACAACTTAAGCCCCCACTTGTTTTTTTTCTTTCTTGGCAAATTCAAAATCAATTAATTTCAAGAACACCCCCCAAAAAAGGAATAATCATACGAACCAACAAACAAACAAAAAACAACAACTCCGATCAAATTGTTTTACTTTTAAAACAAAAAAACGCTGCGCATTCCTCTCAGAAAATAGGAAAACAACACTTAGTTTTCGAATTACTACCATTCACTGACCAGCTCCTAGCGGCTTCACCGCCACCATCATCAAACGCAGACCAAGACCAAGACCCTTTCTTACAGCGAGAGACTCTTCGACGATTCTCAGGTAGCCATTTGGACTGCATGTACCTCGAAGTCCTCCACGGTGGCCTAGACATCCCTTCTTTCTTCATCGACTTTTTCATCTCACCACAGACCAACGAAACAACTCTCCTGAGCCTTTCCTCTGTCGCCACGAACACTGTCGGAAGCAACTCGGTCATGTCTTTGTAAGCTTTTGTCTGTTTCGCCAGCTCGAACTGACATTTGAAATCTAGATCAACTATCACACGTCTCAGCTTGCTCAAGTCATCCCCGTCGCCATCACCTTTCACCATGACGTCAATGTACTCATACGTCCTCGTGCACCTAAACACTCTACACCCTGTACAAACATTTTTCGCAAAACAAAAAAAAAAATACCCACAAATAAATAAAACTTATTTCCGCAAATTAAAATATTGACTTAATCATCAAAATTTTAGAACAAGTCTCCAACTATTGAAAAGATTCGTAAGATAGATATTTTTCTAAAGTTTATTAATTGTTTTTTTACCTTCACGATGATCAAAAGAAGAGTCCCATGAGGTTTTGGAGAATGAAGCATCGTAGCCGTCAGATCTAAGTTCAGAGACAATCTTATTCATGACATCTCTCTTCTCATCGTCACCTTCGTATGATAAACTATTTATCATCATAAACGACTCTATCTTCTCTTCCATCTCCTTCTCCTCTTCTCTTTTTTCTCCAAGAATCTCCTGTAAATATATATCATGAATATTTCATCAACAAACAAAAAGAAGAAGAAGATTAAAAATGCATATGGTGAAAAGAGATGATGAAAACCTGAAGATTGATAAGAGCTGATGAAGACTTGTTGTCCATATGATCGGAGATGGTGATGGGAGATGACTCGATATAGTCGAGCACAAGCTTCTCTAGATCTTCTTCTCCTAAACTTCCCATCTCAAAGACTGATCTCTCTCTCACTTGTCTCTTCCTATTATTCTTCTTCTTCTTCTTCTTCTTCTTCTTCTTCTTCTTCTTCTTCTTTGGGTGTTGTGTGTGGAAAGTTTTGAGGAGAGCAAGAAATGACTTAGAATTGAGTCTCTATATGTGTATATAAATGTATGACGTGTGTCACAATCTTATCCATTCTTATTTGCATTATTATATGAACTGTTTAATATTCGTTCTCTTTTAGTAAATGTTATTGTTGTTTAATATATCAATATATATATTCCATTTTTTTATTTTTTAACGTGAGTTGAGTTCGTGACTTTTCTTTCTTTTTGTTTCTCCTTTTCTTCGAAATACACAACTCAAGTTTTGTATACGCCGACGGTAGAAAAAGTCGTTTCATGTCATTTTCCACTTGTCGTATATACCACCATATTTGACGGTTGATATACGTGGAAACTTTACAGATAAAACTTAAGATCATTTTTTTTTTGGTAAATCTTGATACTTTAATAAACAAATTAAAAGCTTTCGTCTAAATCGTGGGAACTGTTTAATTTCATATATCTAAATGTAGTTAACATGAACGTAAACAGATTAGTATCATTATGTCTTTGTTTAAAAAGGATGGATTTTGAAAGGTCACTGATGACAAAAAGCTACAAATTTGATTAGGTGTTTGTGACATCTTTCATAGCTATATAGTTTTAGAAAATGGTACCGTAATGAGTTTAGTTAACATTACCTGATCCCTTTAATATGGACCCGAGCCCTCTGTCTTTCTTTGCTTATCACGCATGCCAAATACCAAAGGCCTCACGAGATTAATATTTGTATCTTCATTATATTTTACTTTTTATCTGTGTCTATTAAAAGCATATAATAGTAATACACACGTCAATGACGTAATAACATATAACATAATGGTGATTCATATTGGGGTTTACTATCAATCAAACTCGTTGTCACATATTTGGAAGCAAAGATTATCTCTCGTAATCAATTTTGTCCATTGATAGCTAATCCATACTAGTATGACTTTTTATAAATTTGTCTCACGCATGTGTACATACTGATCAAGATGATAAATTAATGTAATCATGACGATGGAATCTCTGAAATAATTATAATAATCCGACTTACAACAGTAGCTAATAATAATTCAATGATTTAGAAAATCTTGATTTAGATGCTATTTTTAGCCACTTGGAATTTAAAATTTGTCATATGGGATTACAATAAAATTTTTCTATAACTCGTAAATTAGAAGCCTTGCTGTTTAAATTTACAATTAGTGAAGTTACTATGGGCTAAAAGCTTATGAACTTTGTCTTGTTTGTTTATTTTTGGGTCTTACTCCGTTCTTTGGTTGCATATAATATGTTTGTTAATGGCCTTGTCACTTTATCTCTGTAGGTGGCTGTTTCTCAGAGGGTTCACATTACTATGTAGAAATTAAGATGTTACATCGTTCGAACATGAAGAGAAACAACAAGTAAAAGCATGGACTTTTCAAAATGTCGTTGAAGCATAACTGTAAGCAGGAACCTTAGCAAGTTTCTTCTGTTTCATCATGTTCCTTACTCTCTCAACATCTTCCCACATCCCTCTGACTGCATACACATTAGCCAAGACAACGTAAACACCATCGTTCCACGGCTCCAGCTCGACCATGTGTCGAGCCACCCACTCAGCCATCTCAACGTCCCCAAACTTCTCACACCCACCCATCAAACAACCCCAAACCATCACGTTAGGCTTCATCGGCATCCCTTCCACCACTTTCTTGGCCTCCTCAAGCTGCCCGTCCCGGCTCAACAGATCAACTATGCATCCGTAGTGCGATAAGCTTGGTTCTAGTTCGAATTCTGACTTCATCATTGCGAAATACGTTTTTCCTTCCTCCACAAGACCTCCATGGACGCAAGCACTGAGGACTCCCACGAAGGTGACCTTGTTTGGTTTAACACCGATATCTCTCATCTGCCGGAAGCATTCTAAAGCCTCTAATGTATTCCCATTAGCTGCGTAACTCGTGATCATGGAACTCCAGGAGACAACGTTTCTCTGTGGCATTTTCTCGAACACTTGACTTGCTAAATCCATACGCCCACATTTTCCATACATATCAATGAGCGAATTCATCATCATGATGTCAGATTTATCTTCGGATTTAGCTTGTAGAACGCATTTATGCAACTGAAAAGCTAAGCTCAAGTTACCTAATCGTCCACAAGCTGAAGTCACACTAACCATAGTGAAATCATCCGGCTCAAATCCACTCTTTTTCATCTCCATAAACATTTCCACAGCCTCGCTGGCTCGCCCAGCGTGATTCAACCCTCCGACAATAGCGTTCCAAGACCCAAGCTTTCTCTCAGGATTTTCATCGAACACGTTACGTGCATTCACAAATTCCCCCGCTTTGAAGTACAACGTTATAAACCCACTCTCGCAGAACTCATCTCCGACGAACCCTAACCTCACGGCGACGGAATGAAGCTGCTTTCCCATCGGAAAGTCATGAATCTGAACGGCGGCTTTGATTACAATCGGAAGGGTGTATCGATCGGGTAAAACATTTGATCTCACCATGTCGAGGTACACTTGAACGGCGTCGAGAGGAGAATCATGTCGTATGTAGGATCGCATGATGTTGTTCCATAAGAAAGGGATTGGATATTGATCGAGGATGCGTGAACGGAAGATATCACCATGGATCCGACGGACACGAGCGAGACTTGTGCAGTTTGATAATAGAGTAGCTAAGAGTTTGTTTCGATCTTGAGGCGAAAGAGACGTAATCGAGGAAGCTGAGACAGAGACGAAACGATAAAAGATTGTCAAGTGATTAGTTGTTCTTTTACTTGTACCATGAAGCTTGGAGATAAAACCAGAGAAGAACATGTGTCTTCTTCTTTTTGTGCTGATCCAAAATTATAAACACTCGAAAACTTTTAAACTCGGATCTTTAAGTAGGACAAATACATTACACAAAGACATAAATTAAAGTAAGCTCAAAGATCTCTGATATATGAAGTTGAAAGATTGTATTCGACTAGATCAGAGACTCCCAAGTCGCAACAACATAGATACTGAATCAAAAGCAAACTGTTTCAACAGATCCAAAATAACAAGCTATATATTGAAGCAACGTTTTGGTTATCATGATTTTCAACGGCCACTGCGTTCAAAATTGATCTTGGTTCGACCAGAACCGCCATGGTCATCTCTTGAAGAGCTACCACCACCGCCACTTGCTCTCATAGTACCTCCAGATCCGATTTTGTCCAAAGGTTTCTTACCTTTCTTCAAATCAGAAACCCACCGGTCTAGACCGAAAGGATCTTGTTCCTCTTCCTTCTCAAACTCAACAGGTCGATCTCTCTTACTACCCGCCCTCTCAGAAGCACCGGTGAAAGCTTTGTCAGGTTTAAACCTCTCAGTGTTCTTGATTTTGTCGAGCTGTTCATCTGCATTTCCATACATTTCTTCATCGTTATCCTTCTTTGGCTTGTACAGAGTCGAAAGAGTGGCTTGTGCTTGAAATAGGCCTTTGTCATATAGGTTGTATTGGTCATCAGCAGCGAATCCAGAGTCCATTCCTTTGTCCTGGTTAAACAGCCGTTGATCATACATAACTTCACCGCCTTTCCCTCCAGTAGATGCCATTCCAAGAGCAACTTTCTCACTGATATCACGGTCTCTATCTCTTGTGATCTTGCTCTTCTTCCCCATGGCAGCATCTTTAGCTTCCAACCTTCTCTCCCTCTCTCTTTCCCTGCGACGCTCTTCTCGGATCTTCTCTCTCTGAATCCGCTCTTCCCTTTCCTCTCTAGTCTCTTTTGGCCCTTCCCTCTCTCTTTCCCTTTCTCTCTCCCGGTCATAAGTGTCATAATCACCTCTTGGGTCAACACTTTCACTCCTACCCCTGTCAGATGAGACAGGCATACTCGCAGCAGCACCAGTTCTTTCAGACCGAGCTTTTTGGGCAAGAGCCCTCAATTCCTGCTCTTTCCTTTCCTTCTCCTTCATCTGCATCTCTTTCTGCACCTTTGAACGCATTGAAACAGCCTCTCTAGCTTTCTGCTCAGCTACATACAGCGCCTCTGATAACTTGGCAAAGTTATCATTGATCTGAACGTCCTGTAGGCCTCTACCATCGGCAGCTAGACGTTTATCAAGAGGGATTGTGTAACCTTTTGGATTCTTCCAATTGGAGATACAAGGAGGGATTTTCCAGTCTTGCTGGTCCTTGACGGTAACAGGCCTGGGAGGTGAATGCATGACCGGAACAGGCGGAGAACCAGAAGCCTTTGGAACTCTCTTATGCTTGAACTTTGGTGGATCAAGTGGATCAACAGGCATCTCCACCATCCTAATAATCCTCTCGTTAGCACCGGAATTGAAGGCTGCAGATTGCTGGGATGGCTTATATTTAATGTACTTAGACTCGCCCGATTGCCTTGCTACATTACTAGGCTGCGCAGCACTGAGTCTCACATTCACAATCTTCTCAATGGCAGCTTTGGTTTCCTCAGCAGTCTCCTGTATCTCCCTCTGCAATTCCTCCACTTCATCCACCACCGAATCCAAGTCACCCTCGTTTTTCAGAATCTTTGGAATAATATCCTTATGCTGAGAATAAACAATCTTTTTGGAGTTCTCATTCTGCCTCACAATGGCGTCAAAGACAACGTTTCCCTGAGCATCGACAGTAACAGGAAGAGTCTTGGCTCCAGGCTTATTGGATTTATTCCTACCCATACCAAGAGGATACTGAGCAAAAAGAATCTCCGGGAAAGCACCCCCATCCCCAAAATCCTCAGGATTCCTCGGACGGAAACCTTGGCGTTTCAGGTAAGCAGGCACCGATTTAAAGGTGATAGTGGCGGTTTTCTCAGCCTCAGCTTCGGTGAAACGGTTTTTGAACCATGGATCATTAGAGTGATCATAATGCGTGGTAGTGGTTGATTTGGCAGCAGGTAAAAGGTCTTTAAGAGTCGTCATGACTAGAACAAGATCAACTCTCGCAACCTGCAAAAACGAACAAGTACAGTAACAAAAACCATCAGAAAGATACCTTATCCGTAATTAGAACTACAAAGCTTTCTAGCAGATCTCCCGAAATTAGGGTTTTCTAGCGATAAAACTCGAGGCAACAAATAGATCCCCACTAATTCCGATCAAATCCTGACAAATCTGGGTCGATTACACTACAATAGAACGAAAAAAAAAAAACAAGTCGGGATTAACAATAGTTGAACTTTGGGAATCGATTAAAACCTAAAAAGAACAGTTAGGGAAACGAAAGCCAAACTATCGAGTCTAAGGAGATAATCGAAGAAGCTTACCTAATCGATCGACGCAGTGCGATGCAGCGCAGAGCTATGAAGAACAACGAACGGAGGAGGTGGTGAAGCTTGTTTCTCCGAAATCAGGCGTGAAGCCTTTTTTAGGGTTGATAAAGAACAAACGATAAAAAGAACCAATTGTATTGTTTTATACGGAGTGTCTATCTAAGTCGGTCATAAAAATAAAAATACAACTTCAAAAAGATAACGTCGCCTGAGAGATTCGAACTCTCGCGGGGAAACCCCATGTACTTAGCAGGCACACGCCTTAACCACTCGGCCAAAGCGACTTTTTGATAACGCTGCGACTATTACATTAATACACTAGTACATTAATACATTAATAGAAAGCCTAAACATATGTTGTTTGTAATATTGAATATTTTTTTCCAGAATAAGATTTTAGTAAATTTATCAAAATCCTAAAATTTTCTAATGTTTTTCTCATGATAACATAGCATAAATTTCGTTATCATAGAGTTAATTAGTGTCACCATATTTGCTTAAACAATATTTGACCAAAGAAAAGAATATAGATTTGATCAAAATCCGAATATTACTAAGAGAGAATCGATTTCTTGAGATGATCAAATTGAAGGTAGAAACTATTATAAGAATCTGTTTTTGGTAGCTCGAGTGATGTACTATATCCGGCCACCCAAAGAAAGAAATTTAAGTTAGAAAAAAAGTTTTATCGATGAGAGTATTTCTATACAAAAAAAAAAAACTATAGGCCTGGTAACTTAAAATTTCTTAGTTTAAAAACAAAAATAAACGATGGTTAAAAAAAACGATGGGTCTATCAAAATATAGACCAAAATGTACGTTTCATTAATGTGTACAATCAGCAAACTTTCTTCTTTCTGTTTTGCTTTTTACATAATTGATTGATGGCTTTAGTTTGATATTTAATGAACCAAAGTTATGATTAATATTTGTTTCAATCAACAACAAATTTGTTTGATGTAGGCCTATATGTAGGGTATACATTACAAACAAAACTTATATATATGAACTACCTCGGCGATGCAAATAAACGTCTATGAGATAAGTATATAGGATGGGATTATGGGTAAAATATTATTAAAGATATAGTCGGAAGAGTCATGATTTTGCTTCATTTTACCTTAACGACATATGGTAGTTGTGTTCAGCACTTCAGCTTAAGCTTTACGACAGCGCGCGGACTTGGTCGTTTGTCTTTTAAGCTCTGTTTGATTGCACCTCCTTGCATTACACTTAACACACACAACTCGAATTAAAGTTGGAATATACGTACGTGAATAAACATATGCATGCAATTAAGTGGTTTATTAACACATAAGAAATTAAGTGATTATAGTGGTACCGTACCCTATCTAATAGTAAGAGTTTATGATGATATCCTTTGTTTATGTTTTTTGGTCATGAATCATCTCTAATCATTTTTCTTGCGGGGAGTTACGTTGTTGCATACATGCATTACTCTTTTTGATAATGTGATATGTTGCGCTACTACTAATATTAGAAAGTTCGATATCTGATTTTATGCAATGATGTAAGTCATATGTGTGACAAAATAAATCATATTAATATAAAATGGGATCCAAATAATATAATTAACTAATTGAGAGAATCAGCTATATTTGAGAAAGAAAAAAACAAATAAAGACCGTGCTCGTGGGTGGAACTTCCGTTGACCGCGGATCCCAATATAGTTGCCTTTACCTACGGAATAGTTAAATGCATTACTACTAAATTAATTAACGTAACAATTAGTCTTAGTTCAATAATCAACAACGTACGATGATTATAATAAATGGGTTAATTTAATCACCGTTTGAGGCCGGTGTTTGATTGATGTTTTCGTAGAGAAAGACTCACGCAATGCTTAGTTAATTAACCATTAAGAAAGTTAGGAAGTTGTTAATCTCCCCATTGCGTAATGAGAATGAAGAAATTATTTGTTCAAACACAAAAAGGTCTGTTTGAAAAATAGATACTGTATTAAAATGAATAAAGAAGGTTTTAAAAATCTACTTCGTTGGATTTGCATATGAGTTAGTGCATGTACATGTTAAATTAAGAGTCATGTCATTAATTATGTCTGACTAATGCAAAAAAAAAAAAGTCAAACAAGAGTAACTGATAAGAATGCTAAATTAACCTGCAAAATGCAAATGGTTTTGGTAAAACGATATTTCTTTTTTTACCTTTCTCTTGTACAGTATTGTAATATTGTTCTTTTTAGTTATTTCTTTTAACCATTCATATACTATTTGAGTAAACTGAGTCCTCTTTTTTTAAGTTTTTCTTTTTTTCTTTTCTATGTGTTGCAGTGTAGTTGTAATAACAATTCACTGTAAACAATAATTCAAATTGAAAAGGTTGGTCATGTCAAGCTAACTAGGGAAATTTTGTGAATTAAATACAAAGGGTGATAATAAATACCAAGTTGAAAAGATTCCACATATGCCAACTAACCAACCATCTGAGATTATATTCTTATTTGATATTAATAGTTAAGTATAGTCACTATTGTGTAGCTAAATTAATAACGAACATAATATGAAAAATGAAGTTAACATCCAATCACATTGGCATGTTCATACGATATATCTAGAAGATCCGATCACAATAATTAAAAATAAAAAAAAAGACGTTTATATGGTTTAATTGAGTATATTAAACTTTGTTGTGAATCCAATAATTAAAATTAAACAAAGAGAGATTGATTAATGTTTTAGAATAAAATAAACTAAGGAAAAAGGGGGCCAAAATTGGAAGACTCAAAAGGTTCAGCCATCGAAATGCCATTTTCGTCGCTGTGGTAACAAAAACTATAACAGTTATTAAAATACCAAGGTGAACTAGGTGGATACGCCGAGTCAACGTACACAAACTCGCTCCACGACTCATCGTAACTCGTCTCTAGACTCGGTAACTCCACTATCTCGCTCAGTTCTTCCGCCGTCGACGCTGCTTCTTCTTCGCTCGACGGTGACAATGACGACGACGTAGACGTCGAATAGCATGAGGAAGACAAATGCGTCTCCGGGACGACGCTGCTGCTGGTCGGATCAGAGACCACGGGAGCAGAGGAGGAGGAGAAGTCCATGGCTGCGGCTACGGCGGCTGCGGCTTGAACGTCGCGGGGAGAGGAGGAAGCTGGACGGGGAAGGTAAGTTGCGAGCTCCGGGAAGTTGAGGACGGCGGAAGTTCCTTTGATAGTGAGAGCAGCAGCGTCGTGTGCACGCGCCGCCATCTCAGGTGTAGAGAAAGTGCCGAGCCAGATACGGCTCTTCTTGCGAGGCTCTCGGATCTCGGAGACCCATTTGCCCCACGTACGCATCCGGACGCCTCGGTAACCCGGGTCGGGTCTAACCCGTTTCTTGTTGTTGGTTCGATGGGAGTCTTCTTGCTGCTGGTGGTGATGATGTTCCTCCTCCTCTTGCTGCAGCACCGGAGACGATAGTCTAACGGAGGTGAAGGATGAGTCGGTCATTGACACGTGGGGGTTTGACTCGGTGAGTGTGAGGAGAGTAAATACGTAGGGTTTATATATAAAGACGGGACTCGAGAAAGAGCGGAGAGAGAGAGTTGAATAAGTTTTTAAGTATTGAAGTGAAATGTTGAAGTTAGTTAGAAAAGGACAGTGGATCGCTTACTTATGATGACAGGTGTGTTTACATTTATAAATTCACACGTCAGTCAGTATTATTGTTATAGAAAATGACCCCATTTTGTTTTTGTTTTTCATTTTTTAGTATGTGTTGATATTTGCTTGCATTCCGCAATGTTAATAATATATATATATATATGGTGTTGCTATTTATCTCTTTTCGTGATAACCTATGCATATGCATGGTCCATGTCCATATGGATGAACTTGATTCAATTCAGTATGGTAAATAATAATATTCCATCCGGATTTGACTAATTAAGAATTTGTGCATGCGGTATTTGCTACTGCTAGGATACTTTTCAAATGGCTAGTATATATTTGATCCATTAGGATTTGACTAAGAACTTTCTTCTGATCGTTAAATATTATTGACTAACGATTTTTTTTTTTTTTTTAAATTACTAAAATTGACTAAGAACTTATGCAATAGAAAAGGGAGAATTGTAAAAGAAAAACCAGCGTAAACTAAAAGATGTATTAATATAATTTCAAAAAATATTACATTAATACAACGACAATATACTATATTACATTAGTGTTTTTTTAATATTTTAATTTGTTAGCTACGTCACGTATATTATACGTCGAGTATTTTTTTTTTTTTTTTTTTTTAAAGTTACAAGTCCAGTTGGTATAGAATAGGAGTATCAATATGAATAACTCAACTTAACTCAACTCATTATTATTTACAAAAAAAAAAAAAAAAAACTCAACTCATTACAAATACTATTACTTACAATAGTATCTATAGTATTCTTTTGTATACTATAGATATAATCTATTTTGTATAGTATTTAGTATAGTCTTATTTTGAGTTTTCTGATCAAAACAAAATGTCTATATTCTGAAATAGTGTTTAATTACTATGTGTATATATATGGAGAGAATAAACAATAGGATAGTAATTTGTCGTCTTGTATATTTCACTGCGTAAAAGAGAAATAAACATTGCAAGTAGAAATGAATATCTTTCGGTGGAAGCCTATCAATATATAGAGTTCCCCAACTATACAGACCCAAATTATAGCTCGATCGAATCAAGGAGCATGTAGTATAACATGTTTGGTCTTGTATTTATTAATATCCACATTGATGCTTAGTTTGGTTGCACCTTTCGTATCATATACAGTAATTGGCTTTATATACGATATGTAAGTAATAGAGTGATTAATAAGACTTTTGATATACAAAAGAATACTATTAATAAAAGGCTTATCAAGAGACATTAATAATTAGTATAAAAATATGAATTATCTAGCCTATAAACTCGGGTATTTGTTCTGAACAAACAGCAAAGAGAAAAGAAACAGATCATAGAGTATGGTTTACTGTAGGAGTTAGAAAATAGAGAAACCACAGAAGGAAGGAAGCAGAAGAGGAAGAGAGGAAGAGATGATTAAGGAGACCCACAAGGAGTGAAGAGTGTTTGCCCCCATCAGAGCATGGCATTTCTGACAGTTGTCAACACCCTTCCCACATGCCCCAGCTTCTCTCTTCTTCTTTTTTTGTTTTTTTATCCCTAATTTTATACATTGGGTACTTAAAATGTTAATTTTACACATTTATTTCTTTATTCAACACATTTATTTCATTATTCAACACATTTCGATGGTTTTCTTTGGTTCTACTAGTTACTGCTTTGGTAGTCAAAATTTTTTTCCTAATGATGTTGAGTTTATTATGTTCTTTTTCAAACATTTACTGTTGTAACCTATTTGGGTATTGCATTGCCATAAGAAGACTTCTGAGAAAATAACATTTTGTTGACAATAAGATTATCTTTTTAACCCTCACAAATTGTATTAGTGGGTTCATATACGCAAGGAAAACTAAAAGTATACATACGCTAGTACGCTACCTAGAGATAAAATAAAGAAATACCTCATTAATAGAGACTTTTAGTACCTTAATTTCCTTTAATATGGTATGTGAGAGCATTCTCAAATTTGGAATATATTTATGTCTTTAATAAATGTCATTTTTGCTTGTTTAGAATTATAATGGCCGGTGTATATTTCGAATTGTTGTAGTATTTCTAGGTGGTGTTCGCTTTCTATATTACTATTATTATACAGTATGAACACTCATATTCAAAATCTAGTAACTTTAATGGATTGTGTTGATGGAGTTATTTAATCCTTACGCGACTAAACTACTTTATAAAAACTATATATATCTATCGAACTGATGGTGTTCAAAAAAAAAAAAAAAAAAATCTATCGAACTGATAACAAACAAATGGAGAAGGAACGCTGACTTAAGTAAAACTCTGATATTATTGTACACAAAATATAATAGCATGACTATAAAATTGAAAATGTGCATTTTGTTTATAATAATTAAACAAGTTTTGAACTTCACAATGTATACTTTATTCGGACGGGAGATAAAATTAATAATTACGGTCATATGGTTTGTGCTCAAATAAACATATGTAGATAGTTTGTAAAACTTATATATATATATATATATAAATTGTATATATGCAATATTTTTCTCATGGATATAATAAAATTATCTTTTGAATGAATTATAAAGATATATGCCGCCTTGAACTTAGAAATGATTAACATGGCGTGCCTCGTGCATAAGATTAGGGCTTCCATGCTACCATCAACTACGTAATGAATTCCTCTGTTTTTTTTTTTCCATTATAAAAAATGAACTCTGCCATTATGAAATATCCCAACACCATCCACTCCTCGCACTTAATTGTTGTATGATATTTTTGCACGAAGAATATATATATATATATATATAGACTTGTGTGTATGTATCATATATGTTATGCTATGAAATCGATCTGTCCATTTCTTTTTTTTTTGTTCTTCTAAATTTCAACTTTCATTATCCTTTAGTATATATGATACTACAGAATTTAATCGTATAGTCTTCTCGAAGATGTAATAAAAAATTTTAATTAGAAATTTGGCTTTCGGCTCGCATGAAAAATATTAACCCTGGATTGATCTAACTAACCCAATTCATAGTTTCGTCTAGATTGAAAGAACATAACTTTGTAACGAAATATAACACTGGTTAATGAACAAAGGGTACGTACTGAAGTTAATTCCATAATTATTTGTATCTCATCAAACCTTTTTCATGAAGTAAAGAATGAAAAATCAATTCAAATGTCTCAATGGTTACAATACTTATTTTGGAGAGTTCAATAAGTCTTCTCACCTGCAGGGTACTTGCAATCATAGAGTAACTAACTACATTGTGGATGTCGTAAATAGTAAAAAGACCATCCAGCGTTTCCACAACCACAAGCTCTAGATACTAGTTTATACTTTCATCCTGGACTGTTGTTCATTATGAACAGCAAAAAAAGGTAAGTAGAGAACTTAGAAAAGAATCAAACGTGTTCTCTTCTCTCTTTCACTTGTTCAAAAGATTGTTGGTAGATGAGAACAATCAATAAGCTAGGACCAATTTGGGTCTACAAGAATATATATGAGGTTGGTTAGTTATGGGCTTTGAAGAAACGGGTCCACTTTGGACCCTTAAATTCTATAAACATTTCGCAAATTAGACCACACAAATATCGAAAGTTCTTCTTGTTTGTTTAATTTCCTTGACAGCAGTGAGCAGCTAGAGATATTTCAACTGCATCATTTCTCTTGTCGTCTTACGCTTTGCCACCACGGTTGCTTTGCTATTATTATTCATCGGCACCCACCTAATCAGTAACTACTACACATACAATGTACGTACGTACATTCATGATTCATGTTTGCACACTCATTGGATACTTTTAATCTCTTCATTAGTGAGTAACCAAGGAAAACCCCATTTATTTGGGCGTTTTAATTAATTGCCTTATCACACAAATAAGTTATCTAATAGAATGTTTTTATTTTATTTTGGGTATAATTAAGATATTCCTATATAAGAGTGTTTTATACTAATGTATTCAAAAGTCGTTAAATGTTCTTGTAATAGCATATGTCACAAGGATCAGTATTATTTTGCTTTTTTTTTTTTTTAGTACTCTATAAAGAGCTTCAGTGTATTATTTTTTTATGCCGTAGTTTATAATGTATCATAAATAATAACACTACTATCTCACTAATATGATAGCATAGCTAGTAGACTAGCGAATTATAGAACTTCTGCTAAAAAATTATCAAGAAAAATTCCGATCAAATGATTCATAGCATTAAACAAATCTCATCGTCAAATAATTTTCAAGCCTTAAAAGATCCAAAACCTTCTTCAAGAAAATTCGATTAAATACAAATTATTCACTAACCGATCGATTGATCATTTGTATCAGAATCTTGGACATATTTCTTCCAAAGCCAATGCTGTCTCCATAGAAGATAAACTTCTTCAATCGGAACCTGTTTCGTCTCCGGCAACAAAAAGTAAACGAAACTCCCCATCCCGAATATAAGTCCGGCGAATACAAGGAATATTCCGTATTTGAGATGGCACAGCGACACGAGGAAGCACTGCGCGATTAGAGCCGTGAAGAAAAGGTTCACGCACACCACAACGCTCTGACCGGCCGATCGAGTCTCTAATGGGAAAATCTCGCTTGGCACTAACCATCCCATTGGACCCCATGACCGACCGTACGCCAATACAAACAGACAGATTAGGACCACAAGAATCAGACCCAGCGATTTCGGTAGCTCTTTGCCTTCCACGAACTTAAAGGCTAGTGTTACTCCTACTACAACCTGCGAACAAAAATGTAACATATTTTGGGTTTCAGCGGAAGTTACTTGTTTACCAAGATATAAACCCTAGCTTGTATGTACTTTGAGTAGACAAAAAACAAAAACAGAGCACTCACCATGTAACAGAACATCTCGACGCTAGCTTCAAGAAGAAGAAACCTTCTTCCGAATTTATCAGCTGAATACATAGACATGATGGCGGCAACAACAAGCGCAGCGTTTGTAATCGTGGACGAGATAAGTGACGCGGAACCACCAAACCCTAAGCTCTGAAACATAACCGGAGCATAAAACAAAATCGAATTCATTCCGGTTAGTTGCTGAAACGCAGGTAGCCCAACTGCTCCGATCACTAGCTGCGGTCTGTTTCTACGAGCAAGAAGATTCCGAAACGGATTCTTCACGGCTCTAGCAGCTTCACTGGCTTCGACTAGATCTTGAAACTCAGCTTCTATATTGTTCGTGCCACGAACCTTGATCAGTACGGCTTTAGCCTTCTCGAGCTTCCCTTGCTCCACGAGACTGTTTGGTGTCTCGGGCAAGACGAGTCCGCCTAGGAACATAAGTATAGCTGGGACGGTGGCGAGACCGAGAGAGAGTCTCCATCCCCATGGATGTATTTGCTCTGTTTTGTAGTTTATCAAATTAGCCACTAAAATGCCGATGCAAGTTGTTAGCTGGAAAAGCTGATTCACGGTTCCTCGAATCTTCGCCGGAGCCATCTCTGAGAGGTATAGTGGAACGGCCTGTAAACGCAAACGCATAATAAGTAAACGCTAAACCGGCCGAAAACAGTTTAGTCAATAGAGTTAGTGTATTGAGTGTGTTTTGCCTGGTTTCCGAATCCAATGCCTATGCCAAGGAAGATTCGACCAACGATCAACATGGGGATGTTTTTCGCGGCAGCATTGATAACTCCTCCGAGGAAGAAGCTGACGGAGCCAACGAGGATGCTTCCTCTCCTGCCGTAGATTCGGGTGACATAAGAAGCTCCAAAAGTTGAAATTAAACCGGCGAAATAGAGAGACGAGGTAAAGAGTGTGAGGATTTGATTGTCGTATTTGCAGTAATCCGTTTCGTTTAAATGCATTTGTTTTCTTTTGTAAATTCCTGGGAAGAACTCTTTCAAGAAATCGTCCATTGATGTAACACCTCCTGTGTTTAACAAGGTTGAAATAACAAAAATGAACAACGTGTCTTGTATAAGTTCCTTGAGTTACAAGAAAGAGCTAAGGCAGTCCAGTTAAAAAATAAAAAAAAAACTGACGACCAGGAACTTATAATGTCGGAAGCAGTTAACTTCAGAAAAAACAGAGGAAACTGAATAAAACCGAAGCTGTCCCTTTAGAGTTTCGGAATCTGACTATTTGAATAAGAAAAACTCAGATCGATCGAGAGAGCTAACCAGAGACTCCGAGATCATAGCCGAAGAGAGAGCCCCCCATGGATCCAACGATGCAAGCGAATATGAAGTAAGAAGTGATACGATGCTCATAGAGATGAGCTCTCTTTAGGACTCCTTCGTCGGTAAGAGCTCCGCCGGCCATGGATTTAAAACCTTGAAGACAAAAAAAGGAGCAATCTTCTGATCTATGTCTTTTGTAATAAAATTTGATCCGAGTGTTTTGCTCTAGTAGTGATCATTACAGTCAAAGCTTTAGAGATAAAATAAAAGGTTAGATATCGGCAGTTACACTTTGCAAATCTCTTTCCTTATCCCTTTTTCTAAGGAGATGTATTTGACCTCATCTTTCCTAATAAGTACTATGGTTAATTGGCAATGAATTTCTTCATAAGCTATGTTTGACAAATTAATATAACTTCAGAATATGGTGTCTAAAAAATAAAGAAATTTAGAATGTTTTCTATATACAATTATATATCTTGTCTCCATAATATATTTTATCCATAATTCATTGCTAGACATAGACGTACCATTAATGATTTTCTCCATAAATGTGAAAACACATTTCCATTCTATTGAATTGTATATTTAGAACCTCTTCTTACCTGGAGTTCGTTGTTCTGATGATCTAGTCAAGTCAATACAGTTTTTGTAGAAGATGTTGACATAGACGTTTTGATCATCTGAGCTGATGATCACTTCACCAAATACTGTTTTTGTAGCTTACCTTGTGCTTGTAAATTGGTATCACACCATCCTCCTACATAGCGTTAACGTTGTTATTAGCAGAGCTCATATACATTTGACGCATTAGGCTTATCATAAACAACCATAGATCATACGAAACCGATGAACTCAACCAATTGATACGCTTTAGGGATGAAGCAGTATGACATATTGACATGTATGAATGAGAGAGAGAGAGTAGGAGAGAGCTATAATGGGAGTATGAAGAGAAACACAGAGATTTTGAAACGGTTGTTGCAACATGAAAAAGATCATGGTGGAGATATTTTAGGAATTTATAAACCGATTACAGTACTTTTTCTTTTTTGTTAGGCAGTCACTATATATATTTTTGTCTTCTACAATTGTTCTATCAGCACAAAGATATACGCAACTTATTACATTAAGCCTGATATTAAAAGACCTCTTAGATAGATACATACCAAACCAATGCAATTGTAAAGGTGAAATGTGAGGAATGATACAACTTTCATTCTAAAGCCCAAACAATCTTCAACTTTGCATAATTACGATCGTTTTCGATAAGAAAACACTGATTGTTGAATTTTTGTTTCCTAAAAGTTTTTTTTGCTAATAAAATGTTTATCAGAAGTGAAAAGAAATACATCAAATAAGGAGGCGACACGTCAGATAATTAATAATAACACGTCAGCAGATTAGGGGTCATCTTTGGCACCACAACCGCCATTAACCAAGAAAAAAAAAAAAAGAGTCTGAAGTTTTCCTTTTTAGGCTTTTTCCTTTCTCTTCCACGCGGAAAAGCAGAAAATAAATAAAAAGATGGAAACTTGAAGATTGCGAAGTTAATCTCTTTGGCTCTTCGATTTTTGTTGGGTTTCCTTGATTCGAGCAAAGTTGTAAAGATTCAAGGTTTTTTTTTTAGTTTTGGATAAAACGTAATTGAGATACTTCGCGTGAGTGCAATTTCTCTCTGTTGGGTGAATCATCGTCTTTTATGGGGTTGGTGATTTAGGGTTTTGCTTGTTTGCTCGGCGATTTAGCTTTTGATTTTTGTTTTTCTTATAATTCTTCTGGGCTGTGATTGTTTCGGGAGCTTCTTTTGTTCCTTTTGTTAATTATGCATAATCTTAGCTTATTGTTTGTTTGTCCAGATTAATAAATTCGTCTCGTGTAGATTACTTTGAGACCATCTGGGTGTTAAAGATTCAATTTTTATCAGAATATAAGCTAACTGCTGTTTTGTTACTCGTAATGCAGGTTTTTTGTTTTTATCTATCCTGAATCAGAAGGGTCACCAGTCCACTTGTATTTGTCAAAGCTTGAGAGAGGATCAGTATTTTGATATCAGTGGGAAGAGGAAAAATCAGTGATTTTGGTATCTATGAGCTGTGGAACAGTTGCTTAGGGGGAAAGTATCCTCTTGATTGATGTGAAGATTGCTTCTTGCTTTAATCTGTTTCTTAATGGAGTGGAGGGGAATCCTCTGCTCGCTGCTTTTTATTATTTCTGTTGGAGAGTCGTCAGGTAGATTCGGGGTAATGTGGCATTCTAACCTCGGTGTCGATTCTGGACAGTACTTCACTTGGCCAATCTTAAGTGCCAGTGTATTCGTGGTTATTGCTATCATCCTCCCCATGTATCTTATCTTTGAGCACTTAGCTTCTTATAATCAACCTGAGGTTTGTTATCACTTCCTAAACATTTGTTTTTTGCGTTCTCTTGCTCGTAATAATTGATACTGATTTCGTCGCTATAAGTTGGGACATTGTTGTAGTTGTTATATAATATCACCATCCTCAATAGCTAAGCGTAACACTCCCTCTTGTAAATCACAGGAACAGAAGTTTCTCATTGGACTTATCCTGATGGTTCCTGTCTATGCCGTGGAATCGGTAGGTTTGTAAAGTCACTACATATGCTAATCCTATTTGTGTAGTGTAATTTTCATTAAAGATTCGTATTCAGATCTTTTTCTTCTAATTCTGAGTTATTTATGTTTGTCCGAGCAGTTTTTGTCTTTGGTGAATTCAGAAGCAGCTTTCAACTGCGAGGTGATTCGGGATTGTTATGAAGCCTTTGCACTCTATTGTTTCGAGAGATATTTGATAGCTTGCCTAGGTAATTCTTTTATAACTTTCAAAATCTGTGTATCCATAGCATCTGTGTCCCTGAATATGATTATTTGGGGTTTAAATTAGCAAGTGGTTGATAATTAAAGACTTATTGCACAGACACCTTATTAACTTGAAAATATCTTTAGGATCTATTGACATTTGATTATTTCTCAATTATGATTTACAAATCTTTTTTTCCCTATATCTGCAGATGGAGAAGAACGTACAATAGAATTCATGGAACAGCAGACAGTTATTACCCAGAGCACTCCTCTTCTGGAAGGCACATGTTCTTATGGAGTTGTGGAGCATCCCTTTCCAATGAACTGCTTCGTAAAAGATTGGAGTCTTGGTCCTCAGTTTTATCATGCTGTAAAAATTGGCATCGTTCAATATGTATGTGTGGTCCTTAACTTCCCTATATTTTGGCCTATGATGTTTTTTTGTGCTTCAAATGACAAGAAATATTCTGCTACAGATGATACTGAAAATGATTTGTGCTCTATTAGCAATGATCCTTGAAGCCTTTGGGGTTTATGGAGAAGGGAAGTTCGCATGGAATTACGGGTAATCTCTTGTTTCCCAGCTTCTCTTTGTTGATATGTACATTATTTGTTCTTTTCTATATGGTCATCGAAAAAATATATGATTTTGTAATAAATGTTGTCTAATTGCAGATATCCATATCTGGCTGTAGTGCTCAATTTCAGTCAAACATGGGCATTATATTGCCTTGTACAGTTCTATAATGTCATCAAAGATAGGCTAGCACCCATTAAACCACTGGCTAAGTTTCTAACATTTAAGTCTATTGTATTCCTCACCTGGTGGCAAGGTATTATTGTTGCATTCCTCTTCTCTATGGGACTCTTCAAAGGGTCTTTGGCTAAGGAACTGAAAACGCGAATACAAGACTACATCATCTGTATCGAAGTAAATTTCATACAATTAGTTGCTCCTTTAAGTATTCACATTTAGATTGGTGTGAGTTATAAACTTTAAAATGTTAACTTTTTTACAGATGGGAATTGCTGCTGTGGTCCATCTCTATGTCTTCCCAGCAGCGCCTTACAAACGTGGAGAAAGGTGTGTCCGTAATGTAGCAGTCATGTCAGATTATGCCTCTTTAGATGTACCACCTGATCCAGAAGAGGTTAAAGATAGTGAGCGAACGACTAGAACTCGCTATGGTAGACATGACGAGATAGAGAAACGCTTGAATTTCCCACAAAGTGTTCGTGATGTTGTGGTTGGGAGTGGTGAAATCGTAAGCCTGTTTCTTCTATAACAAATCTAGTTATCTACATCCAGTTTTTATTTTGCTTTAGTTGTTGCTGATGACCAAAATTTCCATTTCTTTGGCTAGATTGTGGATGATATGAGGTTCACAGTTTCGCATGTGGTGGAACCAGTTGAAAGAGGGATAGCGAAAATAAACAGAACATTCCATCAGATATCTGAAAACGTGAAAAGATTTGAGCAGCAGAAGAAAACGACAAAGGATGACTCATATGTGATTCCGTTGAATCCATGGACGAAAGAATTCTCAGAGGTTCACGAAAACCTCTATGACGGAGGAAGTGTAAGCGACAGTGGTTTAGGAAGCACAAAACGGCACCAGTCTAGAGTTTCAGGATTGTGGACTCGAATGCGAAGGTAAAACGAATGGTGGTGCAGACCAACCAAGGTGCAACACAATTCTGAAGATGGCGTTTTTTTTTTGGGAAGTCTCATCTTCGGTCACCATCTAACAAAGAAGTTGTAGATTTTATGAAGATGATGCTAATCTGTTTGGATTACACACAGGTAACAACAGATGCTACTAACTAGTTTTCCTCTACTCTTCTTATACAACTTCATCGAGAAGTTAGATTTGTATCTCGCAATGACAGATTGTTACTAAAAGATATATAATAAAAAAGGTTTGTCGTGTCAGTTTGTTCTCAATTCTGAACTCTGCTCAAGTCTGAGTCTCTCCTTGTCTGTTCAAATCGTCTTTGACAAAGAGCTAAAGATTGTAAGAAGAGTTCCTTCCTTATCGGGCCTAATACGTAAAGGCCCAAATCGGGAATGGGCCAAATCTTTGTGAGGGGAGTGTAGTCCTACTGAGATCCTTTGTTCATCGAGCGAAGAACCAGAACAGAGCAAGGGGTCGTAAGATGAAACTAACGTGGAACAAGAACTCTAAGAAACGATCTCGCGTAGCCCTGCCGAACTTGGCTGATCTTCCTTTCGAGAAGGAGGAGGTTCCAGAGACCCAATCTCAGCGCCAATTTCGCGAAGAAGATTTTGAGCGTAGACAAACTGAGGATAGATTGGATTCGTCGGAGGTTGGAGGGGATCATCCAGGAATTCATGGGAACGTAGAGCTCGAAGCTAAGAATCTTGCCGAATCGTTTAGAGCTCAAGGAGACAAACTCGCTGAGGTAACACCCAGCTGTCTCGTTTTTAGAAACATACGAAATTTGGATGCTTATTTAGATTTGGCAAGTCCAATACTTTGGTTTGTCTGCTTAATTGTGAGGATCTTCTGGAAATGGTTAGAATCACGCAGTTCTGATGACATGCTTATTAACGGCTGTGTTCATTCTAGCTAAGGATTGTCATAAATATTCTCCTCTCAGATAAGTTAAGTTTGAGTTTTAGCATAGGCTTGGTAAGTTTGTATCTTCAGGAAAATTTGAGGCATCGTTCATGACATTTCTTGTAATGTTATACCTTTGTTTATGGAACTATCTACTGCAAATTTTTCTAGCTGATCTTGTTTTATTATCGTGATCTTGCTATTGAAGGAAGGAAAATACCAGGAGGCTCTAGGGAAATGGGAAGCGGCTCTTAATCTTGTTCCCGAAGATGCAGTCCTGCATGAACAGAAAGCACAAGTGTTACTTGAGCTTGGTGATGCATGGAAAGCAATCAAGGCTGCAACACGTAATGCATGAAGCCTTTTTTATATTGTTACTTTTGTTTATGTACAGTTTAGAGTACGATTATTATCCTTGAAGAACCCTCTTAACAGTTCCTATGGTTTTCATTCATCACAGGAGCTTCTGAGATAGATCCCTCGTGGGCTGAGGTACCCATATAATATTTCTTTTTAAGTTTCTCCATAAGCTATTGATTCTGCATATAATTATGGACATTAAAAGCGTTGTTATAGGAATCTGATTCCTTATTTGTATGGCTAAACTTTTTCAACTTTGTTTTTCTTAGGCATGGACTACTCTGGGAAGAGCACAACTAAATTTTGGTGAGCCGGACAGTGCTATCAAGAGTTTTGAATGTGCATTATCTATCAATGTGAGTTCCACAAAAAATTGAAAAAGTTGTAATATTATCAAATCTTCAATTTCTTAGTCCCACAGAGATCTTAATTGGTGTTATTACCAATACATAGGTGGATTCCAGAGAGGCAAAAGACGATCTAAAAACTGCAAAACAACTAATAAGGAAGAGAGAACAGCTTCAGACATTGGGACAGGACACCGATACTAAACGTTTTGTGGTCGGCGACAAGAACATAGAACCAAACTAGTGAACCAGAGACTTGTACTGAGGTGTAGAGAAGAATGTCTTTGAGTACAATTTAACAATAACAACAAAGCAAGATCGTTCTTCATCAATGCAAGGACTTAGCCATTTGTCTAAGAAGAAACTTTTGAACCTTTCCAGTAGAAGTCTTTGGAAGCTCTTCCAGGAAAACCACATTCCTTGGAACCATATACTTTGGCAGCTTGGTTTTACAAAACTCCCTAATCTCTTTCCCAGTCACAGACCCGTCATGATACTTCAAGCTGACAAACGCACATGGCGTTTCCCCCCATATCTTGTCTGGCTTAGCCACCACCGCTGCTTCCTTAATCATGGGGTTTGTGTACAGAACTGTCTCAACTTCCGTGCTGCTGATGTTCTCTCCTCCGCATATTACCACGTCTTTTGATCTGTCTTTGACTTCCAAGTAACCGTCTGGATGCATTACTCCAATGTCTCCAGTGTAGAACCATCCGTCTTCTCTCATGTTCGCTGCGGTGCCTTCTGGGTCTTTATAATAGCCAAGCATGACCGAACCACCTCTAAAGACAATCTCTCCCACCGCTACTCCATCATGCTTGACGCTTTTCCCGGTTATTGGGTCTCTAATGTCGACTTGTGCAAATACCGTAGTTCTAATTCCTTGCCTTGATTTCAGTTTTGCTCTCTCATATGGTTCTAGACGATCCCACTCAGGCTTCCATGCACACGAGACAACCAGACCGCCTGTTTCTGTCATCCCATAACCATGACCCACCTCGAAACCGAGCGCCTCAGCCTTGGCGATGACTGTAGCTGGTGGTGGAGCTCCAGCGGTCATAACCTTAACTGGGCTCCTAAGTGGTTTCTGGCCGGGGTAATTAGTCAACATGTTGAGAACCATTGGCGCAGCGCACATGTGGGTCACTTGGTGCATGTCGATCAGGTTGAAAATAGTCGGAGCATCGACCCTTGTGGCACAGATGTTTGTTGCCCCCACAGCTGCTGTAGCCCATGTGTAGCTCCACCCATTGGCGTGAAACATCGGTAGGGTCCACAGGTATACTGGACGGTTAGGCAAAGACCAGTCTAACAAAGAGTTAATAGTGCTCAGGAAAACCGACCTGTGGCTATGCACCACTCCCTTAGGAGACGAGGTAGTTCCTGAGGTGTAGTTCAGCACCATTGGAACCCACTCGCTTTTAGGACGTACCCACTTGAACCTCGGGTCTCCTCTCTCCATAACCCCTTCGTACGTGTCAAGAAAATCCAGGTCAACAGAAGAAGATGATGGAATGTCATTTCCGTCCTTGAGGAGGACAAGGCGAGGTCTCTCATTCTTGGGCAAGGATGAGACAGCTTCAAGGACTAAAGAGCTTGAATGATGGTCAACAAACACGAGTTTGGATTCGCTGTGATGCAGAATGACAGAAAGTGCGTGAGCGTTTAAACGCGGGTTGATGTTGTTGAGGACTGCGCCTGACATTGGAACCGCAAACTGAAGCTCGTAAACAGAAGGGACGTTGGGGCCGATAACAGAGACGACTTCGCCACGGTTGATACCTAGGGAGGAGGAAGAGAGAGTGGAAGCAATGCGGAGACATCGTGAGTGAGTTTCAGACCAAGTATGGACGGTGGTTGTGTGGAGAAGGGAAGGAGAGTCGCCGTAGACTGAGGCGGCTCGTTCTAAGAAGCCAAGAACAGTGAGAGGAGAGGAGTTTGAAGGATGTGGGAGTAAAAGTTCCATAGTTGAAACGTACAAGTCTTCCTTTAACTATATCAGTGAGTGTGTGTGTGTTGTGTTTGTTTACTTGGTGGGCATTGGCCGATGGGTGAAATATATAATACAGGTAAATGTTTTTCCTCGGATTTGGTTAGGTAAAACAGATATCATTATCTTGGAGTATTTTAATTTTGAGCTTAGTTAATAATACAAACATTATACTTTTAGCTTCTAGAGGTGGGTTTGTGATTATTTTTCTAGTGGTAGGCCGTGTTATTACTGATTAAGATCATCTTTGGGAAGTTTCATCGTAGAAAACTGTAGCAAGAGATACAACCATGATTAAAATAATATAGTGAAATTATCATTATCAAATCTCTCTGCCTAACATGATAAACAAAATATTATTAGATGCCTCAATTTGGTTCCTAATTAAGTATTTGGAGAAAAAAGAAAAATCAAACCAGAATAAGATAGAAATATAAATGAAGGAAGAATTAATGAGTTTTATTTATTGCAGTTTCACAGTTTAATAATTATATTAAAATTCGAACAGTTTCTAAATAGTTTGAACCAAACTTGATTAAGTTCATAAACCATAATATATCATATGGAGTATTTATAATATAGTTATTTACCTCTGTATATTTTCATAATGAAGTTTTAAGGTATATAGTAGCATAATTAGTTCAACCGATATTAACGTTATAAACTTTAGTTGTATTCAATCTTTCAGAATTGGTTTATCTGAAATTCAAACGGAAGTGAATCACTTTCAGCGACATGCACTTTTGTCGAACCACTTTTAGTTTTTCTTTGTTATGGGCATATTTAACATGGAACATTCAAATCGCAGCGTCTAAGGACTAAGATTGGTCAAGCCTTCAAAAGTAGTCGTTAAGCTATTGACCTTCCTATTCCTTATGTGAAATCAGACGATTTTAATGCTTATTTTTAGCCATTTCGTAAGTATCTATGCAGGATGCAGCACGTACACATTTAAATAGCATCATCATGCACTAAAACGCAAGCACTGACTAAGACAAATTTGTTTTGAGTTTTCTCACTCATAAATGATTGGATTTATCCGATGAAGTATGATCTCTTTGGTCAAGAATCATTTCATTATAAATGCACTGTTGATTAAGAAAATACAATCTAAGAAGGGTTTATCATCAGAATCTTGTCTTCCAAACGAACACAACTTTTGTAGAGAAGAATCAAAATATTAAAGTTTTGATTTTTAGAAAGATGAACAAATTAAAAAAATCTTGTGAGACAAGAAGCTGTATTGTTTGTCAGTTTTCGATTCCAATCCTTTATTTGGTGGATTGGAATGTCATCTGTTCTTCATCTTTCAGTGTGTCAGCTGCGTTTAGAAGCATGTCCATTCCTCCTACGCTTTTATCCAATTCTCCATTGCCTTTACTTCGCGGTTTGCTCTCGAGATTCCCTGTTTTTCTTCCTTTATCTTTCTCCACCGTCTCCATCTTTTTCTCAAAAGTCTTTCGCGCTTTGCGGACTTTAAGAATTGCAGCTTTACATGTTGTGCAAAACCATTCTCCACTTGGAATCGATTCACATGGAGGTCTCATGCAATAAATGTGATATGCATCATCACACCCATCACATAGGACGATTTTATCATCATCCTTGTCAGTTAGGCAATTTCTGCATAAGCACGACGAGCAATACCAACGAACACCGTGTAGCTTTATTTGCCTTGAAGTCAAGCACCTGATGTGGTAATACTTGTGTGGGCAAAAAGGGTGATCACAAGTTATGTACTTTCCGCCACTCTCCACTTTTGTTCCACAGGTCCTACAGAGTTCAGAATTTATATGCATCTCTACGTGGTGAACCCCATGATTCATGTTACAGCTTGAATTCTCTTCAGATTCGTTTGAATCTTCTTTGCACTCTGTACTCGTATCAACACTTATGTTATCCATCTTCATCATCCCTTGGGTTTTCATCCTTTCACACACTACACAATTCTCGTGAGGTGCTCCAATTCCCTTAGATGTACAGTTTAGACAATACCAACTGTGTGTCGGCATCCCTTTCCCACCAGGATGTGCACATGAGACATGGTACATTTCTTCACAATGATCACATGCTAAACAATCTCTTGGCGCTGCCTTCTCTCCACATAGCTTGCAAATATCATAAACGCTGTCATTTCTGATGTCCTCTGCATTGGGATGAGGCTTCGATTCCGCAGTGTAGAACTGCTTCAACTTCCAGATTTTTGAAAAAAAAACAAAGGATATTAGGAAATATATGGAAAAAGTTATACTAAGACAGCACCTGAACAAGATCATTTATGCCAAACCCTCACCTGTTCATTATAGGAGGTTCTTGAAAGCTCCAAGAGACTATTAGCAAGAACAGCCATATCATTACCAACATCCTGTATTTTTTGCCAGACCTGAAATCAGTAGTTAGGTTTAGTTCTATGCCTATTTTCACTCGAAAGCACAGTACGTTTGCGAAACACAACCACGTTCCCTCAAGTAGCTTGAGTTCAGCTTTTGAATCATATGACATCAGACAATATTTTTTCACAATGAGAAGGAAAAGAAAGACATGATAATCTGTTAATATGCATAGTTATCTAGACGAAGCATAATTCCCATTAATTACCTCTTGAAGATCCGTTGAAAAGAGCACAGGTGAACTTTCATAAACACCTTCTTTCATCCTGATGTCTATCAGAGCTCTGCTTGAAAGGTCTTCAATCTTGACCCCTTGAAGATTTTCTGAAAGCAACTTATTTAGGGATGCAAACTCCTTTGAAGCTAAAACATGAGACAGAACATGCTGGCACCCAGCTGTCGCGGTCTCATACTTGGATTCGCTTGATGGTTTATCTGGATTGGAAAGCTTTGGGAGTTCACCAGAAAGATGAGTTCCTATACTGAACCTTTGATTATATAATTCACAAGAGATGGACTCCTGTGCCAAAGAAATTTAATGAAGATATTATATCTAAAACAAAAAAGAGCTAACATGTTTTAGGAGCATATCCTTATAAGTGAATCAGGGCCACAAGAGTTGATCACACACATAGATAGACCAATTTCAAGAATGAATGCACAATGCAGCAAACACTTCTCAGTTTTTTTAATAAGTGAAGTGTAAACAGCCAGCACAAATGGGATTTTCTACTATTTGCAAAGCATTTCCTGAGACTTAGCTATCACAAAATAGACGCCAATGTAGCCATAACAACAAAAAGAAATAGTCACATAATTGCAAATTTACTTGAATGGCCATACAAATATGAATAGGAATGACCCTTATCTTTAGCTCCCTTAACAATATTCAGTATTGACGCACCTACTTAACCATAACTAGATTGATACAGATCCTAAAATACATTGCTTTGCCAAGGCTCCTATTTTATAAACAGCTGAAAGATTAAAACCAAATTCACAAAACATATAACAAATGAGGTGTGAGAAAGTTGCAAAATGTTAGCAACTACATATACTCCAGCAATTTAAAATCAATCACAACCAGAGATATCATAATAGGAAGGGCCATGAAAAGTACCCGGCTTCCTGAGTGACTAACACCTTCCATGGACATTATATCATTATCTGAACATTTATTCGAGGAATAAGATCTCCCAAGTTTTCTCCGCTTATATGTTTGAATCTTCTTGGTATCTCTGGAACTGGCATTGGCAGAATTAGCCATAGCACTACCTCCTGCACTCCAATTATTCAGGGCTTCACTGTCCACCAAACAATTTCGCTGATTAATCTCTGTACAATCACCATTGCTTGTCGCCTCCTCCATGAACATCTTAAAACGAAGGTTTTTGATCCTCACACTCTGAAATCTAGGGTTTCTTCACCCTTCCATCCTACAATAGAGGAAACAGGAAGAAGGACACTTGAATCCTCCTTACATAACCCACAAGCGAAATCTCATATGGAAATGTTGTCCATTGGTAACAAACTATCAAAATGCCTTGGATTTGTCACCAAATAAACCATCTAGGGATAAGATAAACATGCCATTCTCAATTCTATGCCAACAAAAAGCGATGAAATTGAAGGCTTCTCTAACATAAAGTTCCCAGAAAATATCAGAAAACAACGAATTTCAAGATGCATAAGCTTCCATGGATCTAAACACTAAAAGACGGAACAAAGCTTAATCCGAAATCAAAGTTCTAGCGAAAACGACAAGAGGAAACAAGAGTAAAAAAGAAACCGTACCAGAGTGAAACAAGGAATAAGAGTAAACCCTAGAAATTGGAGAAGAGGAAGAGGGTAAATTTGTCGGTCTCGGAGATTCAGACTCGCCGCCGGTGGTTCTGCAAATCCCGGGGCTTCTCTTATCTTTGAATCATTTTTTTTTGAAAACTTCCGCGTCCCAGACCCAGATTGTTTCTCTCCTCCTTAACCGGTTCAACTTGGATCTGACACCGGTCAAAACCGGTAATCAGTGACGTGAAACCGACACGTGGAAGTAACAAAACCGCGCCGAAGACTCATGGTAACAGAGTCCACAGCAACAGAGTGATTCGTGGTGTGCACGCGCTTTTACACGGTTATTATAGCGGAAAGACACCCAAACAAAGGCCTTATTTTTTTTTCCATCAAACTGATAATTTATATATTGAAAATTGATTTTTGACAAAAAATAATAATAATAATATATATATATATATATATATATATATATATTTGAAAATTGAAATTAACACCTAATCCAATAACATTCGAATTTAAAAGAATGTATAAAATGTAAAATTATATATTTCACCAGTTTTTGTCCTTTTTAACTAGTTTTTCTATTCAATGTCTTTTTTTTTGGAAGTCTCTTAGGTGGTATGCTACTATGCTTAAGTCTGAGCTCCTTTGATGCAACACTATGCTGTACACATATGTTTTTGCTACATGGATTTTGAGTTTTGGACTGTGCCATCAGGGAGTTTTAATTGGTCTTTTATTTGGATGTTTCAGGTTGAAAGTAATGTTGCTGATCTTCCTAGTGATGCTGATATCTATATTTTAAGTCAAGTCTTTTCTTTTGTTACTAGCCGGTCTCTGTCCCCTTTTTTTCTCTGTTTATCCCCTTTTTTCCTCTGTAAACATAAGTCTGAAAATATATCTTTCTTTGATGCAGATCATGGAGGCACCGGGACTGATATGATAAACCTTTATTCTGGTCTATCATCTTTTTAGGTTTCGGTGGTACATCTTTTTACTATGCTCTGTTCTGAGTTTATCTTGAAGGACGCCTTTGATCTCTTTGGTGTTTTTATATCAGCTAATGTGTTTTCTTATATCAGAATTTTTTTTTGCTAGATCGTAGATGTTTAAGGCCTTGTGGGAGGGTTTGCATATAAATTCGAGTTTCTGGTTACTTCGCATCTATTCAGGTTTATTAAGACTTCGCATCTATTCAGGTTTATTAAGGTGTTTTTGTTCCTCTTTCCCTAATGTATATGTCAGCTATCTCTTTTTTTATATATATTCCGATCTGTTTTCCCTAACGTCCATGTTTATGTCTTTTTCAAGTCTCTTAGGTGGTATGCTCTTAAGTCTGAGCTCCTCTGATGTACAAGGCTGGACATGTGGTTTCTTCAGGTATTCGTTCCTCTTTCCCTTTGGTAATTTCTGCATTATGTTTGGTTTCATGGATTTTGAATCTTAGTTTCCTGAGTTTTGGACTGTGCCGCTAGGGAGTCTTTAACATTATTTTGCCATGTTATTGGATTTTCAGGTTCAGAGTAAAATTGTTCGTCTTCCTAGTGAGACTAACTGGCCTCTTCTCTTTTACTAGTCGAGGTTCTATAGAAGAAAGGCATCGGTTACTTACTGGCCCCTTTCCCTTTTTCTCTGTTTCCCTTTTGCTGAATCTTTTACCTTTTGTTTGATCCTACACATATGCTCTCGTGAAAATGGATTGTTTTTTCTTTACGGGTAGAATAACTTTTCATCTATCATTTTCTATGTTACTTCCTTGGTGGTTTCTTCTCTTTTCCTTGGAAATATGATCTGTTTTTCATCTTCCTTTTTCTTTTTGACTGTCTTTCTGATTTCATGATCTGTATTTTTCTATGGTTTAAATGCTAATCACTTCTGTTTGGGATGGTGTTTTCTCTTTCTGACGGGAATTCATTGTCTTCGTATAGGAATTTGGGTGATGCGAGTAGAAGTTCTGTTTGGACCTTTTTTTGTCTAGAAATTAATTCTTACATTTAAGCTCCCATATTTGGTTTCTTGTTTTTTTTGCTGTTGTTGCATGGTTGTTAGTTTTTACGCCTCTTTCTATTTGTGAATTACTTCAAGAGAAGTAAGCGATTGAGTTCCTCACTGGTTGTCTCAAGGAGTGATCTCATATGAATGTTTCCTTTTTCTTGTTATTTCTCCTCTATATGTCTTATTGTATTTTCCAGGATTTATGAACCTTTCCAGTCTACTTGCAGTCAGTCAGATGAAAGATGATCATAACTTAAATGGGTTTGTACTTATTTTCTTTCCTTTTCATGATGGTTGTGTCTGCTAAATTAGTTTTTTGCATTGAACATCTTCAAGTCTGAGCTTCTCTTAAGCAAAAAAGCTAGCCATGTTGTTATTCAGGTATCTGTTCCTCTTTCCTTCTTGGATCTTATGCAATTTGTTGATTTATACTTCCTGTATTTTGAAGTGTGTTTTCGTTTCCTGAGAGCTTTAGACTATGACAGTGGAAGTTTCACATGATTGGAACATGCAGGTCATTCGAAGTTTCTTATCTATCTAGTGCAATTCGCATTTCTGCTTATGCCTGATTTTTTTGTTATTAAGTCTTTAACATAGGTACCTTATGTTACTACTTGGGCTCTTCCCTGTTTGTCCATTTTGGTGTGGTACATCTACTTGGTCTCTTACTACATCTACCTGAGTTTTGTTCCTTGCGTTTCTTTCTTTGTCTTGCATGTGTTTTGGAAGCAATTATGATCTGATCATTGCGTATTCTTCTCCATGCTACATCTCCAGGCCTTATTTTATGTTTTGGAAGCAATTATGTTTTAGTTTTGTTGGTTTCGGTTTGTGTGATTAACTTGTGGTTCTGCTATTTCAGGTTTTCATGAAGCTTTTATCGATCAATGATGGCTTTAGACACACTTCTTCTCCAGGGGTTTTGTTCTTCTTCTTAAAAAGTCTCTTTCTTCTTCTTTTTTTTTGTTTACTAGTCTCACTTACATTTCTTTCTTTGTCTTGTGGAGGTATTTCGGATATAACCTTAAATTAAAAAAATTAGTTAAAGAAAATGTCTCGCAGAATTAACAATCAAAATACAGTTATATAATCTTAAACACAAAAACACAAAAAAAATGGCTGAGTTCTGGCTGTACGTTGTTGTGTTCAATACTCATCTCTCTGTTTTTTTCTTTGTCTGAGGAAATGAATCTTTTGTTTAGTGTAAAAAATGGCTCAAGTGGTATTATTAACACACTTCATTCTACAACAATCAAATCAACAAACAAATGAACAACATACAAGTATCAATTATATAACTCAGGACTGTCGCTTTGAGCAGACTTATCATCACCTTCGAATTCTTTATCTTGTTTCCTCACATCCGTTTATCGCAGATGAGAATCCTAACGCTTGCATGAGGTCCTTCCCCGGTATCATGAACCCCAGCTGTCCAACCGATGGCTTTAGCCACTTGTTGAAGTTGATCCATCAAAGATAGTGAATCCCTTATGTAAACCCTTCCTTCCGGTCTCAGCATCCGGTCCATTTCCAACATAATATTTGTAATGTTGCACCTGTGATCCACAAAAAACCCAATTAAATCACCCCGATCAAGTTCCTGACCTTTATATCTGAATTCAGCACAAGAAAATATACTAAGCGTAAATCTTTTTAGTTTTTACCTCTTCTTCTCAACAGAGAAGAGAAATGCAGCATGTATCAGGTCATAGGTTCTTGGGTAGGTGTCAAATGGCTCACACCTAGAGAACAAGTGCACAAAGCTTTAGATGTCATCTTGTGTGAGTAATGTAAGACTACAAGCAAAAGAACAGATGGTTATATATCGGTCTGTACCAGTCATGCATAGTTCCAACAAGCCCACGGTCATAAATAACTGGCAAGGTGTTGAATCCACTAATAGGAACAACGTTCATCACCCAACAGTCAAGCCCGAGATCATTTAATGCTGCCGCAAACCTGCCAAAAATCAAGAAATACTAGATCAGACAAAACTTCGAGATGACCGTAACAGAAAAGGTGTGATTGATGGTTACCCTCCAAAACCAGCTTTCATGTCCAGAACATTCCTCAGCTTGAACTCCTTCCACCGGAAAACCCGCACATAACTCTCTACTACCTCTAACCAAAATCTTGACTCTGCCTTCATAATTTCCTTTCGGGATATATAGGCATCCATTTGGATGCTTTGTAACCGCTCTGGCGGATCATGAAGACGTGCAGGCCATGTGGAGACATTAGCCCCATAACCATTATCAGGTAATCGGGTGATACACGGTTTCAGATTCACATACCTGAAAAATGAAACCATAGCCACAAAGTTTTGATTTTATGAAAGTTTCAATCCCAGAATTTGGTGGTTCTACCACAGTTTGTCTATGCAAGAAGGACGAAAACAAAAGTTAGACATTAAGATGCATATATGTACCAAACATCGTCAGGATCATCATCAGATCTACACAAAGGAGGCTTTGCTCCAGCTTCACGATTGACATAGCAGCTGTTGTTTAGAGGCTTCCTCCACACAGCAATATATCCCTCTTTCTTGATAAGCTCCCAACAGATTCGGTTCGTAAGGTCTAACATTTCTGAAAAACATAACCGAAGAGCAGAAGCAACACCCATTTTTAGTACTTTATAACAGAGAAATTACTTTGTCGAATAATATATAGACCTTTCCACTGCTCTTGCAAGTTATCCTCATGTTTGTAAACGGGTTGTGCAGCCCAAACAAAGTACCCTCCTGCTCTAAGCATTCTATTCACTTCAAGAAGAAGTATCCCATCTTTGTAATTCATGCAAATAAAAAGCTTTCGTCAGTTTCTATCTCAAACAACATTAAAGGAGAAGCGAAAACCGAGTAAATTATGAGAGGAGACACAAACCATCGCGGGTCCAATTAATTCTGCATCTGGAACAATGAATCATCTCAAAAGATTGGCTTGGAAACAACAATCTCCGTGTGGCAAAGACAGCAACCATTGCAGGCACGCCGCGCTCCAATGCAAACTGTATCTGATTCTCGTGGACATCTTTTGGTGCTACAGACAAGGTTGTAGTGTTACGCTGCATCAAAAAGGCACCGAAGCTCGCCACACCACAGCCAATATCCAAGGCAACACGAGTGTGTATTCCAAACTTAATCCCAGGAATCATCTGCAAAATTCAATCTAAGAGAATATAAGATCAACACAAAAAGCAGATTGAGCCAAATAACCAAAAAAAAAAAGAGAATGAAAAAAAAAAACAAACCTGGGAGATCTGGTCTAAGTACTGATCAGCACCATGGATGAATTGAGTTCCACCTCCAGGGAAAACAAACTTGTCTTTCTCTCTTCTAATCCAATTTTGACCTCCTTTATCTTCCACTAAGCGTGTGTGAGGCACATTACTGAACCATATCTGCAAGCACAAATGCAATTAGTAAATTTGCAGTGAACCAAGTTGCTTGATCACACAACTTCACCTTGTCTCTGCTTTGTGGCCATGGGATTGGTTTCTTATAGCCATCCGGAGGAGGAATCAAGCAATCGAGGCTCTGTTTAGGACAATGTCTCTCGTACTTTTCTCCTCGATCGCTACTGTTCAATCTCGTGATCTCTTCTTCATTGTCCAAGCAAGGAATGTGATCCGTCTTCTTCTTATCACAAAAGTTGAATTTTTCAATCCGGAATCCGATTTCTGAATCATTATCCACCGACGCTTCTTTATCCCCGGTGGCTGATTTAAGCTCGTCGACGGAGTCCGGATCGAATCCGCCGATCTCGAAAGAATCAGACATGGCACCATTCTCGTCGATGATCCCTGTCCGCACCACTGTCGGTGGAAGCGGAGGAGGCGAAATCTTGAGACGCGGGCGCGGTGGAGGAGACGGTGCTTCTGCCGTAACGGAGGTTTGAATAGCGTCGGTGATGTTTGAGGAGGAGGAGGAAGAGACGGGAAGACGAAGAGATGGATAAGAGAAGGAATCTGAGAAGTGGTTGAATAAGAAAATTGTTGAGATGGAGAGAAACGCGAAAGCAATCAATTTGACTAATCTCGGAGTCTTCACTACGTCTAATCCAACGTCGGAGAGTTTCATGGCGGTTAAAAACGCCGGCGATCTGATTGATCGCTAACTAACCAAAATCAATTGCACAACAGATCAAGCAAAAAACAGAGAACAAAGGTTTACAGCAGCGAGCCGAGCTTTGCGAGAAATTAATGATCAGACGCCGGCGACGGTGGCTGTGGTGGTGAGGAAATTGAGGTGAGAGTGATGAAGGGACGAAACACGATGATGAGTCGCATGAAGACAATATAATAACACAAGGAGAAGAAGAAGAAGAAGAAGAAGAAGTGTACAGATTAAGCAATAAATAATCAACGTATTATTATTATAAACCTAATTACTACCTTATTACTATCCAACTTTTTTATAGCCTATGGTTTGAATCTATTTTTTTCCACAAATGGAAATAAATTACAGATTTTGGTCAAGACAACTCAGTTACCACCTACACTGTCTTTTATTTTATTTTTTAAATAAACTTCAATGTAATTGGTTAGAGTATGAGATAATGGTTATTAAGTTTCAGTTAGGTATTCCTGTTGACTTGCTGACTTTGAGAGAGAGAGAGAGAGAGAGTCTCGTACCATTGCTTATCAACCACATGCTCTCACGTGCTTGAAAGAGTGCGTTCGTACCAATTAAAAAATAGTGAGATATTATTTATATAAGCAGTAAAATAAGAAAATATATAACACATCTCGAAGATAGAATAATGTAATTTGCGTTTCTTAGTTATTATGTAAAACATTTGAACTGGTTGATATAAACCTAATGGAATTTATATACAGTACTTGTTTACCGTAGAGAATGTGTTTTATACTTTAGCTTGTTTATAAACGTATTTTTAATCCTTTTTAATTGTCTCTACGGGGCCTTTCTGACTTAAAAAGCCTTTATTTATAGGCCCATTTAAAATACTTAAGAAGAGAGAGATTAGATTGTTAATAATTTGGGTTAATTACATAAAAAGAGCGCGTATGGTATATATTTAGAGATTAACGGTACGGAACGGCTTACGATTTTATTCGAAACATGCATTTTATGGCTACATTACTACTTCCGGTGAGTTTCCAATTCGGCGAGCTGTACCAACGAATGCGGGGGAAAATAATAAATGCTAGGGCTTTTCTTATCGGAAAACTTGTCGGAGAATTGTTGTGTAATTGGGGTTCTGGGTCGATTCTTTGCTTGGCTGTCCAACAAATTTCAGGTAAGTTAGCGAGACCAATTTTGGAAAATTTCAGTCTTCTTCTTCTTTTTCTTTTTTCGTCTCGTTACAATTGGGTTTCTGGGTATTGAATTTCTAACTTATATTTGCTTTATTTGTTCTTTGAATGCTCGAGTTTCATGAATTTAAAGACCCGAACTTAGAGTAGACTGTGTTATGTGAATGTGTGTACTAACTTGTGAGCTTAGATTTGACTGATGTGGTAAGTGTTTTGTGTGTGAATGAACTATTCCTGTTTGAAGTAAAGTTCTTACCTTGGGGATACTTTAGGCAAATTTAACGGCAGACTATAGGGTTGAGGTACTGGATTGTGATTTTGTTGTTTTCCTTTCTTTCTGGATCAATGTTGTGGTATTTTACATTTGCCACGATTCGACGAGTTTGATCATTTTCATGTTTTTTTTTTTACTTCCTTAACTGATTGTTTCAGGATCGAATTGAGTTATAGCCCGCTAAGTTGAATATGAAGAGGAACTTAAAGAATTCTGCCCTGGCTAAGACAATTGTGAACAAGGAAATAATTGAGATTGAGTCAGATACAGATACAGATGAAGTTGGTGGTGGAATGTTGACTCTTTGTGTTGAAGAGAATGCTCCAGGGGATGATACTTTAGCTAAGAACCCAAATAAGTCTGCTGTGGCTAAGACCATTGTGAAGAAGGAAATAAAGTTTGAGTCAGATATTGATGAAGTTGTCCGTAGAATGCTGGCTCTTTGTATCAAAATCGATGCATCAAGGGATGATGCTTTAGCTAAGTCCCCCAAGAAGTCTGCTGATGCTGTGGTTAAGACCACTGTGAAGGAGGAAGTAATTGAGATCGAGTCAGACACATATACTGATGAAGTTGGTGGTAGGATGCTGGCTCCTTGTGGTGCCGAGAATGCATCAGGGGATGATGTTTTAGTAAAGAACCCTACGATGGCTAAGACAATTGTGAAGAGAGAAATAAAGATTGAGTCAAGTATAGATGAAGTTGCTGGTCCATTGCTGGCCCTTGGTGAAGTGAATGCATCAGGTAATGATACTTTAGCTAAGAACCCTAAAAAGTCTGAGGTGGCTGAGACCATTATGAAGCAGGAAATAATTGAGATTGAGTCAGACTCAGATACAGATGAAGTTGGTGGTAGAATGCTGGCTCTTTGTGGTGCCGAGAATGCATCAGGGGATGATGTTTTAGTAAAGAACCCGAAGAATTCTGCGGTGGCTAAGACAACTGTGAAGAGAGAAATAAAGATTGAGTCAAGTATAGATGAAGTTGGTGGTCCGTTGCTGGCCCCTGGTGAAGTGAATGCATCAGGTAATGATACTTTAGCTAAGAACCCTAAAAAGTCTGAGGTGGCTGAGACCATTATGAAGCAGGAAATAATTGAGATTGAGTCAGACTCAGATACAGATGAAGTTGGTGGTAGAATGCTGGCTCCTTGTGGTACCGAGAATGCATCAGGGGATGATGTTTTCGTAAAGAACCCGAAGGATTCTGCGGTGGCTAAGACAATTGTGAAGAAAGAAATAAAGATTGAGTCAAGTATAGATGATATTGGTGGTCCATTGCTGGCTCTAGGTGAAGTGAATGCATCAGGTAATGATACTTTAGCTAAGAACCCTACAAAGTCTGAGGTGGCTGAGACCATTGTGAAGCAGGAAATAATTGAGATTGAGTCAGACTCAGATACAGATGAAGTTGGTGGTAGAATGCTGGCTCTTTGTGGTGCCGAGAATGATGGTTTAGGTAAGAACCCGAACAAGTCTGCGGTGACTCAGACAATTGTGAAGAAGGAAATAATTGAGATTGAGTCAGCCACAGACACAGACACAGATGAAGTTGGTGGTAGAATGCTGGCTCTTTGTGGTGAAGTGAATGCATCAGGGGATGATGCTTTAGCTAAAGATGGCAAAACCAATAGAGCCAATATGCAGATTGTTTGTGCTGATCATTGCGATTCCGGTTTGGTTCATGATTTGGAATATAAAAAGTACTTGACACATTTTAGTGAAATCGGGAAGCTATATATGTTTGATGACAATGTGAGGGGTAGTTCTCCAGTGCGTATTATGTACAATGTCGATCATGAAACATCTGATAGAAGTAAAGGCAGAGCAGTTATAATCGAGAAGAGTAGAGCAGGAAGAAAGGCGAAGTCTCCTACGATTTCTAGTGTATCTAAGAGGTTAAAGACTGAGAATGGTAGAGCAGATAGTAATTCGATTTTGAGGACTGGTTTAAGGATCAAAGAAACCCAACAAAAGAAAGGAGATGGTCGACGTGGAAGAAAGAGTTCTGTAGCCAAGAAGTCTATTGAATTAAAGCCTACAAGCTATGCCAGAGGAGACACCAAACAAAAGAACGGAGATGCTGCACGTGGAAGGAAAATTTCTGTAGCCAATAACACTATTGAATTAAAGCCTACAAGTTATGTCAGAAACTTCCAAGAAAAGAACGGAAACGTTCCACGTGGAAGGAAAATTTCTCTGGCCAAGAAAGACATCATATTGAAGCATTCGAGAAATGATGAGTCTCAGAAGATTTTGAGAGCTTCAAAGAGACTGAAAACTGAAATTGGGAGATCAGATCATAACTTGATTTCAAAGAGCATCCCAGTGGTTAACACCAAAGATACCCAACGAAGGAAACGAGAGGCTTTGCAGCAAAGGAAGATCCCTGTGAGTAAGCACAATAATGAATCAAAGTCTAGAGGTCATGTCAGAGGCGAGTTATTTCACGGTTTCTTACCTCCCAGGAAGGAAAATGAGTTATCGTCAATGGATAAAAGCTATTCATATTACGTGGCTTATCTGAGAACTTCCATTACCATCGTTCAGTCAGATCGACAAGTAAAACCTGTGAAAGTGAAAGATGGAGCGCGTTTGTCAGATCCTGATATTATTGCAGTCAGTGATTACCCCTTCCGGGATGGAGGCAAATCCCCGTTCGAGGCAACGAAAGACGGCAGAGTGATAGTATGAATACTTTCATTCTCTGACTTCTATTTGAAATCTGTCTTTTCTGATTGTTTCTTATTTTTCTATGTTGACATTTTTCATTTTGTTATAATGTTTTCCAAGGATCTTGAAGATGGTACTGAACCTGATGATATATTCAACTCTTCCTTTAGCAAGAAGCTAATCGAAATTCTCAGAAATCCCTATGATGAAAAAGAGTACTTGAGGCTTTATCATGAGGCATCACTCAAGAGACCATTGACTCGGTCTAGGCAGTTACGAGATGGAAGAGAGATTGAATATAATGTTGAAGACCAATTGGCACCGTCATATCTCGAAAAGTATACAGGTACAAACTGTTAACTGTGTTCTTGTGGATGTGTAGTGTGTTGAACTATCTTCTCCAAGATTAATAAGTTTTTGCCCTATGTAAGGCTAGTTTGAGGCTCAGTCAGCTAACTAGGAAAGCTTGCTGAAGGCGTTCTTACATTTATGCAAATCATACATCTCTTATAGGATATTCACACACTTGTTGGGATATCTGCTTATTATTATAATCTGAGTATTGCTAAAATGATTTATTCCATTCGTGACACTTTCTTGGGTGGAATTTTATTCACCATGTCCTGTAGTTACTTTTGCTTTCCACTAAACATATACTCTGATTGCAAACATATTCAGTTTACTTCCGTTTGATTCTGCAGATTTCAACAAGAAGTATCATCGTTATCAGAAGGATCTTCCTAGAGCTTTAAACCTGCTGCGCGGGTTTTTCTTTTATTTGGAGGTAGAGTTTTCTGTTCCATTGATTTTTATTTTTATTTTTTGGCTACAGCATGTGAGTGTGCATTGGTCTCTTGAAACCCTCTTGCTACCATAAAATCTTGAATGCATTATTTTATCAATATAACAAAATGAATGTAAGAGTTGTATTTGCCATGGATTAAATGTCTTTTTTGTGGTTTGTTTGCTTCTTTTGCAGAACATAGTTCTTGAAGGTGCATTCAAACCCTGGCTGCATGAACAACGGTTGACCAATTTGTTAGTTGATGCTAGAGAGTGCATAGATATTGTAGGCAACAAGTAACGAGGCACGACACTGCTCTTAAAGTACATTTTAAGTGAAACTCAAGACTCTATAATAAAGTCTTGGATATGAAGCAAAAGGAGAGATCCTACAAGATCCGTCTTTGCTATCTCAAGGCTTCTTTTAGGTTTTTACTGTAGTAGTAGTAGTTTCTGACTTCATATTGAGAGCTGCAGATATGTGTAGTAATCTGCATATCTTGATTTGTAAACTGTAGCATTATACTCTTAGCTTGTGGAAGCGAACTGACAAATTGAAGAAAGGCCAAAAAACCAAAATTTCATTTATGGGTCTGTTTTACACACAAATACTCACTGTGTTTCACCCCAGAAAGCAACTTGTATAATACTCCACACACTTGTCAGTTGCCACTAGAAAAAATGATTTGTACTAGTAAGTGTTGTATTCTATTCAAACCCATTCAAATACGAGAAAATAAGTGTAAACTGTTACAGAAAAACAAAAAACGATTTCTTTCTTTTATTCCTAATGAAGACAATTACAAGCACTCTTTTCTTTGCTCCCAAATTCCCAATTACAAGCATTTCACTTTAGTTATTGTCACCGCAGCTATAAGCAGTTTCCCCAAAAAAGACTTGCCGGAAAATGCAAAATACACCCCAAACAATTAAAAACTACAATTACAGTTCCTAAACAGGTGAGAAAGGAGGGTTAAAAAGAACCCCGCAAATCCACCACCCACCCATTTTCAAAGAAGACCCTTTCATATGTACAAACACACACACAATAGTTTCAGTGAAAATGGGCCTTTTAGTCGAAGCTCGACGAACGGCTTGTCCTGCCTTTTAGATAATCCTCAACAGAGACGCCTTGCTCAATGCTTCCCATGGAGATAGAGTCATCTTCGACGTCAAGAAGCGCTACATTAAGGTGTGTTTGCAAGTTAGATCTTTGGCATTGCTCATCCTTGAGCATCTTTGACTCCCCTGATGAACTACTCACTTGTTGACGTGCCCACTCATGCGTGTCTTCATCGCCTTTAAGCAGCTTTAAGACCTGCATCATTCCACATTGGTTAAGATAATTACTACATAGAGCTATGAAGAGAAAAGGCTAGTAGATTATAAACTTGACTTACAATGCTCATTTTCGGTCTAGCTTGAGGGCTACGTCGAATACAAAGAGTAGCAGCTAATGCCATCCTCTGCATTTGGTCTTTATTGTTGTTGTTATCCCGCAAACTCGGGTCTAATAACTGGGAATACTTTCCATCATCTAGAATAGGTTTGGCCTGTACATGACCATTATAGATACTTATTTTCAATGAGAGCCTAGAAAAAGCTTGTTTTGACTTAATCAGTATGCAGAAATACATACCCACATGACAAGGCTCTCTTGTCCTTTTGGACATCCGCTGCTAATCGGTTTTCTTCCAGAAAGTAGCTCGAGGAGAACAACTCCGAATGCATAGACATCTATCTTATCATTTACCTTACCATACATGAAGTACTCTGGCGCCAGGTATCTGCAACAAGAACAGAAGCTTACCATAAGAACATTTCCAAGAACTCTCATTAACATCAGCAAAAAAACAGATTATTCCATACCCAAAGGTTCCCGCGACGTCAGAGCAAATCATATGAGTTGTAGATATAGACGCCCACCTTGCAAGCCCAAAATCAGAAAGCTGGGAACAAGGTATACATATCTTTTTAGTATTCTTGCCTCTTTGACATATGAAAAACCAATAGATATTTGTTTTTACCTGTGGCTCAAAATCATCAGATAATAGTATATTTGACGACTTAACATCTCTGTGGATGACGGGTTGTGAAGCACTGTTATGCAGATAGTTCAATGCCTCGGCCACTCCCACAGCTACTTTATACCTCTCGCTCCAACAAAATGCATGCGGATCTTTTTTGTTTCCTGGTTATAATACCAAGCACTAGTTAGATCCATGATCAAAGTAGAATCTCTAAAAAGGTAAGAAGGGCTTGTCTAAAAAGTACCGTGAAGGTTCTCTTCGAGGCTTCCTCTTGAGAGATAATTGTATACAAGTAATAGGTTATGGTCTTCAAAGCAAAATCCTAAGAGAGAGATAATATTCTTATGGTGTAATGTTGTGATGATCTCAATCTCAGCCACGAAATCATTCAAGACATCTTCGGTTTGCTTGAGAATTTTCACAGCAACCACTCTCCCATTGGACAAACAACCTCTAAAAACCCGGCTGCTGCCTCCTCTTCCAATGAAATTATCTGAAATCAGATTGAATTTCTTAGTTATAAGGCTTGAAATTTTTCAACATGTCATTCATATAAGTAAATGAGAGAAGGACCAACCAGCTGAAAAATTCGATGTGAGTGAAACGAGTTCCTTGTACTTGAAAAACCGGCAAGTTGAAGAGAACCTCTCAAACAGTCCCTCTAATTCCTCCGGCAATTTTCTTGGACTATTGTCAGGAAAAGACTTCTTGGTGATAGAGTTGATACCAAATGGAACAATTGTGTTTAAGCTTGACAGATTATCTTCAGAAGAATCATAACCAAGTTCCTTACTCTCCCTCGGAGGAAGCTTCAGAGCCCATTGAACTACCGGTATCTGTTTGGACAAAGATCTATGAGGAGTAACAGACTGTCCTAATGTAGAAACAGCACGACGAAGCAAAGGCCAACCTGGCCTAGATTCAGGCAATTTCCTAACCAACATCGTTACAGAACCACCTGTATCTTCTGGACCATTCACAGGTACAATCTCCAATTCTTTGTGACACTCATCATCACCATCGTCTTCACTCCTTTCAAAATCTGAAGCTCCAGATAACTTTCCAGGAGTCGTTGTATCGTTTGGAGACAAAGAATTCGAACCACAAACAGCGCAATTCTCAAAACGGGCAGCAGCTAAGGCTTGCCGTAGATTCTGGCCACTGGATTGAACCTCATCATCCTCCTTGGAATCTTCCTCGGAATGGCTAACTACTTTAGTAGTCTTATTCAAAGTAACAGATCTTTGAAGCACATTCAACAAAGTAATCCTTCGAACATCTTCTTTTCCTATGACAAAATTTTCAAAACCCAATTATGCAACCACTCACCTAAGACCAAATCTTTCAGATACAAAAATGAAAAATGTATAAACTTGGTGGAGAAAAAGGTCAAACCTTGAGACTGATTAGTGGTAGATAATGGAGAACCTTCTTTCTGGAACATGATTTTACCATTGTTAACAGCAATAACCCAACAATCCTTTGAAAGTTTCTTGGCTATGTACTTGGCTACGGAAGCTGATGAACGAATCGTGTGGTGACTTTTTGAAATCCCAACTAAAACTTTCGATGCAGAAAACGATTTCGCTTCTCGAACTATAATCTTTCGAGCACAGGAACCACGACATAGCTTCAGCTTCAGATCCACCTACAAAGAGAGGTAAAAACTCAACATTTCAGTTCTTTTGTTATCTGAAGAAGTAAAGCAAAGAATCAAAAATTTTTTTAAAAAAAACACAGTTTTGATTTCGTTATTACCTGTTTCAAATTGCAGAAACCTTCATAAACGTCAAGAACAGAGTCAAATGTTTTAACCAGAGAGAGAAGCGAAGAGTTGCCAGCTCGATCAACAATCTCTACACAAAACCCCCAAAATCGACATTTGTATCAAAATCATAAAAGACAAAGCTTTTTGTCAGCAGAAACCTTAAGAAAAACTCAGAAATGTACCATTTCCAAGGATATGAAGAGCGATCACAGTATCACCAGGCTCAGCGACTTTAACCAAAGCCCAAGTGAGCAACTCTCTGCTCGGCGCGTCGAGCTTCACGCCGACAAGAATCGTACGGCCAACTTCTGCTACGTCGTCGACGGAGCTCCGTTTCTCTCCGCTGTCTTCAATCATCTGTATGATTCTTCCTTTTTCACAGAGAGACAGAGGTTGTTGTCTGAATTTTCAAGTGTGATCTTTTTATCCTCCTCCTGACGTGTGCTTCTTCCGAAAGACAAAAGAACATCGCTTAATAAGGATTTATATACCCAAAACCAAACAAAGACAGGATCTTTCTCTCTCTATCTCTCTCTCTCTCTATCTCTATCTACCTGCAGAGGCTTAAGTTTTAACCGCAGGTTTGGTTTTGCTTTTGATGCTCGTCACAAGACAAGGCAGCCAGCCATCTTATTTCTTTTAATTTTCAATGATAAAATGATTTTCTAAACCCTACTTCACAGTATAAAATCATTTTTTCTTTTTCCAATTTTGACATAGTCTCACTGTGTGCATTGTGTGAATAAACCAATTGACAGAACACAATAATGTTCTTATTATTAATTTTTGCTAATTCGAACAAATTATACAACAAAATACCATAAATGGGAAACAGTTTTCTCCTTAATATGAATTCAAAACATGTATCATAAAAAAAAAGGAATTATCTAACATTTTATCCTATATTGATCATTGTAAGTTTTGGATTCTGACTTTATTTCATATGAACATACCTCAAACTTTTTTTTTCTTATCAGTTTGGACTTTGGAGCATAAAATTACTTAAATATATAACATTTTCACATCAGAAAAATATAATATAAAATATGGGACCATAAAAAGTGATATAGGTTGTTACAAAAGTTATTTATAAAGAAATAAATAATAATTGAAATGGTAAAAAATTATAATAAAAAGGGAAATAAAATCTGACTGCATCCAGAATGGGTCGGTGAAAAATAGCCCGTTTCGTGGCTCAAACATGTCCGGCCCGAAGTAAAAAAAGAAAAACAAAACGCTCATGTCATGTGATCCTTCCAACAACAACCTACACGTGTCAATATCAGCAGATATACACGTCAGCATAACGGAAGAAGACCTTTCCTAACATGCTTACCGGTGCATCAGGTAACGTACACAACATTAATTACGTAATTAGACGACGACGGCGTTAAAAATAAAAGTATTCGTAACGTCAGTTAACGCCGTTTCTCATGCCCGGACAAGGTGAGTTAGTTATTATGGAGGGAAGTATAGTAAGTAACGGAATACCTGCCGTTTTAGTAGCGAGAAACGACACGCCAACTAATTCCGAAAGGCATGCGTCACCGTCTACCTCATTTTAGTCATTCGACCCCTATCTTACTTTATTTTTTTCTCAATTTGTTTATATTTTCAAGAAAATATTTATTAAAATAATTTAATTATGGACTATATATGATTTATATTAAAAGACCCTTGAAAATTTTAGTGGTGGGGTATATAATATATGAACCGAATTCAAACATTAAGCTAGTGATTGTTATTTGCTCAATCATGGTACCTAAATTTCGGTTTTAGATTTGATTTCTTACAAGATATATTTCTAATTTAACACTCTTCATAAATAAAGAAAAAATGCTTATATTTTTTATATATGTTATCTAATTTTAGGTTTTACAGAAAGCTCACTCTCTTATTATTTTGAGAGAAAACTCAAGGGAGTTTTAACCGGTTGAATATATGTTTTCAGAACTTGAAACAAAAGTGAATTTTATAGTTCATTGACCAAGCCAGGACTGATAAACAAAAAACACTAAATACCAAAACACGTAAGTTACATTCAATATTTTTTTCTTTTGTTAAAAAGTTACATTCAATATTGAAGATGAAATTAATAAGGGAGATCAGAAACAAATGAAAAAAAAGTGCAAGTATATATAATGTTTGGTAATATTTAACCCATAAGGTTGAATAATTTAATGGCGTAGTGGATGAGAAATGAAAGTGGCAACAAACTGAGTCTGAGAGAGATCAAAAACATAAACCAGAAGATAAGGAAACGTAGACTCTTCAGTTGGTGTGATACTTTTGTTTCTGCCACGACAACGCCACTCGATCTTATTACGTATCTCTCTCATATATATTTTTCTAACTTAAGTCTTAATTAGTGTTTATTATATTAAACCCAATCATCAATCATTTTCTCTATTAAATAATTGCAACTTGTCTTGTAAAATTTCTAGTTAATACATCGAATCAAAAGACCGTGCTCCAATAATTCGCATGATTTTTGGGAGCCGAATTCTTTAAATGTTAGCCTTTTTATTACTATAAAAATGGAGGAACTGATTACAAGCTTTGTACGTACTAACCCTAAATTATGATCATACTCCATATTTTTCTATACAATAGTATACGATATTCGAGTTTTCCGAATATATTTTTAATTCTGGGGACAATTCTTTGAACGGTTTTCCAAATGTGTAGTTATATACCCTTGGTCCTATGGTTGGTCCAAATGATACAAAATACATTTTGACTATAGAAACTTTTGTTGGCAAAATCAAGATGGAATGATTTTTTATATATATCAAGAAATTTTGATTCGATTTGTTTGATCAAATGAGCTTGTTCGAGTTATTGGTATTTTGACTTGATCAGTTGTTTCAAATTTAAACTGATAATTAATGAGATACTTTATATTGTCCACACAAAAAAGAAAAAAAACGCAAAGAAGCGTGAATCATGACAATAATAATTCATAAGCAAAAAGAAAAATCATGACCATAAATAATACTACATTTTTGTCCAAAAAAAAAAAAATAATACTACATTTAAAACTAAGGAGAGCTACACCACGGACATGCATGTCACAGTTAGGGCAATTTAATAGGATTAAATGTGTAGCAAAAATAACGAAATTTAAATGATGATGATATTTTTGGCCACTTATTTATCTTACCTTTCATTGATTACTTCCTTTAAATAAATTTCTATATTATATAGTAGTACCCTCAATGATAGAGAATACGTGTATTCTTTAATTGATCATTAACTCATACTGAAGACGAAATGACAATGGACATTAACCTAAAATATCTACATTAAATATAATAATTTTTTACATCAACCATAAATAATATAAAAACCCCCTAATTGCATGGTTGAAGAAACAAACATTAATCAGTAACAAAACTAGAATGATGTGGATGATTAAATTCGACTATTTGCACTGAACAAAAAGAATCAGTAACAAAAATGACCACGATATATTAACAAATTAATCTCTGCAACATGCATGACGTTGATGTTTCTCTAACTTGTTGATGGAAGTCATTGAAAAACTCGTTCTTCTTTTTTTTTGTTGGTGATCACTGGAGGGGCTAAAATGATTGCTTTTGGACCTACTAGGAACTGAGATGCTTCTACCTACGTATTAAACTCTCTCTCTCTCTCTTTTTTTCTTGGCGAAATATATAACGAAGAAGAAAATATAGAAGAAAAATAATATTTTGGTTACAACATAATTAAAAGTTGTTAAATTCAATAGATTTTGTGATTGAATAAGACCTTTTTATTGTAACAACATATATATCTGGCTTGTTTACGTGTCACAATTTTGATGCTTATAATTTATTGTCACATCTATTTATAGAGGTTGGTATTGTTCTTGGTCCATGCACGTGAATTCTATATATTCTTATTAAGATTACTATGCATTCTTAAATTTTAACGTTTCAGTCGTGTATTATATAGTCATAGGTGGTGCCGAAATGGGCTTAGTAAGTTAGCACTGAAATTGGGCCTTATTCCATATTCTGGATATAGATATTCTCTTTCTCGATAATATAGATATTTAAGGCCCAAAAAAAGGAGCCATGTATTCGGCCCATGTAATATCTTACTATCCTTTAAAATTCTTATCTTTTAAATTCTTGTATATATCCAAAAATGGCACAAGGAGAAAACTTGTTTTTATCTAACGTAATTTAAAACAGCTCGATTCTAATATGGTAATTTTATGATAATATGACATGTGTATCTAGAATATAATTTATTTTTATTTTTATATGTAAGTATGTAACACGCAGACTGTTATAGATTTTCTATAGCATACTAGAACTTATGATAAATTTAGACCTATGAAGCTATACAGTATATGCTTTGTAGGAAAATTATACCTTTTTCTTTTATTAGGAACATTAAACTTTTGATAGTGTAATATTATTAAACTTATGTCGTCAACTACTGAAACTTTAATAATATTTTTGAAAACTTACTGTATTATTATATCCCTCCTTTTTCTTAATCATGAAAAGGAAAAAAAAAATGATAATATGGATGCAATAATAGAACCAATAATTTAGATTTATGGTGTATATAAAGTAAAGAAAAAAAATGGAGAAGTTGGCAGAACGAGCTAGAAGACATATATGCCCTTGAGGGATATTGTGTTCATTAAAAGGGGTTTGACCTTGTCGCTTAGTTGAGTTGACCATAACCACGTGGCGACCTCGGAGAGCGAGTAGACTATCTGCGTCTACGTAAGCCTTTTTAAACGTAAGCAGTGGAGAATTAGATACTCGCACTTTCCTAAAATATTTTGGTTCAGAGCAAATCTTAGCTGTATAGTATTTTCTCTTTTCCTTCAATTCGAGAAACTGTCTACGAAGGTTTCCCTTTTTCGTCTAAGTTTGATTCAGTTCTTGTTCGCCCTTCTTCTTGAAGGTGTGCTGTCTTTTTTGGGTAAGTCTTCTATGTTTTTTCAGTTATAGAATTTAAATCACCTAAGTTACCTGTCTTGTCTTTATTTGCTTCAAAATTTCTTGCTTGAAGCTGTTCTGCTCTGTTCTTCAGGGTCTCAACCTATTGAGTTTGATCAGATTCCTTTAATAATAAATATCGTGCTTAAACCCGTTTCCCAAATATGAATCCCCCTTTGCTGAGTTCTGTGAGCCCAACTAGGTGCTTTAATGTGTGAAGTATTTGATATAGTTGAGATGATTTTTTTAGTGGATTATATGTAGTTTCTAGCTCCTTGAATGTTTAAGTACGCTCCCCCCTAATGTAACTGGAATTTTCCTGTTTGTATAATACGTTAGATACTTGGATGTGAATGTGTGTTGTGTGTTTTTTTTTTTGCTTTTGGACACTAGTTAGCTGGAAGGAATTGGCTGAAGCAATGCAGTTATATCATCATCCATACTCATTAGACAGCCAAAGAGTGAGACTAGCTTTGGAAGAGAAAGGCATTGATTACACATCATACCATGTGAATCCCATCACTGGCAAGCACATGGACCCTTCCTTCTTTAGGATGAATCCCAACGCCAAACTTCCCGTCTTCCGGAATGGTTCTCACATCATTTTGGACACTATTGAGATCATAGAGTATGTACCCACCCACCCACCATTGTTCATATATATAGTCTTCCCCTTTCTTTTAATAATTTAATGCTTTTTGTGTGGTTTTTTTTTTTTATAAACATTTTACAGGTATTTAGAGAGAATAGCTGAGGTTTCTTCTGGTGTAGAAGATGCTACTTTTGGTAGAGAAGTTCTTGAATGGATGCGGAAGATTAGGGAATGGGACTCCAAGCTTTTCACTCTTGCCCACATACCGGATAATCGTCGCCTTTATGTTTCCAAGTTCTTGAGGATGGTTGTCATTGCAAGGATGGCTGAGTCTCCAGACTTGGCTAGTGCCTACCATAGGAAGCTAAGGGAAGCATATGATACAGAAGACAAACTAAAAGACCCTGGGGCCTTAAGAAGAAGCAAAGACCATTTGCTTAGGCTTCTAGATGAGGTTGAAACAAAGTTAGAAGGGACAACGTACGTGGCAGGGAATGAGTTTAGTATGGCTGATGTAATGCTAATCCCGGTGCTAGCTCGGTTATCACTGTTGGATTTAGAAGACGAGTATATAAGTAGTAGGAAGAATCTTGCTGAGTATTGGATTATTGTGAGAAAGAGACCAAGCTACAAGAAGGTAATTGGAAGGTACTTTAATGGATGGAGAAAATATGCAACTCTTGTAAAAACTTGGATGTTTGTTAGAGTCAGAAGTTTGCTCAGGAAATATTGAACTGTCAAAAGTTTGGTTTTATTTTTTCTTTCTCACTTTTACATTTTACAGGACATGGCTTGTAGAGTTGAGAAAAAGACATTTACCTTTGATCACCTACAAAATATGAGAAGAATATGTAATTAAGAAGTTTGGGATGCAAAGATTTCAGGGTAACTTTAAAAACTTCTTTTGCAGAAGATAATAAAGAATGTGGTTTGCTTTTACAATGAAATGTGACCTTTTAATTATAGTAGAAACTTTTTTGCTTTTGGTCATAAACAAAAGAATTTAGAATATACTGAAAAAGAGTTGAAAAGGAAAGAAAAGAAACGCATATGAGTCCCCTAAAGGGGATTTTCCTATGAGCCAAACTAACCAATCAACCACTATAATTCTCCTCAAGTGCTGCATTGTCTCCATAACAACTTCATGGGCTGTACTTTCTCTAAAGTTAAGAATACTTAATTGTTGAGTTTCTTCTCTACAGTTAGATTTTCAGGTATAGGGCTGCTTGCTGTTTTTCCCCACCCATTATTCCGCATCCATGGAGGAATGTTCTGTTTCTGTTGCCGAAAGTAACTTGTTCCTATATCAGAGGAAAACTCTCTCTTCCGGTTTGGAGGGGTTGAGTCAGTCACGATACCAGTTGTAGCCGGTGAAATCTCATTGGAGCAAGTCGGGATCCTCATGGAGGAAGAACAGGCTGTTCCGTTTCTCTTGGCATAAAACTCTCCATGAGACACTGGCGGTAGAGGTGGAAATGGATAGAACGGCATGCCAGGAGCAACAGACCAGGTGGTTGGGTCCTCTTTGTCGGGTGAACCAAATTGATGAATGATGCTAAGTGGAATCCCATACGAGACCGGTAACCGAGAAAGGAACTTTTGTTGTGGCTGTGCGGTAATTGCAAATGCATCAGGCACATCCGTGCAGGGTAATGAAAACCCGGGTGGAAGGTCATCTTGGGTATCCTGATTTCCTTTAGTTTCATCTGTTTGATGAGACAAGATAGTCATGGTTCTTTGTTCTTTTGTCATAGACGGCTGGTCCCACCTACTTTTGCGCTTGCGTCCATTTTTCTCGGGAAGACTGGAATTAGGTTCTGAATATCTCTCAGATAAAGATGCTGTTTCAGGAGTTGCAGCCCTTGATGATATGACAGACGCAACTGGTTCTGCAGGTCTTGGGGACTGATGATCATATCTAGGTTCTTGTGATGCTCTGAACCTACTGTTTATAGGCGACCTCATAGACTCTGATCTTTCCTCCCTGTCGATGCGCCTAGGTTTTCTGTAAGCCTTAGGGATCCATCTATCTCGGAAATTCCGTGCAATTTGATGAACCTGCAGGCAAACAAGTAAAAATAATTGGAAATTAAAAGCTAAACACTAGATACTCATCTGACCAAGGTCCAAAATTAAGGATCACTAAACAAATCAAGAGTCCAAGCTTCAATACAGTTTCACAAGAGTAACTGGGACGCCTGGTACCTGTTTGTCGTCATGCTCGGTGAATGATAGAATAGAATCTTTAAAGCTGCACGTTGATAAACATTAATTGTCATATTGCGTCCTAAGAGAATCAAAAGAACTAAGGTGTAAAAGCAAGGTTTTATAAAGACAGATGAAAACTACTTTTAGCATTCACATTGTCAAGTATGAAAAGTTACGCATGGAACATATTAGTATGAAAAGGTAATGTAATTTACTAGACAGCCAAATTCAATATTCTACTAGTGACAGCATAATTTATTTTCATATGTTGGTTTCCACTCGATCTGATAAGAAACAATATCTGGTCAGATGAATAGCAAAGGTGACAGGCCATGATTAAACTTTACTAACCTTTCCATCGCTGCACAAGGAGGCCTTCTAATTATATGCTCCAATGCAAGGATTTCCCTTGTAGCAAGATACTCTAATACCTGAAAGTAAGTACAGTCACATTGACTTGTAAGCAAGCTAGAAAACTTAAAAAAAAGCATCAGCTGGAAAAGTTAATTTCAAAATTTTCTGCTATTCACATTGCCTAAGACACCAGAAGAATGCCTTCGGGCTTGAAGTATAATTAACCAACTTGATGAGAAATAAATTTAAAGATAACAAACGCGAAGTGTGTTCTGATAATACATAAACAAGAAGCATCAGGTTAAAAGGAATGTACCTTCAGAAGTTTCCGGAGAATAGGGGTCTTTTTAAAATCACTCCGGTATTGTTTCATGATATTATGTAACATTTGCAGACCTGGATGTGGTTTGAGGGTTATTTCATCTTTACGAGATAAGGGAAATTCATAAGATTAAAAAAGGGGCACATGGACCAATCTAGTAGAAGATTGACGTACCATTCTTGTTGATGACGTCCACTAGAACAGATTTTGACTTTGTCTTCAAAAGGGCATCAAGAATCATTGAAAGATCTCGATTGCTGCATAGACGAACAGGAATTTGTTCAGGCACAAAATGCAGAGTATAAAAAACCTACAATGGTTACAAAGATAAGGTCAGATTCTTGAAGACCTTTGAATTCCTTCATTATTTGTGCCTCGGGAAGCAGCAGTGAGAAGCAGAAGTTTTAAGTAGCCTTTTGCTGAATCCTGTTTGTGTAAGAAAAGAAAACCAACTATGTATGTTGAGGTACTAAGACTAAAGATAATTCAAGTGGAAAGAATCAATTAAAAGTGCACGATCTTGCAAATCAACCAAAAAAAAGAAAGCCTTTGAAAGGAGCAAAATATGATGTCTTAACCTTATATAACATCTAATTGGAGTGTAATAATGCTATATAAAACTTACCCTCCGCTTGCTTATCCCTCCCGCAGCATCTAGTAACTCGTTCAGTTTCCCTTCAACTGCGAAATTGGTGATGTTATTAGCAAATATGACTAAACGATGTTGGTATCTTAACAATTCATGTTTAAAACGAGTACAATACATGTTTCAATACGCCCGCTAGGAGAAACGTCCTCTGATCCTTTAGATTTGATGGGTTGCTGTTGCAACTTACTCACTGGTATAATCTGTGCTTTGTTAACACCAGGAAGACTTCCTCCTTTTTCTCGCTTACTAGACCCAGATGAACGAGAAGTTTTCATGCGAGGACGGGGTCGTGGAAGTATCTTTTTATCTTCGCTCAATCCATCCTTTGTCGTCTTATCAGCATTTGTACCATCCGCGGACAGTTTGCTGAGAGAACTGGACGTGGCAGATGTGCTTTTAGTCTTCTTTTCAACAGGAACCTCCTGCTCGAGAGGACTAATAGGCATGCCAGACGAAAGTTCCTTCAGAACTTCAGTTGGTTGAAGAGGTGGAAGAATTTCTCTCTCTGGAAGTTTTACAGATACCGAGCTCTGTGTTTGGGAATTACCAGGAGAAAGGTCCTTGGAACCATTAACCATTTCAGAGTTCTGTGGCTTTTGCTCGTCAACGTCATCAATGAAGGTCCTAGATGTTGCATCTAAGATTCCTTCCCCACTTTCATCATCATCAAGGATCACAAGTTCAGGATACTCTTCATCTGAATCACTTTGAATAATTACATCACCGTTCAGAGGATCCCCCCCAATATACCCTCGGCAATGTGACGATCCGCAATAGCACTTTTTGGCAGCAGCACCGAAAACCCTCACATAGTTGTAGTCAAATGTCAACTCCTGACCCTGGCACCGAACCAGACAGATTAAATACTACTGAAAGGATACTTGCAAAGTCGCAAGTGTGGGAAAGCTTACCTTCTTAAGATCTTTCATAGAGAATATTCCAACGCAAATTTCACCATTCACCATCCACTACAACATTTAAGAAGGAACAAATGAAAAGCATACACATAAGAAAGCAGAAAAAAAGAAGCAGACGAGCTCAAAAAGAAAGTTCCCAACACAGATCACTGAATTTATAATCAGACCACGAGGCAAATTATCGCACAGAAGGCTTTGTAGTCACCTTTTCAGTACGGCAGTTTGGTTCACAGCTATGGTTAATGAAACGCCCTAAATTTCCCTTTGCACCAGCATCTATTACCTGCGTTAACAAAAAAAAAAAACTTAAGGAGTTATTGCAAGGTGCAACATAGAGCATAGCTTCCAAAAGAAATACAAGATAGGAATTAAAGCCAGTGCAGGTGGCATGCTAAGGAATACAATTATTACAAATACAACCAACAGAAGTAACCTCTCTTTAAATAGGCCAAATAGATAATTTAGTAAAACCCTTTGACGCTTTTCTGTAAAAAATAGCTGAGACATTTTAGTCTGCAACCGTTAGAGCTTGAGTAAAAATAGTGATACTGATTAAGATACAGCCGAGTATCAGATGAAAGAAGAAACTACGACAAGATAATTGTCCATTCATCTTACTCTTGCAAAGGAATTTTCTTTTTGGCGCGTATGTGAATCAAATAAGAGACGTAAAAGATCAAACTTCGCTTCTCTAAATATGCTATATAATTTCAGAAACGAGACACATTCTGGCAATCATACGTCATTTTTACTGTCCATCACACATTATTCAACAACTCCACCACAGCTTTAAACAGCAAATCACTAACCATTTCAATCAAAGATGAAGAAAAAGAAGCAGCTGAGTCATTAAAAGGAAAGATGTTTACCTCATTCCCATTCAGTGTCATGAAATAGAAATGTTTCTGACCCTTGCAAGCATATTCTTTTTGGCGAGTCTCATAAGATTGCATATCAAGCACCTGATATGAGTAACCCACAATATACGCGTGTATGAATAAAGACACAAATAAGGTAAGACAAATTATAAGTGATCATATCCTCCCAAGAGTTGAAAGATCATCACAAACATACCTCTCCAACATATTCAATAAGGAATTGCCCCTCTCGTACATCCTCGAGCAATCTTAGGCCATAACCCTTCTTACCAGATTGGAATCTCTCAAACTTAACATACTTCCGTTTTTGAAACTGCAGAAATATGAACCAAAAGAGTGAGAATGATATAACTAACTATGAATGTAACCCTTTCGCTTGCAAGCAAGACGTTATACCTGCTGATTTGAGCACAAATTGCCAGCCGGGCAGGTACCTTGAAGACATTCAATGTTAAGCATTCTATTCAGGCATTCTTCTCCACAACCCAACCTACCATCAGGTGGTGGTTTGCAGTGACAAACCATTATCTGTCCCAAATAATAGAAAACACAATAACTGACTAATAATTCTAAAAAATGATAGAATATTGAGAGCACAAGCACAATTTCTACTGAAGCATAACTAACATAACAGCAAGACAAAATACAAGGAAATTAACCTCATCGATTGTTTGATTTTTACGATTGCGATGAAGAAACTGGTTTGTTTTTATAGCCTTGAAGCACGCCTTTTGCTTACCTGAAGCATTACAGGCATAAAAACAGAATAAAAATTTAGTTAGGCGGAAAATCATATAAACTATTCTAGCAAAGGGTACTCTCAAGGTTCCCCCATATCAAATTATAAGCACCTGTCAAACGCTTGCTCTTCTGTTCCTTTTCTTTCCCTCTTTTGGCCGCATCACAATCATACGCGTCTGCTTCATCCTGTCCTATGCCTAGTTCTTCATTAATATCTTCATTTGACATCTCTTGAGATTTTGAGCAATCCGCAAATTTTTTATCTGAGTTGTTCTTACAGATCCTTTAGACAATAGAGAATCCATATTAGATATAGAGAAAGTATACAAAATCTGAATGAAGTAGCAACTAAGGAAAGGATATATAACAGCTATGAACAGGAAGGATGAACATCAAAAGATGAAAGACTCCATGCTGATTATACATTTGACACTTAATAATACATACCATCTGGAGCTCTCATCAATTGATCCTACAACAGAAGAAGGAATCCGTCGCCATTTAAAGCAATCATCACATCGAACCCAGGCACTCTCTGAGGAAGAGCTATCCTCAATAGTAACGTCCACAACCATTTCCCTATGGCCCACATCTGATGATATGGTACCATTAACGGTACATGTTTTCCCAATATCAGCATCTAGAAGAGCACCTATTACATGAGTTCACCCAACTTTAAAATTAGTGTAACCAACAGAGTGGAAGTATCATAACGAAACGAAAACATTGAGATGCTATTCAGGTAAGCAAAAAATAGTTCCCTCAGATATTTGGGAAACAAGAAAGGTGTAGAAAATGGACAACTATTCTTAGAGCTAATCAAAAGAGTTATACCTGTTGTCTCGAGAGACTCTTTTCTCTCTATTTCAAGATGATCCCTATCATCTCTTCCAATACTGCTATTCATGGGTTTGAGTTGCTCTACCCCCTCATGAGATTCATTTTTTCTCTTGTCTTTAGGAGATTCCGAAAACTTGGATTTCCCTTTCTTTGTTCCGTTGCTTTTAGACTTAGGATGTTTACCCTTTTTTGCACTGGTAATTAGATGTGAACCATAATTTAAAGGAGATTTTGAAAGAACCAATTCATCTTTGTTTTCTAATCCTCTGTCCTTGTTGACCGCATCCTCTGGAGTACTGAAAAAACCATGATGCAAACCCCCTTTATGTTCAATACTGACAATAGAATCAGGCACAGAGTTGATAACTTCGGAATCTGGTGAAGTTTCAGCGTCTAGGGACCGCGTTTCAGTGGCCCTCTCGCACTCTTCAATCATTACACTAGAAGAAACGAGTGGATCATCTGAAACATCACTCACCAGCTTCCTGCATAACCCCCCATCTTGGTTACTATTCTCATCCCTAATAGAATCAGATAAGTGCTGATATAAACGTTTCTCCACAGGGCTGCTTTTCTCTTCCAAGTTCTCCTTAGTTTCCATTGTTCTTAGTTTATCCTCAACAAAATTTGTTGATCTTGGCGAATCCAAACCTGTCCCTGCCTTAACAATGCCATTAGCAGGCAAAGAGTTACCACTGACCTTAGAGACTGTAATGTTCAGAGGATTTTGGCCACCACCAAATTTAACTTTCAAACGAAGGCAAGAGCCAGTTGATACTTGGGTGTTTTTCTTAGATCCTTCTACATATCCATTTTGAAAACTTCGATTATATTCTCCATTATTAAGATTGCTCTGAGATTTCTGTGGGCCATGATGCGGAGGTCCATCATAGGGAATATTATTGCTCTGTATGAAGATTTCAGAGGTCCTGCTTGATGATCCCCACTCAGATGAACGGCTTGTTTTTACAAGAGAACTCCTCTTCTGCTTTGAACACTTAAAAACTGATTCAAGGTTTCTTTCTGATTGTTTCTTTCTAGAAGATTTTCTCTGACGAGGAGCATTCTTTTTTGTCTGCACCAGTTTACACTGTTTACCATTTCGCGCCTTCCTTTGGGAAGATGACAAGCCAATTTCACAAAAATTAGTCCCTGATGCAGAAGCAACTTCACCACCTATTCTGCCATTGCCATCCACTATTCTGAGTGGCTCAACTGCATTGTCAGGATTACAGATTTCAGTGCCTCGATTTTCAAAGTTCAATGGAGAGTTCCATATCAAAGACGAGTCAGTAATAGGGGAGTTGGCTTCCATACCTAAAGTAGTTTCATCTATCGGTGATATCTGACTAAAACTTTCAGCCCTCAGATCAGCAGCTATACCATTATTCATACTCAAAGCAGCCACAACCCTTTCACTTGACAAATCACCAACATGATCCTTAAGCATCTTATCGTTCTTCTCAGAAAGATCAGTGTCAAGCTCCTCGTCCTGTACCAGCTTCAAATCTGGTTTGACTGTCTCTGTGTCTGCGATGTCATCAAGATCATATGCACATTGGCCACCGTCATTGTTACTTAGCATTTCTGTGATAGCTAATGAAGGGGATACCACAATAGGCACATTGCCTTCATCACACGAATCAATCAGATAATTTTCTGTGGCGCTACAGCCAAACAAACCAGAGTCCATTAATGGATCTGGAAACGGACAACTCTGAAAGATAGATATATCATCAGAAGAACCAGAATCTTGATCACTCAATGATTCATTTCTTTCTTCCTTATCTCCACTGTCAAAGGTGGAGCTAATACCATCACTTCCAACTTCATCAGGTTTTTTGTGCTTTACGGTTTCCAAAGACCCTAATTGTTCTGGTACATCACCATTCAAAAAATTCGACTCATTCTCTATTCCATTGTCCCCTACAGGCAATATTGTGCCAGCATAGCCTTCATCTTCTATAGCCTCTGGATCTCCTTCCTCTTGCATACTACCAGAAAAAATGGATGCAAGGGGAAATTTTGTGTCCTGACTCTCCTTACCATTATCCTGCGTGTTGCAGTTCACCAGTAAACCAGCATCATAAATGAATTCTTGAGTTTGTTCAAGCTCATCTGAAACCACTCCCTGCTTCTGAGTGTCTTCAGCGTTGCAACAAACATCTAGACCATCATCAGAGTTCCCAGCATTTTCTTTACAGTTATAGTTTTCATCTCCCATTTTCTCGCTCTCCATAAAGCAGGTCCGTTGACCCTCCTCCATACTTGAGTTAACAACGGATTCTATCTGAGGAGTCTCCAAACTAGTGACTGCATCTATATTGTACCCAAAAGAATTCGATTTCTCAGATAAAGTGTCATTGATGTCCATCGCAAGATTCGAACCTAGAGAGTTAGCATTCAAATCGCCAGAAAGAGAGCCACACCCAGAAGGGTCACTAATACCGTTTTCCTTGCAATCCATCGTAATGCCACCTGATTCAAAGCCATCAAATTAGCATTCTCAAAAAAATAAAAGGGGTTTTCATGAAAAATTCGTTGAAGTAAGCTATTTGGTAAAACAAACCATGCAATGATTCAAGTACCCTTAAGAGATTCTCAATAAAAACACAGCCCCGTGTTAAGATGATCCAAGGAATCAATCAGACAGAGATTTAAAAAAAAAAAAAATTGAGAAGGTCAACCAAAGCTAACTCAATACAAAAGAAGTCTCAATCAACAACATTGATGATGGCAGCTAACAAAGCCCTCCGATCTCCTATGATTTATAAACACGCCGCAAGGAGACTCAATAAAATAGAATTCGTCACCCCACATGAAAATATCAAAAAGTTGAAAAAAAAAAACGAAACCCTAACCTCATGAATCAGAAGAAGGGATAAAGCGAATGGTAACGAACATAAGCTCTGGGAACACGAGAAACGGATAAAACCCTAAGAGAGGCGGAGACGATTACGATGGCAGATAGAGAGAGAAGGAATCGGCAGTAGGGAAGAGACAACGCGAGGCGGTCAGTTTTTTTTTTTTCTTTTTTTTTTTGAGATACCGATTTCTTTTCTTCTTTTTCTCTTTTTCAGTAAAATATTTTATGTAATCCTCAAACGTTGCTACTTGCTATTCCCAATTTATAAAAGTTTTATGTTGTTCCTAATTTGATTTGGACTCAAAGGTCTTTTCGTTGTTGAATGTATTTTGTCTTTTTTTTATATATATAAATTCAATGATTACAATGAACTTTTTTAATCGACGACCAAAACAAACATTAATTTGTTGTCAAACAAGAAAAAAAAGATTTATTTTTGGGTTTTTTTATTTATTTATTTCTTACCCCGACATGGCGACATCTGTTAGAAAAATAAAAGTTATAACTTTTTTCATAGAGAAAAAAATGCACACCAGCTTTTCTCTAAAAATGCCCTTCGCCAATTTATTTCCAAGATATTCAGATCTATGGGAGAGTCTCGTGGTTCATTCAGAATGGTCCCAAAGGTGGTCCTTATATAAAATATCAAAATGAAACTGTGATATATTTTATTAGCTTTTTTATTTTTATTTATTAGCTTCCTTGTTCTATGATTTTACTTGATTGTGCGTTCGTTCCCATAAAAGCTTCTCCGCCCACTCTTCGATAATGCTTTATCGTTACAAAAATTAGAGTGTATTGTAAGTCTACCAAACCTAGTTATTATTATTAATACATACAATCAGACCCTTCGTAATTATAACATCAGTTCACAGCTCCAGACACTAATGGTTAACTGCTTTGTCTTTTCATTGTTGAAGTTGCAAACAAATGTGATGTGATACCATGATGAGCTAGCCAAGCATTTATCCGAACCAGAGTCTTGTTAACGAATTTGAGCCACATACTGAATTGGACCAAACCCTTGCTGTGCACAATAATTATTGATATCTTTATCACTATAATAAGCTGAACTCTCGAAAATTAATAAGGATTCTTACACGAAACAGTTTGGCTTACCGCACAGTTGTCCACTTTTCTTCTAGTACTTCACCTTCTTCCTTGTCCGCATCATCCATATTGACCATGAACTAGCGGTTGCAATAGAACTTAGAGGTTTGGAGGTTTAAAGAGCAAAGACGAGATACGTAAGATCTCTTTGATAAAATATTTTGGGGATATTTGGATGGAGGTGATGTCATATTGTAAGAGATATCATTATTAAGTTAAACAAAACTCATATGCTATTATCTTGCTAACATATGATGCATTTGGTTTGGATAATATGACAATAGGCTATGGAGCATTGCTTTGCTAAAGATTAAAAAAAAAAATAGGCAATGGAGTTGAGAAAAATATCGATCCGTGACCGTAAGATGCGAGAAACATAATTAACTAAGTTCCTAATCGATCGATCTCTATAACATAACCATCTTCCACTCACTTCTCTCAAATTCAGTATCACGATATATATTGTCTTCTGGATGAATCTTGGAAATATAATCGCACAACCAATGCAACCACTATTAATTTATGGCTTTTACAATCAACAGGAGGATTTTAATTATAGTTTTTAATTGATGCAAATCATTACAAAATATGACAATGAAAAACGCTCTAGTGCAGTCTCTTCCAAAAGAAAATGCATAGCAAAGGAAACATAGAAAAAGAAATCTGCAGTTTGTGAGTAAGTAACTATATATATATAAGAATACGTACGTAAGAAGATAAACAAGGAAAACATATATCATGAATCATGATTTTTTCCATAGTTATACATGATGAATAAGATGGCTGACATTAGAATTGTCGAATTATTAATTCATCATATACAACTAATTATTACGTGGGATCATTTATCCATATATACATTGATGTTATTTGCAAGCTACTCATCCTTGGGCCGTTGGCCGTCTGCATTGCTACACACCATTATTTTCAGATTGTAAATAAGAGGGAGATGGTTGAGCATGATTGATGATATATATATTGATATGAGCTAGGATGGTGAAAAGCATCAATGGCGACACGATTCTCATCTTTTTTTTGAAAAAAATATTCAAAAGTGATATCTATGTAAGCCTTATATAAATCTTCCTTTACATATACTATGGAAACTCCTCGTACTTTGTGTTTCACATTAATGCAAAAATAAAGTTGTAGGACAAAAATAATAATAATGACCCTTGACATTTCCGTAATTAATTAAATTAATATTACTACTATATACATATCATACTAAGTTTTACTATAAACCAAAAGCTAAACAAGAAAATTATTTCCGATCATTAGATTATCATTAACAGCTCTAAGCAAATTTATTTTATCTATAGACAAAAAAATTAATGCATATTAATCAATGAGAAAAGAAAGATACATTGTTTTTTCTATTTTTTTATTTGTTATTTTTTAAATAAACTGATTTTAACGTTATTTAGGCATTTTTTTCTTGCTCTCAAAAAGTGCATTTAAATTTGCATACTGCCTAAATAATGTTAAAATCAAAAAAATAAAAATATCTGGCTGATAAAACAAAAAATCCATTTTCCGAGAGATAGAAAAAATAAAGAGTAATAATTAAAACCTGTTCACGAGGAAGAGAAAAAAGATTAAAAGAAAAGGAAAAAATAAAGCTTAAGAAGCGTCATTGCTGGGCTATATCCCGCGCAACGTTCTAACAAAAAAAAATCATCCTCTCAGCTTCAATTTCCTCTCTCCCTCGAGAGAGAGTCTCTTCATCCAAATTCCCCGATTTCCACTCGTTGATTCTTTCAGTCACGTCGTCTCCGATCTAGGTCTCTTCAGAGTCTTAACTCTGACCCGACCCGACCCAATTCACTAATGGGGGAACCAAAGGTCCCTACCGACGACGGTTCAAATCCCGGCGAACCGTGTAAAATCTCGCCGGAGGTATTGACTTCTGGTGATCGGAAATCACTCAAGGTTGAACTTATTCTAGAGGAGACGAATATCATATCGTGGAAGAAGCTTATGAATGAGGCTACCAAGGACAACGGCTTGTTTCCTCCGTCTCCCGAACCGTCTCTCAATGCTAACCCTAACTTCGAGTTTCGCCTGGCACGGGTGAGTTTTTTGCTGTTACATCATGCATGTGTACTCACGATTCATTTTCACATATGCATTGCTCTGCTTTTGTAATTTTCGTTGTCTCTATTGGACCATTCCCTTGTCTTGTGTATCCGGGAGCTGAATTGGGTAACTCTCCTTCACATTGAGTTTGGAGCTAGGGTTTCAACTAGCTAACTCTTCCAACTGAAATAAAACTACAGCTGATTGTGATTGGGTTGTCTAGTTTTGCTGAGTAATTTGAGTTGTGGTTGGATACGTGATATGTTTACATAGTTGCAATCTCGTGAATATAGTTCTTGAAAGAACTTTGGTTCAGATAACAGCCATATTTACACAATATGTACACTAAGATTAGCTCACAAACTTTCGACAATCTTAAAAGCGCATAATAGTGATGGTTCTTTTTTCAGTTTGAAGGAATTTGGAACGGTTTGTGTTTTTCTTGCAAGTTATTTTCATATGCATTAGCATACATTTTGGATCTGATCATTGTCTAATGATTTGTTGATGTATCTAATGCAGAAGGCACCAACAGAAAATGAAATGGCTGACCAACCTCAGTCTCATCGCTATAACACCGTTATACAGAAGATTGAGAGGCTCTACATGGTTCGTTCCGCTATTTTCTTACCATTAGATGATTGTTTGATTCTTACACAGAATAATTTTCATACCATGCTCTAGAACTGCTTCTTCCACAGATTTTGATTACCATTTACTTGATAAAATAAATTTCAGGGCAAAGATAGTAGTGATGGGGAAGAGCTATATGGTGCCCCAGATGATGACGAGTATGACACTGAAGATTCATTTATTGATGACGCTGAATTGGTCAGTATATATATCCTTCATATGGTTTTCTTATGTGATCCTAGTGTATCTTGATAGTTGAGACATCGTATTTTGGTTTTTCATTGTAGGATGATTATTTTGAAGTTGATAATTCGCCAATTAAGCATGATGGATATTTTGTCAATAGAGGAAAATTAGAACGGATGTAAGTTTCTTGTCCTCTTGTTTTTGTTTGTTGTCACATTACTATTTGGCAGTCTCGTCAGTTTTCATTTGGTGATATACTGATATGTTGTGAACGTAGGCAATGTGCAGCGTAAGTATTTGCAAATAGACTTTGATATCACCTGTCCTCTCTCTTTAATTAGGGGTTTTATGCAGTGTTTCCTCAGGGCAGAAACATATGATACAGTTTTCTTGTTAACCTGGCTACTTCTTGTACTAACATATCTAGGTTGTTGTCAAAACGCATTGACTAGTTTGGTTCACCCCCAAAATATCGTTTTGTATCAATGTGGTCTCTGATTATCGATAGGATTCAGGTTTCCCAGTTTTCCTACAAATAGGCTATCTTCTATTCACCGTTATATCTAAATTGTGATTCTTTAATACAACAGTGAACCGTCAACAACATCAAACCAGCAACCAAAGAAAAGGCAAAGGAAAAAGGCAGCAAAACCTTGCGGCGATGTTGTTAATGTATCCAGAAAACAAGCCAAGATAGCTAAGACGGCTGGGGGAAAGGTAGCACCATTATTTTCAAATAGCTTTAAAAACCTATTCTAGAGTTCCAGTACAGACGATTGATTATATGAATGTGAAAGTCCAGGACCAATCAGCTGCTCCTGAGACCAATGGTTCAATGAAAGCGCAAAATGGCAACGATTCCTTAGTTTTGGAGAATGTGAAGCATACTGATAAAGCGAATCATCAGCCAAGGAATGCCACAAGTCCGAAGTCAAAGATAGATGGATCTTCTGAACCCCTTTATCCAAAATGCAGCAGCAAAAGTCCTCATCAACAATCTAATTCCCATCCTGAAAAATCTCGGCCAAACGATTCAGCAAAAACAACATTAGTTTTTCAGCAAGAAAACAGTGGCATGCATGAACTGGACGTTGCAACAGTATGCAAAAAATCTGCTCCAATAACTGTAAGTACTTAGTATATAAGAGTCCTCATTTTAGCGAAGTCTGAAATTTGAAGCAAACTTGTATTTTGGGGTCTTTCATCTTCTACATCTCCAAGTATGCTGCTCTAATCTCTGAGACTGTAGAATGATCATTAACTGTGATGATATTAACATTTAATCTTAATGTATCAGATGGCATTTATGTGTCATGCTGTGCGGCTAACACCCATTAAACGCTGTTTTGATCTTCCTGGCTAATATTTGCTTCCATTCTTTTCTTTTCTTGCATATTTTAAGTTAGGTATCTCTTAATTCTGTAATGACCTTCCTCTATTCAGAAAAAAGGTGGTTCGAATGTTAGGCCTAATTCCTCGACACTTGAGAAAGCTATCAGGGAATTGGAGAAGGTGGTCGCTGAATGTGAGTTTCCAACTGTTTGTTGTTCGTTACATGCACGAGAAGCTCAATACCATTTAGTAAACTATAATATCCAATTTATTGCAGCAAGGCCTCCTGCTGCCACAGAGAATCAAGACGTTGATGTCTCATCCCAAGCAGTGAAGAGGAGATTGCCAACTGATGTAAAATTGAAGCTTGCTAAAGTTGCTAGAATCGCGGTAATATATATATATATATATATATATTGAAGCTTGCTATATATTGCGGTAAAATTGAAGTTTGCTATATATATCAATAATATTCCGTAGATATGAAGAATAACGATAATTTTATTTTTCTTGAAGCAGGACAGCCAAGGGAATTTATCAGGAGAGTTAATCAATCGTCTCATGGGCATTGTTGGTCATCTGATACAGATTAGATCACTTAAGGTAATCATCTCTGTCTCCTGCATACCGAAACTTGTTATCGAATGGAGTTGTGATTCTTACTGAGGTATTAGAGTAGTTAGATTTTTAAGTTTCAGGTAAAAGCTCTTCCATTTCAGAAAGAGCCAACCAGATATGTGTTTATTAGTGAAGGAGCTCAAGCGCTTACGGTTTAGTAATGCTTATTGTTACAGAGGAACTTGAAAATCATGATTGATTCGGGTGACATTGCAAATCGAGAAAAAGATGCTAGATTTCAACGGATCAAGAATGAAGTTATCGAGATGCTAAATACACAAGTTCCATTATTCGAATCCCAGGTTCTCTTTCTTCTACTCTACTAGTCTCACTGATTGATTTTTTAAGGAATTTCGTATCTGGTGTTTTGCGTAGATACATTTGTTCTTGTCTATATTTTTGGATTTAAACATCCCATTTTCAATGATGCACGAAACTCAAGAGTTTTCTCTGATAATGGTTGGCCTTGGGTTAATCACCTTTACCCTTCCTTTCATTTAAACATTGAGACACATCTGATATCATGAATGAGCTGACGTAAATTGTTTTACAGGCAACCAATCAGGAAGCTGGAACATCAGATGATTTTCCGGATGTTGGCTCTGTTGGAAAGCCACCTTTTAAGAAGTTTGTCATGGATGCGGCGCTGGAGGGAAAATTGTGTGATTTATATGATATCTTTGTTCAGGTAATTAAGATCTTTCATATCCTTTCATTAACATGTTTTCCAACTTGTTGGATGTAGAGTGAAGTCTGAACACATTTTGTGCTCTGTTTTAAAAAATACTAGGGTTTGGATGAAGATTCAGGTCCACAGATCAGAAAGCTTTATGCAAATGTAAGTTCCTTGCCGGCCCTTCTCGTTTGACACTCAGTGGTCTATTTGCTTTTCAAGTCCATTCAAAATCACTACACTAGACCTCGTCTAGAATTTAGTATATCTTCCTGATTGATCTGTTTATGGATTTATTTCTTGCTCCAGCTAGCTCAACTCTGGCCAAATAAGTTGATGGACAATCATGAGATCAGGCGTGCCATTTGTCGGGAAAAGGAAAGGCGAAGAGCATTGAAAGGAAACCCTTTGAAAGAGATGGTATTTATGAAATTTTCAGCTTTATTTCCCCTTAGCTTTTTATTTGATTCTAATTGCTAGCATTTAGGTGTGAAATATATCCATTTATCATCAACTATTTCCAGAAGACTCACATTTTTCTCACTTCTTTATCATTCCTCGCCTCTTATTTTATTAAAGGATCAAACGAAGACGACAAATGGGAAACAGACACAACTAGTTCCAAAATTAGAGGGTACTACTTATCCCGACAAGGCTTTAGGTGTTGTTCTAAGTAAGCCCACCACATCCTTAGTCCAGAGGCAACCTGACAAGTCAAAGCAGCAACAGGAGAAACTAAAGGGAGCTTCGGGCAACCCTGCAGCAAAAGGAAAGACAGTGAGAAGAAAGAAAGAAAGAGGTCTAAAAGAATCTCACTTGCCCGCAGAGAAACCTCTCGTTCTAGGCTTAAAGCAGCAGACACATCCACAGGCCAAGGCACAGACACAGGCTCCTCCAGACCTGAACCTGCCAAGTTAAATACTCCGGTAGTTTCTGTAAGGCTTTTTTTTTGGTGTCAAAGTCTGGCCTTCTAGCATTGCCTTTATTTTTTGGGGTAAAAGTCTGGCTCTAGCGTTGCTTTTATTCTTCTTAGCTTACTGTTGCTTCTATTTTTTGCGACTAGTTATGATTCTCTAGTCGTTCCTTACGTATAAGACGAAGTCCTCTCTCCACTGTACAGATTAAAGATTTGAAGAGAAGCTTTGTTTTGATGGAAGAAATGAAGATACATATAAATTGGCAAAATATTACAAAACGTAAAATATCTCTTTAACTTTATCCTCTGCGCTGTTAAATTGTAGCCCAGACTAATTGATATTGAAGAACTTATCTGCACCAGGAAAATTGTTTTCGTCCGTATTAAGACTCAAGAGCTCTATGCCTTTAGAAATTTGTTGCATGAATGAATAGAAAGTTTCTTGGATCCGAGTCACTTATATAGGGCAGACGAACCTTGCACACAGGTAAAAAGTAGAACAAAATTTTAGTCAATTAACTTAGTGCACCTGAAGCTATAAGTATGATTTGTCTTCGATCCTCTTCATAAGATTAATTAAGTGATCTAAAAATAATGGAAAGTAAATGCAAGATAATTGTTTTTCTAACTTGAAAATTTGTTGTCAGCCTCAGCCCAATTGGGGTAAATGATGATCCGAACGTCACAAAAACATTATAAAGCCCTAAAAAGAAAATTAAGCTCACTGAAAATTCCCGCGTCCCCATATTGGGAGAGCCAGTTACCACGCCCGATTCACTCACCTCAAATCCAGGCCTCGTCAAATCTCGTGCTATGCCCAGTGTGGCGAGTATCCCACCACCTTACTCCTCCGATTCTAGGGTTTAAAAATTTCTCCAAAAAACCCGGTGAAAAAGCTCGTACAAAACTCGGCGAGTGCGTGGTTAGGTCTTCCGGCCGGCGATGAAGACGACGCAACTGTTCAAAGGTTCCAACGTCTTTATGTCTCGGAATCTGGTGCCTCCTGAAGTCTTCGATACACTTCTCGATGCTTTCAAGCTCAACGGTGCCGAAATCTTCCTCTGCTGCGACCCCTCTCGGAGCGGTCCCTGCGATTTTCATGTCATCGCTTCTCCCGGCCATGTGCGATCTTTTAATAGCTGCAATTGCCCATTTTCTGAAAGAATCTCTTCTTATTGCCATTGTTTTGGAGTTTTGCAGGAGAAATTTAAGGATCTTAAAGCCAAGGGTTGTACCTTGATAGGTGAGATGAGTTTATTTATGTTTCGGTCACTGAAAATCAAATTAAATGTGTGTTCGTGAATTTTCTTAAAAAGAGTTATGTTTTTTGCGTTGCAGGTCCGCAATGTGCGCTCTCCTGTGCAAAAGAGGGTAGACCGCTGCCACAAGGGGGATTCACTTGTTGCCTAGCTATGGATGGTCTGAAAGTTCTTGCTTCTGGTTTTCTGATGGATGAGAAGGTAATTGTTTTTTGTGAGAGTAGTAGCTATCGTTTTTAGTATGTGTCGCTGTATGTATGACTCTTTGTTTTCTATTCCGGAACTAAACAGTTTTGGAATTCTTTTAGTTTATGGCTCAATTTCTGTGTTTTAACGAAAAGACTGACCTCTCGCTCTACGTAGTGGAAATGGTAGAGAGAAATGTCTTTTCTCAATTTAAGAAGAAGAATGTAGATTAAAAATTGGTTTCTATTCAGAGAATTATTTTCAGTTACTCTAGAAAACTCATCCCTCTTAATTGGTTGATTGCAATTCTTTTGAAGGCCAAGATCAAGGAGTTGGTTACTTCCATGGGGGGAGTTTTACTTTCCAGAGCTTCTTCTGATGTCAACTTCGTCATCGTGAAAAATGTCTTGGCTGCTAAGTACAAGGTCTATTGTTCAAAGATTGCGATCAATATTCTTTTTACCTTCTGAAGGTTCACATCTGTAGATTATAACTAGCTTCTTTATTAAAATATCAATGCTGCTGTTTTTCGTCATGCATCTCAGAAGATTACTCGAATTATGTTAAGTAAGCTAAAAGTGTTATCAGTTCATTTAACTCTATTTCAATTAGCACTAGGCTATGTTGATAGAGACAAAGATGAACTTTTTCTCTGTCAATACTGGTATATTAAGGTTAGATTGAAGTGGCTGTTGATCTTTCGCTTGGTGCATTTGAGTTTTATATATTTCCAGCAGTGTATAGTGCCTACAATAGAATAGATAGGCCTATTCGTGAAAGCAGAGATATAAAATGCTCCTAATGAAGGCCTCAATATTGTTGTCACCCTCCCTATTGATGGATTCTGCTTTGTTCATTGTCAGATGGTTGCTGAATGTAATTAATACTTAGCTCTAATGCAGGTTTAGTTCTCAGACTGATAAAAATGCCATTGTTTCTGAAATTATTTTGAGTTAGCCTCGTGCCTCTGATGACTTCTCATTGTACATCATATCATAGAACATAGTGAACTGTTGTGGTTCTTGAGGGAGCTGTTCAAAGCCAGTTATGCTTATTTTACTGTGCCAGCTAAATCTACTTTATTATTTTAACGTGCAGTGGGCTCTGAATACTCAGAAGAAGCCAGTTGTTACGCTGAATTGGTTACATCAGTGTTGGAATGAGCACCGTGTGGTTCCCCTGGAACCATATAAAATCCCCCCTTTTTCTGGATTGACAATCTGCGTCACAAGAATTCCAGGAGGTTAGAAAACCGATATCTTTATTATTTGTGAATCAGGTTCTTCATCGATAGTTAATCAGTGATTTATTATCAGATGAGCGTAAGGGAATGGAGAAAGTAATTTCAGAATATGGAGGGAGATACTCTGCTGAGCTAACAAGGAGTTGTACTCACTTGATCGCTGATATATCCTTTGAATTATTCTAAAATAATTTGCTAATCCTAGGCCATACTGTGATTTTCTGGCTCATTCAGTTGTTCTGAACCTGAATTAGCAGTAGTCAAGGCTTGATAATCGGGTTCTTACAGTTACAAGATATGTGATATAACCATTACGCGATTGATATATAGAGGCCTTAAATATTCCTTATGTTCCTGTACACCAAAGTTTGAGATTTCGTTGTTTGGACTTTAATGAAAATTGAATCCTTGACATTGCATACGTTGCTGAAGGTGACAAATACAAAGTTGCTCGGAAATGGGGTCACATTCAAATTGTCACACGGAAATGGTTTCAGCAGTCCATCGATAGAAAAGGTGACTTTGGTGTTCCGGCGTTTTATACATTCTCATACTGATCAGTATATTGGCTCTCTATAAGTTAACAGATTTATTCGATACTGATATGTCACCTTTTCATGCGCAGTTTGTCTCAATGAAGAGTCATTTCCTGTTCTCAGCTCCATACCCTTGACAAGAGGGTTGCGAGATTCAGGAATCCATAATGGTCAAGGAAAGTTTCCTTTGCCTGCAGCTGTGTCTGTGTCTGTGGCAGATTCAAATGCTTCTTGTGCTCAGTCTAGAGACTCAGATACAGAACCTTCTGCCTCACAAGATATTTTTTCCACTTCTATGAATCCCAGTACCGATGTTAAAGAACCAAGTGAAGGCCTAAGTACAAGTCCACAAGAGCAAGATATTGATGGTTGTACTGCCAGGGATTCAGAATCCGAAGACAATGACCTGTACTTATCAGATTGTAGAATTTTCTTGCTTGGTTTTGAAGCTTCTGAAATGCGTAGACTTGTTAAGTTGGTCCGTAGAGGTGGTGGATCCCGGTATATGCTGCTCAACGAACGAATGACTCATATTGTTGTTGGAACTCCTTCAGAAAGGTAAGCGCATTCTTTGCACTGCCATAGTGATTGTTTTTTCTGTATTAGTTCTTTCCTTTTTTCTCTTGTACCATTGATCCAGTTCTGTAAGATGGGTCTCTCTAAGCATATTCTCTGTAACATTTTGATCTCTACATAGAATATTCATTTACAGTGAGAAAAGAGAGGCAAGGAGTATTGCAGCGTCTGGTGTCATTCAAGTAGTCACACCCAGTTGGCTTGAAGATTGTGATTGTGAGAAAAAAGAAATTCCAGTTCGTGAAATATATACTGCTCGCCACTTGATTCTTCCAAGAGGTCTGTTGTCTCATTTAACAATTTTTTTTTTTTATCTTGGAAAAATGTCATCTATCCAAGATGCATGAAGACATATCAAAGTGTTTTATTACAGTTCTCTAACAGACTTTTTTCCGCAGATTCTGCATGCTTGACCAAGGGATCATTTGCAGGGATGTCAAGTATGGAACAGGGTAAAAATACTCTCGGTCAGAACATGGCATATGATTCATCTTCAAGGAGTATCAATGTCTCAAATGAGCAAGCAGCTTTGCTGGGAAACAAAGAAGCAATGCAGGAATGTGGCAGGAATGATGAGATTCATGCGGAAAGAACAATTGTATCACCCAAGCAAAAAGAAACATCTATTTCCCTTGTAACTAGTAAACGCGAAGAGCAACGGAGTATTCAATGTGAATTCAGTGGTCAGAACAACCAAGAAAGAAAGTCATATGTATTTAAGGGAAAGACATTTTGTTTCTCGCAATCTTTTCCTGAAGATAGGGTATGTGATTATTCGAAGAATCGGGTTTCCTTATCTTGCTCTAGTTTCTTGTCTGAGAATACAAGTTCAAGGTCTATTCACTGATGTGTTACAAAATTGTGCAGCGACCTGAAATCGTGGAATGGGTTAATCAAGGTGGGGGAGAAGTGGTGGTAAATAATCCTTTGATAAATAGCGCAGATTTTACTATTGAATGCCATGGTGGGTTCCGAAGTGCCGGGACTACCCAAATTAGCTATGTCTCAAGTCATTGGGTTCGATCTTGTTTAGAGGTATTATTCTTCTCAGATTTCCTCTTTTACTTACAGGTTGTATCTTTTATTCTGGTGTACTCTGTGTCCAACTGCCATACCATCAGTCATTTAAACTTTTTATATCTACGTTAGCTTTTCATTAAAAAATGATGTCTATCTATTATCTTACTTTCTACTATGCGTTTATATCCTTTTAATACTATTTTTCGGGATTATTATCTAAGCTGTTATCTTGATGATGTAGGATGGTTGTTTACTTGCTGTTAGTAGTCATATCCTCTACTCACCTCTTCCCTGCCAGACACCTTTGCCTGGATTCGAAAGCCTTTGCATTTGTACTTCCCAATATGAAGAGAAGGATATATCACTCCTGTTAAATTTGTTTTATGTACTTGGAGCAAAATTTGTGAGAAAACTAACCAGGAAAGTGACCCATTTGCTATGCAACTATGCAAACGGACTTAAGTATGAGACAGCTTCCAATTGGGGAATAGTTATTGTGACACCTGACTGGGTTTATGAATGTGTTAGGCAGGTGGGACTCCATGGCTTCTATATATTTTAAAATTGTTTCTTTAACAAGGAATCTGTAAATTTAATGGATAGTTCTTTCTGTTTTTCTTATGTGTAGAATCAAGTTGTTTGTCCAGACAACTTCCATCCAAAGGAATTGACCACTCAAGACAGAGAAGCAGGTTCTGGCTTCGCAAGTCAATTTCAAACACAATTTGCGCCAATGCCCTCAAGGGACAATGTGTCTCTACTTGTAAGCCACTCTGAAGACAGGGGAAAAAGTCAAAATTGTGCTGGTAAAAATTTCTGCGGTAAAGCTGAAGTAAATAACAGACTTGGAGAGATTGGAAGGGAACAGACTTTTCCGTCTAAGAAGGCAAAAATTTTCAGAGATGATCATGCAAGTAATGTGTTTCCTGTGGGAGAACATCCAAGCAATTGTGACCGCCCTTCGAAGTCTGGAGAAGGCAATGTCTCTGGAAATGATGTAGCAAGTAGTCGTGAAGTTCCAGATGTGGCTGATACTATTGAGGATCTGTTGGAGCAGACTAGTAAAGTGAGTACTATTTACTTCTTTCTCCAATTATTTAATCCAAGTAATATTTTCTCATTATTAACCTCTGGTCTTCTGTCTAGATTCAAGATAAGAAATCTCCTGGGAGGATTTCAGAAAACACTGTATCCTCACAGTTTGTGTGCTCATTCAAATTTTATCCTGAGTTATCATTTATCAATATTTGGCATTGTTTGACTCCTTGATGATAAAACAGTTTTTTTCAACTAGTGAACATTACAATACCGGAAATCACTCTGTCACTGGGCTGTCTAGACACTGGATAAACAGGTACTTAACATTCATAAATGCAAGTAACATTTTGCAGATGTTTTTTTTTTTTTTTTCAACCTCAAATGCTTTGAACCATAAAAACTTGACGGACACAAGTTTGCTTGGTTCAAAATACGCACATCTTCATGAACCTCAAAAACGTTTTGTCTTGTTTGAATATCCAATCTACATCTATCACTATATTGCACTACCATGACTGTACGAATGGAATGTATCCTCCAATATGTTGTACGTAGGGAGTGTAAGAATATTAATGATGTGCAATGGATTTGAGAAAAGACATGTCTCAAATCGAAATGCTGCTCATATGTGATTCATGTTTGCCTACGAAACTTTGATGTGTTTTTCAGAGTCCATAAGAATGACGACATGGGCAGCCATCCAGGGGATGTAACTACAGGCACTTACGGAAACTTTAGTGAAACACAGACAGAATCGCAGGTTATATATAACTTCTTTTCTAAATATACCTTGGGGATTCCATTATTGGAGCTTCCATGTCTCGTTAATAGTTGAGTTTCTGAATCTGAGTTTGGAATTTTAAACGAAACTGCACCATAAAGCTTTGTTAATCAGAGGTGTGTGCCCTCTTATTCATGTGCAGTTCTATTCCATTCAAGATATTCACTAGTTAAAATATCTTGTTATAAAATCTCTCCGTGTTGTATCTCATATCTGCGCTTTTACAAACCTAAACTTTCAGAAAAATGTTGCAGGTTGTTAGTTACGAGGAAGATCATTCAGGAAGGCAGATGCTTATAGACAGAGTTAGAACACGAAGCAGCTTAATGTAAAATAAAACAAGGGGAGGTGCTCGCTGAGATAGAAACATCAAACTTGTGTCAGTGGATTGATGAGAAGTCCAGTGTAATGTTGCATAAAAACCATTAAAGCAACAGCAGCCACATCAAACAAAATCCATATGCAGCTCACAGTTTTCTTTTGACAAAGTACAGTTAGATCACCGAGAGAATATCTGGTGACTAACGTGAGGTAAATAATGTTTGTATCCCGATTCAGGTTAGCTCGAGCATTATCAATTTGTTTATCTGAGTTGTTCTTGTAACTTGTTAAAACATTTCAGAGCAATTTGAGAATAATCGCTTAAATTATAGCGCCATCCACCGTAACTTAAATTATACAACCTATGAAGTGGAGGTAGTATAAGTCTTTATGATAAAGGCTTATCGCTTAAAGTTTGCAACTTACTAGATCTTCATTTACGAATTAATTTGGTGTTTTCCACTTAATTATAATCAACCGCAAGAGACGACAACAAAGAAAGGCACGCACACATTTATATTCAAAAACTAAGAACACAAGTCACAACAAAGATTCATACATCACATGGAAAAAAAAAAAAAAAAAAAAAGGGCAAATTTTCAATTATATAATTTGGCAAATACATAATTGGGGTAAGATAAAACAGTGACAAATACTGTAAAAATAAAGAAGATTACATTCAGAGAGATTTTACAGCTAGAAAGCGAGGCTCCTTAGGCATGAACTTCTGGTTTGCATAGACATCCATGTAATCTCCAAAGACAAACTTGGGGTACTTGTTTTCACTTCCTTCCCCCGCCACCACGGCTGGCCCGATCGCGGCCTTGTACGACGGGTTGTAGAAGGAAGCTATGGACCTTCGGTTTCCTTCCTCCCTCGCCAACACCCTGTGCCATGCGCTCTTGTACCTGCCAAACCCATTATGGTTAATACCTTTTCATCTAAAAAAAGTTTTTTTTTTTGGTACTAGTGTTGTTGTTTTGGTTCGTAGAAGATTTAGAGAGAATTTTACCTTCCGTTGCTAAGAACTTCAATCTGATCACCAGTGTTGATAACAATGGCGTTAGGTAGAGGCTGAACATCGATCCACTCGCCGTCTTTCAAGACTTGAAGGCCGTCGTATTCATCGTCTTGGAACAGCAAAACGACACCTCCTGCATCAGTATGAGCTCGGAGGCCATTGACGCGCTCCGGGTGAGGACAAGGTGGGTAATGGCTGACTTTGGTGCCAAAGAAAGCTGTCTCTTCTCCATCTTCCATGCCTTCGTTGAAAGCTTTCTTTATGTAACCTTTAGGCAAACCCAAATTCTCATCCATCACTTCCATCATTTTGCTTGCTAGCTTCCTCACTTCTCCTCTGTATTCTCCCATCGTTTCTCTGTTACATAAAAGTTGAGATTTTTGAAAATGGGTTTGGAAGATTTTGATTACTGCTGAGAGGGAAAATGTTTTACTTGAGGCCGCAAGTGTTGGATGGCCATTCGTTTTGGTTATGGTCCAAGAGAGTGAAGACATCTTCCCAGTCAACGCTCTCGAGTTTCTCTTCAGAGTTTTTCTGAACCAAGTCGTTGAGCAACTTCACGGGATTTGAGGTCTTGAATGCTTCTTCTCTCTCTGTTTTGTAGCATTCTGAGCTCAGCTTCTTCACCTTATTCAGAAGCTCCAATGGAATCCCATGGTTCACCAGCTACACACACACACACAGATGAGCACATAAAAAACAGAGCAAAGAGAACGAGAATGTTCTGTTTTTGGTTATAAGATCCGAACCTGAAAAAATCCCCATTCCTCGCAAGCTTTAGCGATTTCAGAAAGTGTCTTTTCTCTCTCTTCACCATTGAGCTTGGAGAAATCGATAACAGGAATCGCCATTTCAGATCCACAAAGAGAGAGGGAGGCTCTGTTTCGGGTAAGTCAAAGACGACTCTGTTTTGTAAACTGATTTAGTTGTGAAGATTATGGAAAGCTTAGGCCTCCATTTTATACTATTCCTAAGATTTTCCCCCTTTACTTGTTTCTTCATCTGTAATGAAAAGTAAAATAACATAAAACGTAAAAATGAACAGTTGACTAATTTATTTAATTTCACAGTTCGTTTTTACGTTATCTTTATGTTACATGTTTATTTTTTTTAATGCTAAAGCATGCATACAACCGTTGAATATTACAGTTTCATACTACTTTCATACTAATAACTAGATTCGGACCCGCGCTACAGCGCCGGGGAAAATTACCGGGTTTTTAATCCTTTGTACGTTGCGGAATAATTTATTTGTGTTTGCTTTACTTTATTTTGATTATTAATTAAATTCTATCATTTTTAGATTGTATTTTTTTGTGTTGGTTTCGAATATGTTTAAAATTATTTAAATTGTATGATTTTAGTTGGATTGTTAATTTTAGAACAATATGTGACATATATACATGTATAAATATTATACTATGAATCATTTTTAAAGTTTGGGGATTGACCCGCGGTACACCGCATAATCATAAATACATGATTTTAACTTGGACCTTTCATGCAGTTTTGTAGAATTGCAAATATCTAGAATAAACAAATAAAGAGACAATGATTTCTTATTTCTTATCGTGTTAAAATGTAAAATATGTGTTTATGTTACAATTTTCTGGTAGCAGAAACTTATTTATATAGATAATATTTTCTTAGAGTTAGGTTAGCGTTGAAAAAAAGATTAGCTTTATAATCAAGCCAGAAATTCGAAACTATTGCCAAATAAATATATTAAAGATGGTTGAAAATGAATTATCCCGTAATTGGTGTGAAGATCATAGTTAATATAGGAGAAAACTATACATCTAAATATTAATATAAGATATTTAAGGAACATTTTGTTTTGAAATATTATGGATAATTTGATAAATATTTTATATTTAATTTATATTTCTGATTTTTAGGTTAATTTGTTAAACCAATATACAAAATCATACATTAATGTATTTTTCCTTAAACAAATTAAGATTAATGTACTTTCCAAAACCGATATTGATGGTTTAATTTGGTAGATTTCGAAATAATATATATGGAAACTGGTATTTAATATCTTTAAATTTTTAGTAAGATCCAATTGAAAAATTTCGTGTTAATTTTTTAAAAAAACCCGACCCAAAAAACTTTTGTACTTCTCTTTTACTATAGTAGGGATATGGGGTGCACATATCTCGATGCGTTTTAAATGTTTTTATTATCCTTTCGTAGTTACTAGTTAGTCCATCTTCTTGACTTTTAATGTATTAAAAAACTAAGATAAAGATTAAGGAAATAAATAATCCTAACATGTTGCATAACAGTTCTTAGGCATTAATGAACCGCACTGATCTCACCAGGCTTTGACTGATCTCTTTCCCCGTGCTTAACCAACCGGTTTCACCGTTAATCTCAGTTTATTAAAATGAAATTTAAAAACTCTATTACTACTAATTTTCCCAAATACGGTATATAATATAGTTAAAAACTATTCGCATCAGATCGCTTCCTTAATGGACATTATTAGTTAGCAATACAAAATTGAACCGACTTCTCTTAAACCAATGTATAGTGTTGTGTTGTGTTGGAATATTTTTTTACAAGAAGCGGTTAGTTCTAACCTATTTTTTTTTTTTCAACGTATTGTAGAATCTTAAGTTTAACTTATATGTATTAAAGTTAATGAAATTAAGTGTTAAAAAAAAAACTTACATGCGCTATGAATTTTAAGATTAATCAAATACTGATGACAAAAAAAAAAAAGAATCAAATGCTGCTCTCAAGTACTATATAAAGAATAGGTCAAAACGTCCTAGCTAGTATTTTTGGTTTTGGACTCAATTTTTTTTATAAAAGATTATGGATCAAATAGAAATTCCATAGATAAAATGATATTATTAAAATTAGGTATATATTAAAAAGGGGTTAATTACTCCTGTCTGAAATTGATCATACAGACTGATACACCTCTTGACATTAGATTACGATGAGATTATTCATATACATATGATTAACTAGCATAAGAAGAAAGAGACAGAGATATGGGGTTTTTATTTTATTTAAGTTATTGCCTCTTTTATAGCTTATTGGATATGAACGTGGACACTAATAATTGGTTAACTAATTTAATTATATTCCAAATAAATTAATAGGCTTTGTTTCCATTGGTACGTGGACAAATTAGGGGAACATGGAGGATTTATATACAGTAGTCACTTCTATAAACTATTAAAGGAATATATACTACTAATTTTGTTGTATAAAGCTACCAAATAGTATAATACTAAGAGATTAATATTTATAGAAAAAATTAGAGCTACTGAAGTTTATTAAGTGGAAATAATTGTATGTACAGCACAGCCATCTGTGCTGGACACATGAGCAGGTGATGCCTCTTTTTTGTCATCATCCATCTCGATGCCTTTGTCTGAATTCGAGCACAACATAACAAAAGTCTCTCCATGTATATAATGTTCACAATTAATGTGACATTATCAAAAGCAGACGTTAAGTAAACCAAAAAAATCATAACAGAGATTGAGATCAGATCGATATTACCAACTGTGATCTAATCATATAGTTTTGTGTCAATTTTTTTCCTAGAAAATTAATGAGGTTGACTACTAACCAAGAACGTTAATTATATCATTTTTGATGGACCACTTTTTTTTTTTTTTTTTTTTGGTTTGTTGTAAATATCCCCATGCAAGAAAAATAACTATCTTAATTTGTTCTTGTTTCACAATGTACTGATGTATGTACTTCCCTAGGTGTACTTTAGTAGTAGCAAATATATATATATGGTTTATTCCGTTTGTTTTCTTTAAGTATTGACATTGGATTCTTGTCATTTAAACTAAAAGGTTTAGTTAAGTTATCTTTTTAATACGAGATTACGAAAAATATTCATTAAGTGATTCCATTCTATACCCTATGTCGGTGTATCTTTTTTTGAAATGAATTTAAGTTTTGATAAAATGTAGGTAAATCATCAAAGCTTGTCGTAGAGTAAGAATTTATATATAAATGATTTGATGTTGCTAGTTGTTAGTTATGATAATTGTTTGCTGTTTGGATCTCTCTAGCTATATTACATATGCATGTTTCGCTACTATTATTGAAATTAATACGTTTTCCATATCATGATTTATAGTACGAATAAATAAATAAAAATTCATATATTGTTCATCTATTTGCTCCCACTATTTCACATGCAGAAAGCTATTACGCCATTATAAACCCTAAAAGAGTAATTAACCAATACTATATATATATATATATATATATATATATATTTCAAAACAATTCAGATAATATTTTTAAGAACCTAAACTTAAGAAATTAATTTGTAAGAAAACTTTAGTTTTTGAACTGATAAAAAGCAAAGCCTATTATTATGTTTAATTATAACCAAGAAAGAAAAGAAAGAAAGAAAGAAGCAAAGCCGTCCATGATCACATGGGACTACACTTGGAAGTGGCGTTTGTTTGTATAATTAATAGATTGTTAATTAATTTATAAACATCGATACATTTTTTTTTTTTTAAAAGGTAAAACCATAAATTATCCAAATGCATTCCCCCGTGCCACTGTTTTAGTAATGATAATACTGACAACATTATAAACAAGGTCTGAAAAAGGTTATGAAAATGAAAAAAGAAAGAGAGAAATTAAGATTATTGGATTAATATTAACTAGTCATGAAAGAGGGTACAGTGGAGTGAATCACACATGGTGCTGAGTGATCTATGTCTCTTTTGTGTTTTGCAGCTATATATCGAATCTATGGACTTATTAAAAAGCTCAGCTTTGTTAACTATTATTATTATTATTATCATATCTTTGATTACTTTGTTATAAGAAAGTACATTCGCATTGAGTGGCCCTTCATATTGTATGCGCACCATTTCTATCAATCAGTCAATCTATATGCATGTTATGTTATGTTATGTTCTGTTGGAAAACTAATTCTGTATTTCAATACACACCATATCATATATATGTATATACCATAAGATAATTATATTTTATCATATTTTATTGAATATGTAAACATATATAGTTCAAATTTGTGAAACGAAAATCTTTTTTTTTTTGTCTAACGAAACGACCACTTTTAATTAACCATCCAAACGACCAGCAAAGTCATCTTAGTTCAATGTATGAACATGTTCCTCGATATTATAATATATGAGCTTAATTTAGTGAAAAGAAAGATAAATTAATTACTAGTACTAATTAAAGTTTGTAAGAACTAATGTCGACAGTGCTATAAATCCTCAAATCTAGTGGAAGTAGTACTACTTTTATATAAACTTTTACTGATTATATAATTCTCTAAACATTATCTTCTTGGTTTGCTTATTGACTCTGTGGTATATTATGAATTCATACAGTAATAATACAATTCTATATCACTCCCCTAGTTTTATTGTATTAACTTCGGGAGAAGATGAAGCGAAGTGTGCTAACTCCGCAAAGTAAAACAGTGAGAGACGTGGTCGGTTCGTCTCCATAATTTTTGGACCAACTAATTTGACCTTTCCATTAACTTAATTATTATTATTAACGTCTTTAATCTTTCTCTTCTCTTTTTAAGACTTTAACCGTTCGTTACCGACATTTTTTGGGGATCTTCTCCGACTTCACACTTAAACTCTCTTTTTGCACAAACCAATGAACCCTTGATTTTTGGCTTGGTGTGAGAGTGAAACACACAATATAACATTCTTTCCTGGAAGGAAAAACAAAAACTTTAATATAAACACATAACATGAATCTAGATATATCCTTTGGCTCTATACGCATTATTGAGATTCAATTCTTATCTTACTGCAATTGTGATTCGAAAATGCTATTTTCTACACGAGAATTCATTGATCTCAGTGAGTTATTGAGATCAATTCTAATCTGTCAATTGATATATCTGAAAGAGGAATAATTCGTACGTATACAATGATATTTACATTTATAACATCTTTCTTCTTCTTTTTTTTTTTTTTTGGATTAGTCCATACGCAATTGTATATTGAAGATAGAACCATATCACACGTCATGGTCTACGATTCTTTGGCTTTCCATTGACGCGGAGGAGCCAACTTCAAATGCAATTTATCGCAAACTAATTCATTTAAACTGCATAATCAATAATAGTCAAAACTATCTTTTATATCATTTCTTTCACCCATCTTCACGTTCTCACTGCTTCGGATTTACATTTCTACTAAACAACACTTAATCACTTTTCCTTTTATAAAATCCAGACCGAAAACTTCAGTTACATACATTGCCTACAGCTTCATTTTGGCATTAAGAGGACTAAAATCTCAAAAGCTTACAAAATGATTATTATGTATGAATCAATCTTTCCCTTTGTAGCCCTTTCATAAGCATTGATCTTGTTTGGGAGCTAAATTTGCAGCCACTTGTTTCCATTACTTGAAACAGTTCACCAAACCCCTCTTCAAATCCCTGTTTAAGCACACCATCGATGAGGATTTTCCAAGCGAGTTCATCATCGCAGTATCCACATCGAAGCAATTCTTTAAAAACCGACTTGCCTCTCTCTTTTCCTCCTCCTTCATACAGCTTGCAAATCAACATTTTGCAAGACTCTAGTTGTGGTGAGTGACCATTGCATATCATATCTTCCACAACCTTTGCAGCTTCCTCATATTTTTGCAACTTGAAGTAACATCTAAGAAGACCATTACAAATCTTCTCACTTGGAGATATTCCTACTTCTTCCATGCGATTTAACAATCTTTGCACTATCTCTAGATTACCAACTTCACAAATCCCTAATAAGAGCTTCTCATAGCATTTGACATCAGGGTTACACCCATGTTCGACCATCTTCTCAAAAAGTTCGACAACAATATCAAACTCCATCATCTCCCACATGATATCCGGAGACTCCATATAACTTCCTGGTTCGCCACATTTCTCTGTCATGTGTTTCTTCTCGAACAAGTGTTTGATCAGACACATATATGTATGATGAGAAGGTTCACAACCAGTATCCAACATGCGCTTCAGGACATCAAATGCAGAATAAGTCAGCCCTAGAGATCCATAAGCCTTAACCATTGAGGAATAAGTGAACTCGTCCGGGGTAACACCTTCTCCCCTCATTTTCACCACCATCTCCTCAGCTTCTTGTAACCTCCCAGCACTACAATACGCCGAGATAAATGATCCATAACTCTGCGCATCAGGTTTTTGTCCTGAAGACAGCATTTCATGAAAACATCTATCAGCTTCATAAAAATCCCCTTCTTTAAGCATTCTTGCAATAAGAGTCGTGTATGAACTCTGTGTAGGCTGTAACCCTATCTTCTCCATCTTTTGCTTCAGTGACAAGGCTTCTTTCAATTGTCCATTACTAGATAACCCGTGTATCAAGGCATTAAAAGTATACAAATCTGGCAAGCAACTATCAAACAACATTCTAGCATCATCTAGTTTCCCAACCTTGCAATAACCACTGATCAAAGCAGTGTACATGACTACGTCTGCAACTATGCCTTTACGTGTAAGGCAATCAAACAGATGGCGCGCTTCTTCTATCCGCTCATTTTTACATAGAAAATCTAGAAAAATACTGTATGTACGATGGTTCGGAATCAATCCTTTTTCTTCCATCAAACTAAGCAATCTATATGCGCTATCTAAGTTACCAGAGCTACACTGTCCAGCAATCAATGTATTGTAAGTAATCAGGTCTGGCACCAAAGTTTGCTCTTGCATCTTACTAAGAAGCCCCATTGCTTTGTGCACATTCTTCTTACAAAACCCTTTGATCAATGCATTGTATGTAATAACATTTGGCGTCAACCCAAATTCCAGCATATGATCTAGCAGCCCACTTGCCTCATCGAGATTATCTCCACTACAAAAGCTCTGAATAAGCACAGTATACATACAAACATCAGGCCTAATACTACTTTCTGACATTTGCTTAAACAAATTCAAAGCTTCTGACTTACGCCCTGATCCACATAAAGCATTTATAAGGACAGTATATGTACGAACATTAGGACAACAATTGTCATCTTTCATTTTCACCAACAAGCTCAAAGCTTCATCAATCCTCTTTGCTTCACAAAGACCATATATAAGCTGAGTGTATGAAACCTCATTTCTATGGCAACCCTTTTGAGACATCTCCTTAAAAACCTGAAAAGCCGCATCGACTTCTTTTCTTCGACAATGACCCGTAATAAAAGACGTGTATGTGAAGTAATCAGGATCCAATCCAGCCTGAATAAGCCTACTCACATACTGCTTTGCTTCAACCACATAACCAAGCTTACAATACCCATTGACTAATGTGTTAAACGTGTAAATATCTGGAGAAACTAAATCATCCAACATTTCTACATAGAGTATCTTCATTTCATCCACCAACCCATATCTAGCTAATGAACTCAAAAGCGTATTATAGCATTTAAGAGTAAGCTTGTATCTAAACTCAGAGCTATCGTCTTTACGCATTGTTCTACAGAAATCAACAGCAAACAAAGCTTCTCTTGGTGAACTGCAACTCTTGATCATTAATATCATGATCTTAGGAACCTCATAAGCTATTGCATGGCTACAGAGAAGACGAACCAGTGATGCGTATGAAGTAACATTGTGTTTGAACTTCGGCGTTTGAGAGATCCAATCCGAGAAACTAAGAGCTGTCAGAGGATCCAGATTGAGTGAAAACAGTGAAGAGACATGAGATGGCGTTATAGCAGGGACTAGAGATTTCAGAGAGGGGTTGTTCTGCCAATTTGGTTCCGAGAAAATTGAGAGTAATTGGCATGGAAGATTAGAAGAATCAGATTCCAATGTTGAGAGATTACATGTAAGAAGAGATGCGGCGGCGAAGAACGGCCTTCTACAGAGGAGGTAGCCGGAATAAGAGGGAAAGCGAAGGAATCTCATCGTCGGAAAGCTCTACTTCCAGTTCAAGCAACTGTAGGGTTTAGGGTCTATGAGAATAAAATATCTCAAACCCGGTACAATGCGCCGTGGCTATTACGTTCGGTATCTGCTCTGGTTTAAGTTTTCAATGAAACGACAGCGTTTTAGTTCAATTTCCCAGCTTCCCTTAACCGTGACTGGTCCGCGAGGGTAAATCTGTAATATTAATGATAAACATGTACTTTATGGTCAATGCGAGTCCCATTTTCCCAATTCTTGTATCTCTCTACTCGATCTCCATTTGCCGATCTTCGAAGCGGAACTGTGGCCAGTGACGAGCGAGAAGAGAAGATCTATCAGGGGTTTCGAGGTAGCTCATCGCATTCTTCGAGTGAAACTTTATATTGTCTTAAATTCCGATCAGGAACATTAATGACTGTTACGGTCTTAATTTGATTGTTTTGGTTGGGATTTAGAAGCATGGCAGGAGCTGGAACATCGATGCTGGGGTCTCTTCTTGTGTTTACAGTGATCCTCTCGCTTCAAGAGATTTACAGAGGGAAGTTAGCTTCAACAGAGCTGTTCACGATCCTAGGTGGATTCACCAGCTCTCTCCTCTTTTTGTTTTCTCTCACTGTAAGTTCTAAGTTCCTAAATTGGTTTACACTCATACTTATAATTTTCCTCCTATTCATTGAAATGCATTACCTTTACAACTCCAATGTTGATCTGTGTCGTAAAATATGAGATCTTTTGTTTTCTCGAATTCATCTACGTTTTTGTTGACTATCAATTTCGACCGATGCTGCAGTTCATTGGAAATTTCCAGGAATCTTCTGGCATCAAGAGTGGTTGGGGTGCAGGTATGTATTTGCTTCTTTTTGAAATCGAAATTGTTCATTAGATCAAAACTATTGAAATCGGAGCTGTAGTTTAAGGGAGTATACACAGCAGCATCACACTAGAATTAGTTTGCTTATGTTCAGGCTACTTTGTGTCTCTAATGCTTTAGTTTACTTTCTAATAACAAAATACCTGTGTAACGGTGTCAGTGATTCAATTGGTAGAACATGAAAATTGTCATCTATTGTCTTATTTGGATCACCTATATAAGAATCACAGTAACAAACAGCTAGAAGACCTATATAAGAATCACAGTAACAGACGGCTAGAAGACCTGACCTATATAAGAATCACAGTAACAAACGGCTTGAAGTTTGTTTGCCTCATCCTGCTTCTGCTGCATAAAAGTATGTATAATGTATTCAACAAGGGTTTGCAATTTATTTATGTCGATTTTCATTTTCGTGACAGTCATCCTTGCCGAAATCATTGCTCTTATCGCTGCTAGCACGGTGCATCGGGTTTGTATTACAACCTGGTAAGTGGACATTCACTAGCTCTGCGCTTGATATATGCAGTCCTCCATGTTCAATTATTTTATACCTCGGTAAAAGCACTGGGGTGATTGCTCTGCTGTTTCTTGATCTGTCTGCAGTTTTTTGTTCTCTGCTGGGCTATTGTACGAGATGAACAAGATCTCTGGATACATGCTATCCAAAACCGACTCCAAGTCTAAGAGACACTGAACCAGATAATGTAATAGGTTTATTCTGGAATTTAGATTTTGTTTGGCACTAGAAGATGCAAGAACACTTCCAACTTCATGAACTGGGATTCTTAGAAACCTTGAATTCGAGATCCTCATCTTATAGTTGATGTGACTTTTTTGTTGTCTTTGCATCTTATAATCGTAGAAAGATCATGTTGTTAGTTGTGCTTATGTTCTTGGAGAATCTAAATTGGTGTCTTTTGGGCTTGATGTCATACTCTCTTTATATTAATATCTCATGTATCCAAAACCGCAGCAATATATGGTTTCAACTGCAGTTATAAACTTTATAACAATTGAAATGGATCCTGGGCCAATTACACAAACAAAACATGTGCAGAGATCAGCCGTTGTGAGATGTGCTTACCAGGAAAGCTAAGAAAGTCAATCACATAAAGGCTCATTGACCAAAACGTTCATCTTCTCATTAAGAAACTTGAGCACATCTTCTCTATCTTCTTTGAGAAGCAGCTGTCTTAATCTACCAAAGGTCACACCTGATGGTCGAATCCCCATCTCGATCATCTCCTCTAACAAAACACAAGCTTTCTGAGTGTTATGCTGGTCGCACAGCCCGTTAATAAGAACAGCGAATGTATGCATACTTGGGAACACCCCTTTCTTCCTCATGTACTTCCACACTTTATCTGCCGTCTCCATCTCTTTCTTTTCACAAAACATCTTTATCATCATCGTGTATGTGTCTGCGTCTGGTTCACACACTTTGATCATCTTCCTAAACACATCAAAAGCTTCATCTGTCTCTCCACGATCTATTAGGTGGCGTAGAATAATGTTGCATGACTTAGAGTTAGGCGTCACACCCTTATTCTTCATTTCTTTCAAAACCCTATACACATTCTTCATCCTGTTTGCTTTGCAAAATGCGCCAATCAATGAATTGAAAATCGCTACATCAGCTTTCATTCCACTTCTTTCCATCTCGAGGAACGTATCGACGGCCTCTTCAAGCCTGTTTTCTGTTCCATAAGTATGTACAAGCACACTATAGATAAAAGTGGTCGGCTTGCAAATGCTTGGATCCATACTCCTCACAATGCCAAGAGCTTCATCAACTCTTCCAGCTTTACAAAGTATGTCAACCATTATACTATAGGTTACTATATCCGGGTGACAACCAGCATCAATCATCTCCCGAAAAACCTCTCTTGCCTTTGGCAAATTGGGTTCTTTCCCCCATCCTTCAAGCAATATGCTATATGTTTTAGAGCTTGGCGTAAACCGATCCCTCATATTCTCGAATATCTCCTGAGCTTTCCTCACATTCTTGGATTTACACAAAGCACTCAGCAATCCGTTGAATGCCACAAGATTGGGAGGTAAATCATACTTCTCCATCACATTGAATGCGTAGATAGCCTCATCCACTTTCTGGGCCCTGGCGTACTTCCTCATAACGATACAAAAAGTCTCGATATTTAGCATCTTCTTCTTCCTCATTGAGTTGATAAGATCCCACATGAGCTTGTACTGCCTTATCTTTGCGGTAGACTCGATCATCATGTGATACGCACGAACACTATGCTCGTAATGCCGTTGCTTCTCAGACCACTGAAAGAACCTGTAGGCCAATAAACCAGCATTCCTGAATCTATTTAGAACATCTTCTACTACTTCCTGTGAAACCCTTAACCCGCTTTGATCTAAAGCCGAATCAAGCACCAATTGCGGAGACGACATCATTACTTTAGATATGTTCTTCGCCACATCCGCAACATCTCTCGCTGGTTCGCTTGAACTACTACTATACAGCTTCGCAGACAGAATACTCTTGCAACCTAATCGGGATTGACGATTAAGAATTCTGATCGTCATGTTTAGTGTAACTCAGACCGTTGGCAGAGCTACATTCCTATCACCCAAAAAAAAAAAAAAACAATGTGAGGCATTTCGTCGAACAGTTGATGAACCTTAATATAGTTGTGCTTAAAAATTAATACACAAATATATCTATACACATCTGCGTTATCAGAAAATGTTAGGTTTTACCCAAGTGCTGTTTTTCAGAAGTGGTGGTTTTGCTCACCTGAGGAAGGATATTCCACTCGCCGACAGGGTGAAGGACGACGAAGGAGACAGAGGAGTGAGGACCGAGGAGGTGTACCGTACACCGTGTACGCACCATTTTGAAAGTGAGATAAATGGGCAATGCGTAAGCCCATTATTAAAGTAAAAAGGCCCAAAGAGCCCAATAAGCTAATACATGGCGCCGAGCCAGAAAAATGAGAGAAAAGGAAATTTAAAACTGAAGAGTGAAGAAGAGAAGAAGACTTTGTAGTCTTTAGAGAGCGAGAGCGGAGTTTTGAAATTTCCCGGTAAAGTTTTAAGCTCCTCCGATTTCGTTGTTTCGTTTTGCATTCTCTCTCGCTGATACATAGAATCGGACTACTCAGATCTCTGAGATCGATTTGTCAGTCAGTCATCATCACTTATTTATTTATTCTCGATCAATTGGTGGGAGATGGACGCTTTCGTTGTTCTCACGGAGCGATATGGGTTAAAGCCTCAAGGCAAGTCTGCTCCAATGGTAATGGATTCGTTGAAGCGATCGGTCAACCCTAAAAATGGCGAAACCGCAGAGTTGACCTCGTATGGTGGTTCTTCGAACACGGAATTTAATATTGGTTCCAAGTTTGACGGTGGGGATTCTGGTGGGTTTGACGACTTCTTGGTGTTTGATGAGCTGGAAAAGTTTTCTTCTAATCAGATATCTGGTAAATTGAGCAATCATAATGTCATCTTTGTTTATGAGTCCAGTTACTTTTCCTGTAATGTTGGTGTCATCAGTAAAGGTAGTTGATGATTTGATCCTGCAGAAAAGTTCTGGAACCAGAACAAGTCTATTGATTTGGGAAAGAGTGAAGCTGGTTCTGATGAGTTGATACCTGGATTTGGTGGAACTGCTCCTCAACCGAGTAACAGGTTTTGTGATCATTAGTTCAACATCATGACTTGAACCTGGACTTGATATATCTGTTTTTTTTTATTTTTTGTTTATTGTTGTTTCAGAGGGAACACTACATGGGCTGTTATTGCTGATGACCCTTTTGAGGTTCTACCATCAACTTTGGTACAACCATCTGCAGGTATAAATGTGGATTCACTGAAAGAATTTGGAACATAACTCGAATTTCTCCAAATTTTAGCACAGGGAGTGAAGAAGTGTTGATCTTTTTGTTAATCAATATTAATGTTGTGTTGTTTTACTTTTTGGCACAGTTAGCCCAACAATTTCTTCAGTTGATGATCTTGTAGAATTTGCTGTGGGTAGTTTGCATTGCAGCTCCCTGGATTCTGAGAATGCTGGTATTATTTATAGAGAAGCTGAAGATGCTGAAGAAAAGAAACAAGAATTTGGTGTAGATGACCTTGAGTCCATTTTCATCCCTCAAGTAAGAAACTGCCGTGCAAATGTTACAATGTTTCACCTTAAACGTTACCAAACTACAAAACTTTGTACTGAAATCTGCATCTTGTATTCGTCTTTTTGATGCGAAGACGTCTTGCAAGGAAGTGTTTGATGTGCCAAAAGAGAGATATACTGAAGGTTCGCTTAGTACAAAGAAACATGATGCTCCAGCACATGTCCTAGATGACTTTTCTCCACTTTTTGGAGGTAGGCGTTGTGGTGATCTGTTTTCTTCAGTTATCGGATTGTTCGCATATATTTCTAAAGAGCCATGTTCATATGCAACAGATGACCCATTTCTTGGAGAATTTAAGGGAATTACAGGGGAAAGTGACAAAAGAAGAATAGCCAGATGGGAGCGTGAACAAAGAATGAAGAAACAAATGGTATGCATGGATTTTGCTTTGATTCATATTGGTGCAACCTTTGCTTCCACTATATATATTACTAGATAATGTCCCGCGCATATGCGCGGGTTGTTGTATATTTATTTAATTATTTTAATTTATTTATTACTTATAAAAAATAGATTAAATAAATTTTAATGTTTATGACATTTTTACATGTTATTAATTTAAATCATACAATAGAAGCATACATCCATATCTTTTGAATTTATTCGTTGATTAATTGTTCAATTAATCAATTTTGATAGTAATATTCTTTAGTACTTTTCAGTATTTTTTGATAAAACAATAATATTGTTAATGATAAAAATAGAAATGATATTGGGAGAATTTAAAAAACACCCCTTTAAAAGTAGCACTTTTTGAATTTACCTCCTTTTCAAACTTTATCAAAACAACCACTAAAAATGTTGAAATTTATCCAAATATGTGTGTAAACTTATAAATATACACAAAAATTTACCTTTATTTGTGTATAAAATTTTATTTATTTCAATGTCTTACAAATTGGTTTGAATATAACAAAAAAATATTTTGTTAAAATAATTACATACTTTGAAAAAATATATATATATGAATATGTGAGAAAGAAAAAAAAATATAAAGTAAAACAATGAAAATGGTTTATTTAGCTTGATTTTCTTATGGTGCGATGGTGAGAAATCAATATTTTTGAATCCCATCGATAAAGTAATTTCCTTATAGCCATAAAATATTATTATACATATGTATTATACATTTAATAGTATAAAAAACAATGAAAAATGAAGAAGAAATATAATTGAAAACAAAAGTTTTAACCAAATATATAATCAAGCTCTTACAATGATATCTTAATTGAGCTTTCAACCCATGCAAGAACATTAAAAATTAAACAAAGAAAAATATTGAGAATATCATATATGGTGGAGGAGGATGTAAAAATGAGTATTTATATGATAAAATATGATGTAAGTTACAATTCTAAATTAATTAAATCAGAGGAGTTATAATTATATTTTATAGTGTGTTAATTGAAGTTAAATGGAGTAAACAATAAGGAGAGAGTGAAACCTTAAAAATTCCCAAGAAATAATTTTATTTTTAATCTCTTTTCATATTCCTCTTAATTTAATTTATATTTCTAGGTTTAATTATATTTTTCATCCTTGTAGTATATATAATAGATAAAAAAATGGAATATCAAATTGTTTTTTAGATAGGAAATCAAGTATAAAATTCAAAGTTAAAACAAATTATAATGTTCTTTTTATTATTACATGTTGAATCACAAACTAAATATAAGGATCATTATTCTTAAAAGAATGTCTTACAAATTGGTTTGATAATTATATAACAAAAAGTTTATTTTGTTAAAAAATTACATACTTTTGAAAATAAATTAAATATACATGAATATGTGAGAAAGAAACAAACATGCAAAGTAAAAGAACGAAGATGGTTTCTTTAGCTTGATTTTCTTATAACCATAAAATATTATTATACATATGTATTACATTTAAAAATATAAAAAAACAATGAAGACATAAAGAAATACATAAAAACAAAAAATAAATAAAATTGAAAACAAAAGTTTAAACTAAATAATTAATCAAACTCTTACAATGATATTTTAAATGAGTTTTCACCCCATGCAAGAACTTTAAAAAAAAAACAAAGAGAATAATGAAGATATGAGATATGGTAGAGAAGGATGTTAGAATGACTATTTATATGATAAGAAGTGATGTAAGTTACATTTTTTAAATAATTAAATTAGAGGAGTTATAATTATAATTTATAGTGTGTTTAATTGGAATTCAATAAAGAAAACCAATAGTCTTTGGAAATTTATATAATTTTCAGTTTCATTTTAGTAGTAAAGTGTGAACTTAAAGTATGAATTAATGTATATAATTAAATGTGTTTTTTTGGTTAAAATAAATATTATATTTTAAAAAATAAATACAAAATGGAACAATAAAGAGAGAGGAACAATTGAGAATATATATATTATACCATATACTTGAAATTCTCATAAAATATTATTATACATATGTATTACATTTAAAAATATAAAAAACAATGAAGACATAAAGAAATACATAAAAACAAAAAATAAATAAAATTGAAAACAAAAGTTT